CAGTGATTTTTCGGTGTCTAAATCTTTTTCTGGAATAGATTTTTGATCCTATATTTTTCCTATATAGTTGAGGGCGATCCTATATATTTTAGACCTATCCTATACAGGAATTCCTATTTTTTTTGACAGAGCCGCTCCGATGCCAGATAATAAAGAATAGAAGTTTCAACTTTACTAAATATTCGATGAAAAGCGCCTGCTCAGTGTATACTAAATAATTGTTTTTGATCAAAACTATCTGTTTCTAAGAAAGAATAATCAGAAATCATAGGAATCGCCCATTGATGATGAACTAGAAACAGTCTCATGTATTATATTTTCTTTTACTCGTAGAATTCTCCAAGGACTTCAGATAAACCACAAGTTGTAGTATAAAATTAAATTGTCATAGCCTATGTATTTTATTGTTATTTGAGAAAGTATGAAGCAAAAACAACAAAAAATCTAAAAATGATTCACCCCATGTCACACACTTTTTTGTCACAACCACCGATATACCGCGGTACTCATAATAACCGCCGGTGTACCGGCAGTATACAGGTGGTAGAGCGCACATTATGCCGAAAGGTGAACCGTCGGTATGCTGTCGGTTTTTTTCCGGTTTGAATCACATGCGATGATTGTTTCCAAATAACGTTACTTATTTTCTTTAACTTTTCATATCTGACAAAGGGCTTATTGAACATTTTATTGTTATTTATCATTAATATTCATAATATATTAACACATTAAAATGATTATCTGAAAGAAATACTTTTCTAGTTCGTGTTAAGACATATCAAATAATAATTTATTATATTCTTATTGTTGAAAGCAAACGATAAAACAGAATTCTATATACAAATATTTGTTTATTTTGTAACAACCGATGAGTTAGATAAACTTTCGCGATATTGAATTGTTTTTTTCTGTTGCAAATTTAGTTTAAGTATTTGAAAATTTCTATCACACACAATAAAAACAATCATGAAAGCTACCTGGAGAACAGCAAGAATGAAAAAATAAGCTGAAAATGTCCATTGATTGAGACTTAAACACTAAATATTCGATAGAACATTAGATAAAAGAAATGTTTAATCAAATTTTTTTTGTCTACTTACACTAAAGTCCACACTACTTGACGTAGTTGAATATATAGAAAGGTATCCTTTGCCAATAAATGATGCTAATCCCAATGAACAAAACTGTAGACTCATTAATAGCGATTGAGCTGAACGTGGAGCAACTACATAAGCAAATTCAAGACTTGCCACAGTAGCAAATACTTCCGAAAGACCCATGCATATAGTTTGTGGTAATTGAAAGTAGATGCTCAAATTTGAGTCATCTTTTTCTAAACGATGGAAATGATATAGAAGAGAAAAAAAAACATTCATTCGTCTATGCAGTTGTATACCTTCTGTACAGTATTTTTGTCGATCCATTTCAACTATACCAGTTATGCACATAGCCAATGATGCTAAAACCATTCCGATGATAAGTTTAATCTTGATAGTCAATTGTCGATTGTGCGTATCGAAAAATTTGTAGACAACTGTATTTAAAATCGTAATACTAACTAATATTTATAGAAAATTTAACGAAACAAAATCAATTTTGCTTTTTTTCTAAATAAACTCACTAATAATGGTTACTGAATCGCCAAGTGACATCCAAGTAATAGGCATTGGTTTTTCAGTATTTAAAAAAGCCATCTTCATTTGTTTACCTTGTAACGGAAATGTTATCTGAACCTAAAAATGAGTAGAAATGAAAGTTAATAGAGCTATTTGTTTAAATATGTAATTCATCATACTTGATAATAAATAATCCAATATGGAATAAGTAAAAGAAATACAATAATAGATCTGTTAAGTATTTTAACATTATTTACATGTCGATCAAGACTTTTTCCATTGTTAGTTGCTTTTGCATAATCGAGAAACGAAAGTGTTTCGTCTTCATTTGCGATTACTCGTTCTTGGCCATTTCTTGACATAGTATCTCCATTATATCTATGTACTACTAGTTTATTTTTATGATATTTTCGCCATGCTTGCCATGCACTAATAACTACAGGAATACACTGCGCAATAACTGTATCCTGAGGAGGTGTATGAATATAGTATCGAAACCCTATAATAAATAATGCAAAAGCAACACTAAGCATAAATATGGCCAATAAATATCCATAAAAATAATTATTAGAATTAGTTTGACTATCTGCATCAGTTTGTACGACAGGTATTGATAATGTAGCAATAATGGCACCAATATTGACGGCTATATAATATTTATCAAAATATCTTGATGTAACTTTTGATTCATGAATTTGTTCAGCTCCAAACACAGCCATATTCGCTTGTACAGCTCCTACACCGATAGCCCTTAGTTGAAAAAATTATCAATAGAAACAATTCTTTTCTCAATAGATTGATTTACATTGAAATAAGTGTTCCAACAATTTGAGGTCCGCAATGTTCAGAAATGATAGAACTGTGTGAATCCGTGGTATTTGGACATATAGATGCATGTGTTTTGGTATTTGCAATCAATATTATCATTATATAGCTAGAGAAATAGAGAAAAAAACCTAGAACAAAATACAACACATTATTTTAGTCATTTTATTTTTGTTTCAATGCAGACCAATAATTATAGTTTTAGCTCGGCCTAATTTTGCATCACTTATCACGGCAAATATGAGTGTCGAAATATAACTAGTACCTATAAACATAAACGAGATTCACACACTTAGTAGTCTTCATCTTTTACTAATAGTGTTGACTAAATCATACCAAAAAAGATAAATGAAGCCGTTGCACTATTTGAAGGATTCCAATTTAGTTCTGTATACTTTAATGTAACAACAAGATTAATTGCTAGCGAGTAAAATGCTAAACGCTCGCAAACAGTGCTTGCAAGAATTAGATAGCTGGCTAGTCTTTTTGCATTCAGACTTCGATTATCACGTACAGCTAATGGAACGCCATGATCGGTTATCAACGCTGTTGATTCTTCGGAATTTGGTTCATCCATTTATTTTACTTAAGATTAAAATCGTGTAGGAAATACTTAAAATATACAACCAAAATATTGATAGTGTTAATCTTATGGTTTCTGAAGAAAATAATATCAAGTCATGATGAGTGATAGTAAAGTACAAAGAGATAAAGAACTATACTTGCTTACATATCATGGACACAGATAAGAAAGAAAAATAAAAAATTAATTTTCATGCAACTAAATGATATAGAAAATAAGTAAATCATAATACATAACTATTTAAAAGCTATGGATAGAAATAAATTGATTATGTCATTTCATTTCCTGTATATCAAATTTGAAAAATAGATGGACACTAATCGATTACAATCATTCAAATATATTACAGCGATTTATTTATCGTTATAAAGAACATTTATTTAAACTATCAAGTATTAACACGAGCTAAAAGTAATATGATTATGACTATTCACTAATGGAAAATTCGTAGATTATAAAATAATTTATGCCATGGATTTTGAAGTTTTCATAGTGGTCGCTAAAATATGGAAACAAATGTCGGATGTATTTGACAAAAAGATTTCAACTGTTTTATTATAATATTAGAGATAACCTGTAATATGATCAACTCAAGTTTTTTCGAAGCTCATTTATATTAATGAGTTGAATCCTACCATCGGTATAAAAAAAAAGAACAAGTCTTGTTTGTCATGCTGAAACAGATAAAATAGATTCTTTCGCTGCTTATATCAATCATGATTGAGAGAATACCTATCGTTCACTAGACATTTCTCATTTTCAGTATGTACACAGTTTAGTTTATTTTAAATGTAAATCAATATGAATATCTATATTTTAAAGATACTTTTATTATTCATCAATTCCTGAATATTTCGAGATTCAATATTGCATAGAAACATTAGTCAACACCATTAATAGATTTTGCGTTGATATAATTCTAGCGAATAATTATCAAGTCATTTTTTCTTGGCTAATGATCCGATAATTATTCTTCTTCAGTTTTGAAAATAAAAATTATATGATTATATCTTCATTAGCTCCTGCTATATTTATTGACAAACATTCTATTTGTGAACATAAAGCAAATAGACAACGAAGCTGTTTAATTGTAGAACATTCTTTATCAATGATAGATACATTTTTTCAGCTTTAGATAAATTATGTTCGGCGTTCATTCGTCCGTTCAAGCTTTACTGATACAAGTCGAATAAATGAGTTATCAATAGAAAATAATTCAAGTTAAATTTTTTGCGATAATAAATTTATAATAATATTCAAAACTAGATTTAGATATCCACGACAAATTAAGCTTAAGTGGAAATAATTTATTGACAAGACAGTGAAAATGAGTATTGACAATTGAAAAAACATCTTATACAAGATAACGATCGAGATATTCGAATATTAAATAAAAATTTTTATATCAAAGACGTTCCACTTTAGAAATGGACACTTTTATATAACTTCGAAGTAACGTACACGTTACCTTTTTCTTTCTTATGATAGTCAATGAATTCACGTTGTGTTTACTGTAATGATGCAAAAACTATTCAATCATCAATCAAATGTATCATTTTGAATTTGTTCCCCATGGGAATATAAAATAATGTATTGTTTGTTTAGTATCTACAGAAACATTTTCAATGCTGTAGAATCAAGAAATATGTTGAAAAACTTGATTTTCTAAAACTGAATAATGTTCCATAAATAAGTTCATGGTACTTCTATGTAGTAAATTTAATTTCAACCATTGCTATTAATATGCTTAAAGATAGAGCTAGAAAATGTAGAGCTATATAAAATGGAGAATTGTTGCCTGAAATGATTAGATAAAATTCTATTTACAGTTATTTTACCAGAACTGTATGTAATTATTTTATTCGAAAATAATCAAGAAAAAAAATCGAGTTCCATTCGATACAAAGATTTCATCAATATCTGAATCTTTTCGATCGTTACAAACTTTACAGAATTCATATTATTTAAAGTAATATAATATAGAAATCTATATTATGGAAGTTGTGTAATATATAAAACTGTTCTATTGATTCCATGATACGTTCAGTGTCATAGACTGTAGGCAAGGGCATTATAAGTTTAAATATTTTCAACAAACCCCCAATACCGAAGATCATTTAATATATTTACCGTAGTTGATATATGTAAAAACTAGTATACCCATTTACAATCAAACTAAATAAGTCGTAGGATAGTGAAACAATTCTATGTATGAATTCGGTTCGAATGAATCTTTTCAAATTGAAACCTGATCATAGCTGAGATTTCGAAGAGTTTGAGTTTTTGATGATTACCGTAAGCGATTGCACCGAGAGAATACGGGAAGGTCAATCAAGCTGTCAGTGTGCTCACCCTATTAGATTTATCTTGCGTCAATCGATGAGTATCGCTCGTAGCAATACATTTACAAACTTACACAATATAATTCACATACACTGTATCCAAATTAATATGACATAGATCTATTCATAATCAAAGTCTATAATATACTTCGTGTGCCACATCAATGCAAACCACACTTGCTACTCAACGTAAATCCAAATCACACAGTAACATTAAAAACAACATATTAGAAACAGTTGACACCTCATCGTTTTCGTCATTTTACTTGCAGATAATTAAACGTTGAGTAAGAATCTTGTTTTAGTTTTCCAATCTCAAGAAATAAAAGATCTGTTTAAAATATGATACTATTATTTTTATCAGATACATATCTGAATATGAAGAATAATTGAGTTGTTTTTGCCTCCTAGTATCTCTCGATCCGTCGAATGATATAAAATAGCGCAAGATTTATCAACATATACCTACATTATAGATAAATAACTATAGCACAAACTATCGATGTATATAATTTAATATACACGTGTATAAGACTTGTTAAAATAACTGATTAGTAAAAAAGCAATCAATACAATTAACATGCTTACCTTGATTGTACTTAATTGCATTTGAATTTTAACTTTTCGCACAGACGAGAACCTCTTATCGTTGAAGCGTCAAAAGAATACTTTCATTTCCGACTAATCGCATGAGTTCAGCTTGCACCATTAAAATAATATTGTTCCTTTGTGAATCCATTATGAATTTAAGCAAAACAAGCACATTTCTTTCTCATCGAATTCTATGATAATTGATTTCAAGCATTATTGTCAGTTTACTTTCAATTTTTACTGAATTTACAACAAAAAAATATACTTCATACAAATCAAAAATCAAGAATCACGCGGCAGTGCCGATTACACAATAAGTCACTTCGCGATAATCGCAGTAAAAAAAGTATAAAAGTTGATTTATTTAAATTATTTCATAGTTGAGTACATAAACCCAACGCGATTGATACCATGGTAAATAAAACAAAATGCCGAGGATCAATGAAAAAAGTAATGTATATCAGCCACAACAAGTACCAAGGTTTCAGAAAGTGAGTGAAACCATCAAAGAAATGGGTTATTTAAAGATCCTTTTGGATTCTGTCTCTGAGTTTATTCGCATTGAGAAAGCTTGAAGTGATGAGCGAAGAAGAAAAAAAGCTCTGATATTAAATGGCAAAATTTTCTTTGTCGTAAATCCTCTCATTACACAACTGGGAACAAAACAGACTCGTGAACATTATATAACTTATTTTAAACAAGTAAGATGTTATTCATTCAGAAGATTATTTTGTAAAGGAAGCGAAAAGAACCAAAATTGAGCAATACTCATTATTTTAAATATTTATCATTGTAAAATCTGATCTGACAGAAACTAATTATAATCTTTTAATAACTGATAAGAAAAAATATTCACCTAGAAGCCTTTAAACTTTCTAAGACCAAACAGTTAAATCCGTTACCAAAATTCAGCCGATGACCACAACGCTATATAATTGTTATTCAAAGTCAACTTACTATCATTTTAGACGATTTAGATTTTGGCTGATATTATTGATAGCACTAATCGCAATGGTCTGCATTGAAATAGGAGTAGCTGTTTATATGACTCTTAGACGATAAGAATCAAGTTAGTACCTAATTATTCTGCATAGAAAAACAATTTTAAAGATTAATCAAATTCCTATATCATTTTTCGAAATGAGTTAGTTTAAAAACCGAACTATTCTCTCGATTTCGTTCTGATGCATTCCAATATTTTTTAAGTAGAGCGCTGATTGATAAAACAAGAGTTGAAGAAAATTAGGGAAAGACTAAACTTTAATTCTAGATCCGCCGACAAGTCCTTCTGGTAGTCTAACAATTGGGATGACTACGTCGTCAACAAGTACAAGTAAGATAATGTATTTTTATTTTTAGACATTAACATGATTATATATTATTTTATTTTAGGTACTACAGGTATAACGGTTACAGTCGAAAAAAAACTAATTAATTTTCAATCTAAAGAAACTATTGAAAAGCTGTGTCTTTCACTAATCGAGAACTGATATACATTGTAGCTTAAGAATTCAAATTGAATAAGAAAAATCTTCATTTTAGCTAATTGTGTTTCACCATTCGGTCGTTGTGTTCACGTGTTAATTGATATAAATAATTGTGGTACAAATGATCATAATTGCTCGGCGTCCATTTATACAAGTGGTTCAGCTGGTACTTGTAGTAATGCGCCTGGTATTCAATTAGCTAACAGCAATTATGCTTGGACAGCTGACATCCATGGACAAGTCGATGAGAATTTTTATGGTGTTACACTTCCCTGAAATATCACACTTTACAATACTACAACTAATTTTGTTTATGCAACAACAAACGGTGTAAATCTTCTTATAATTTACTGACTCGATTGAAAAGAAACAAGCATATATAATATCCAATATTATCAATCACTTTTCTCTTCGGTAGGTCATTTGTTTGGGTCTTTGCTCTTCTGCTTACACAAAAGCTGCGTTACCTGCTGCAGCCTTCTCTGGTGTAGCAGCTCTTCCTTATTGGGATGACATATTCATATATGCGAGCACATCACAAAGAATCTATTATAGTAGAGAAGGGAATGCTCCGAATCGTAATCTAATATTTGAGTGTTACATGAGCCATTATAATCAAGCGTCACAAGACTATCATTTTCAAGTCGTCTTCTTTGAAGCAGCACCTAGCATTGTTCAATACAAATATTTTTCTGCAAGTGACGGAGGTATCTCCTGTACTATTGATGTACAAGGTAGTCAAATAGACGACACATGTATTTTCCTTTTTTTTTGTTATGAAATCTATGATTGTTTTTAGCTTCCAGTAGTGGCTCATTTATTCAATATTCGTTCGATACAGTCAATTCCGTTTTTTCACGTATGGGTGCTCACTTTTGATACCAATCGCGGTACAGCTACTAATTCAACCTTTTGATGCAAACAATGTTTCATTGAACACACTGTAACTATTCTTATAAAGTTATAGATGAACTACAAACATTGTTACATATTTCTTTTTTATCGTGCTACTTTTTTGATTGTCGAATTCGTTGTCATTTCCAATAGTCTTTTTTTAGAAATTGTTTTCATTTAAATTAATTCAACATCAACACGTTTAACTGCTTAGTTTTGGAATGAAAAGCTATGTAGCCCTATTTCAGTCAATGTGTTTCATAAATTTAGAAGAAAATATTCTTGCCTATCATTTACAAATTTAATCAACACTTGCTATATGTGGTTCGTTATCATACGCACTAAATAAAATATTGTTTTCACTTTTTATTTGTTTAAATTTTCTTTTTTCACCATGTATTCTTGCACTAACAACAACAAAAACGAGCTGAAATTTTAATCATCGATACAAATCATTGAAATCTAACCATAATTGTCTTCAATCACAATTGAATTATTCTAGAAGTATAAACAATTACGAAATTTTAAGAATAAATATTATTGTTGAAGAATTCTTTTCTTTAGCATTTTACCTTATCGATTGAAAATCTGAAAATACTATATCCATTATAAAATCTAATTTATTTAGCTAAGAAGTAAAAATTACCACAGATGTGTATTTAGTGTTGGATTCGTCTTCAAATCATGCATTTCTAAGTAAAATCTAAGAAAAAAATTCCAAACTAAAGTATTGATAAACTATATACTCTATTTGCTTTCAGAATTCGATAGTAATTCTAAACTTCTATATAATAATTTTAAAAACTAACATAAAATGCTTGATAATTCGAGTTTACCATCATTGTCAGATACTGATACAATCTCTTAACACATCATTTCTATAGAACAGAATCAAACAAAGCTTCAAATAGGTATAAATATTACAGATATTTTGTGAACATATCATCAGGTTTCATGGGCATGCAACACATATGAAAGATTCTATGTTAAAGTTAATAATATATCATATCTTATCGGTGAATATTTCTAATTGAAGAATTTCTTCTTTTTTTTTTTATAGTATTTCTATTGCTACGATTTATAGTGCATGGTTGATTGAATTCTAAAAGAAAGGTCTTATTATCCTAGTCGTTAGTTTTGATGATTTATCAACAGACTTACTTTTGATTCGAAATAGCTTAAAATGTCATTGAAATACCAATTATTAATTATAAGAAAATTATTCCCGAATCATGATTAATTAATTCTTATACGTCATAAAAAAATTTATCAACATTCATCTTGACATTGAGTAATTACTTTAATTAAAAACAAAAAGAGTTTCGAAGAAAGAAACATAAAAATATTTTCTTTTCTTTTCTGGTCTCATTGTGGCTATAATTCACATAATAACTATGAAAGATTATGATCAGGACATGATTCGCAAAAGAAAACGTACAGTCAATATGACAACTGTATATATTGTAACATGATCATAAATTATATATATATATGCCATTGCAATGAAATTGAAAATTGTTTGTTTTACAAAGCGATCAAATACAAATAGAGAACCAACATTTTTGTTGTAGGAGAACACAAATTTATCCAAAAAAGGAAAGTATAGAATCATTGTTAAAACTTTTTATCCAATAGTTATAGATTTACTAAATCGTACTATACATTTTTGTATATAAATGACTTAGCGTTACTATCATATGTGCCAAATCTGCCATATAAAAGACAGATTTTTCCGAACGGAAGAATAACTCGAAGAATTTCCCTCGACCCATAAAAATGTCTCGGAACGCGTGTTCACACGCGTAGACAGTTTATGTACCTCTATTTTCTAGTGTGCACATTAAAGATTAGAATATGAAATATAAATCATCCAATTTGCTCATCGCTTCATTCTTATAGTAAGGCCATATGTGAAGGCAGGATGCCCTTTTTTCTTGTTGTTGTAACAATTTCTTATTATATTCAGATATATTTGGGTCTCTCGTAGTCATATTTATGAATACGAATGCAAGAAGGTAAGTGATTATATATAAAACGAGTGATCAATGAGAGTAAGACCATCTAAGTAACAGTAATGATCGTGTATAAATGATCACCTTATTTTCAGTAGTAAATGAATGCAACAAAAAACAGTATATATATATATATACAAAAGATTTCTTTTCGGTTTATGTAAATGTTATAATACTTGCAATGAGTATTTTTGGTGCAACATGGCATAGCAAACCTGCTGATGGATTATGAGCAGAAAATTTCAAAAAGTTATTTTTATCATAAAAAACACTGCAAAGACACAAGATTTTCCATAGATTCGTTTTTCACTGTATAAATTGATTGAAATTTGTTTCAAAATAAATATGACTTATCAAAAACTTCTGATCTAATATAATAACAAATATTTATTTATTTCAGACAAATATAAAATGACTACTGCTGAGGACACTTGGATACCATTAATTAAACAAATTCAAGGCAATACTTCATCGCCTAAGAAACGGAGTGAGTGTTTAGACGTCGTTGTATTATCTTCTAAACGAACAGTGACTATGCCTTCAAATATTTCAAACGACGAAAAAAAATTCAATACTAAATCTGCTAAGAAAAAGAGTACCGATAATATTACATTATCTGATATCAGTCGTCGACTAGCCATGCGAAAAGACTTACATAATCGACTGTATGACATATGTCTATCTGTTTATTTATGTTTCGTTGTTTTCTTTAATATTTTAGCTGTCTCGTCAGTGATATCATGTGTTTTCTTGGCGTTTTTGGTATTATTCTTATGGTTATTGCAAATGAAATAACATTTTCTCAGATTAACCATAATGATACCATACTTAGTTGGTTTATCAAATTAGCTATCAGTTTTTCAACGCTTGTTCTCATTGGCTTTGTCTGTAAATATCATCTTTTAGATATTTATCTCTATTCTGTTAATAATTCGATCGATGATTGGCGTATTACTGTAACAAACAAGAAAATATTGTTAATTTTATTTGAAATATTAATATGTGCTGTACATCCTACACCTCGTTCTTTTCCTCATCAGTTGAATGCATCATTAGAAACTCGACACTTAAATTCATCAATATCCACTAATTATACGTTGTCTTATATAGCTGTTGATGTTGCCCTTGGTTTACCTAGTGAGTATAAACATGTTGACGTTTCGTTTTTTTTTTTGCTTTTTTTTTGTTGCCATTAAATTTAAAACCAATTTCAATTCTAGTGTTTGGTCGCCTTTATTTAGTTTGTCGTTTTATTATGTTTCATTCTCATTTAATGCATGATGCATTATCTCAATCTGTTGGTTATCTTAATAAAATATCAATTGATTTTTTCTTTCTCATGAAAACTTACCTCGAACATTCACCTATACGTTGTCTAACAATATTTTGTCTAATTATCTTTCTTATTGGAAGTTGGTGTTTACGTGCATGTGATTACTTGCCAAATCGTGAACATGTATCAATGCTTGATTCAATGTGGTTATTCATTGTAACGTTTACTACTGTTGGCTACGGAGATTTAGCGCCTTCTACATACTGTGGACGAGGTAACTAAACTATAAGTCAATGAAAAAAATACCACTTTCATTTTCATATATGAATAGAATTTTGATTTTTGTTTTTCTTTCCTTCTTCTAATGATGATCAGGAATTGCTGCTTTAATTGGCTTGATTGGTGTATTTTCAACTGCTCTTATTATTGCTGTTCTTGCACAAAAACTTCTATTGAATCGATGGGAAAAACATGTACATAATTTTGTATTGAACATTGAATTAGCTAAAGATCGTAGAATACTTGCAGCAAACGTTGTTAAAGGCACAATAAGAGTATGGTATTTGAGAAATAAAATAAAATCTGGATCATCGTTTCGATATCTACAAGCGCAACGACAACTACTACAGTCAGTGCATATGCTTCAACAAACTAAACAAGAACAACGAAAATTAGTTGACAGTTGTATTGATCAAACCGATATACTTACTCTGCAGCGTAATACAAGTGATAAAACACGTGAAGTTTCACAACAGTTGAAGATAATGAAAGTTAAAATGGATAGAATAGAACGAGAACTTGCTGAGATGAACATATACATGAACAATGCAATAAGGGATATACAAAATACATTGAATACACTATTAGATAAGATTACCAAATAATCGATCGATTACAAACTTATAATATCAATACTCTTCACCTGTTCATAATATTCAAGGTGCTCTGATTCAACTTTTGATTCTCTCAATTTTCTTATCAAATCATGCGAATTCTAATTTTGTGTCAACTAGTATGCATTCCGATACTTTCATTAAAACAAATTTTTTCCTTGATTCATAATAATGTTTTTTATGTTTATTTTTTTAATTCTAGAATAAATAATCATAAACTAAATGTCGTAGTTATACAGTAACTTAATATTCGTAAGCATATTTCATACTTTGCTTTTATACCATTTTATTCTCTTCATATACATTTCTGATATCAGTACCGGTTGCATACGGTGTCTATTCTATTCATATGATACAAATCGAAGGGAAATCAACAATATATTAATTGTTCGATATAATATACAGTACAATAATGATATTTTGACATTCGAATACACGACTAAAACTGTTGATTGTCATTTATTTCTAGTATATTGATAGTTGTTCTTCTGTAGACAATATTCTAACGCTAGAACAAATAAATCTCTAGCCTAGTCAGTCTATTTAGTCCAGTAAATCGATGGTAATTACTTATCATCATATTTCGATTGTCTACAACATATATAACATGATTCCACAGAAACAATTAAGTTTTTTTTTCTTGTATAAATTGTTTCGAAAGCACGTTAGCAAGAACAGATAATTTATTGTTGAATGAAAAATTCAAAAAATTAGATTATGTTTTTTTCTATAAGTATGCTATCGTATATATCCTGCCAATTTTCAGTGTTCTATTTTAATCGTTGTAAGTTTGATATAAACATTTTATATCGTTTAATGGTTCTTCTTCAATCAAAGATAATGATTTTTTAAGATTGTTATGCAGTTGAATAATCCGCCTCGTCTACTTTCCAAAGAAAATAAAAACAGAGCAAAATGATTCATCAGAATTCTGTTCGGACTGTCGTAGTGCATTGTCAACTTGTTCTATAAATATTTTCCAATAGTAAAGAAACTATTTTTATTATAATGATCAGTGTACGTTGAGGATTTCAACACAGGTGTTGAAGTAGATCATGGGTCGTATTTTTCCATATGGTCATAGAAACAAGAATAAAGGAGAGAGGTTTATAACTATCGGATGCAAAATTCCCAGTAATCTTTGAAAACGAAAATAAGTAGATAAAATAACACTTGAAGTGCTCTAGAATATTGTGCAGAAAAATTTTATTGGTATTAAAATCACTAGAATATGTTTGTGAATATTCCGACGAGTTCATCTTTTAATTTTTGTGTAGATTAAAAAAGGAATATTTTAGATGTCCTAAATCATGGATATTTATCAATATAAAATGACTAGAGTCGATCAAGCTAGTTTTTTTTTGGAAATAAAAGCAAAACAGTTCTGTCTCTAAAATTATTGAGACTTGTAGATATGATAGTTACATCCAATTAATCAATTGGACAGGTAAAATAATAATAATAATAATAGCAAACTCAGGTTAAAAACAATAGCATAGGAAAAAAAGGCACGCTTCAATAGCAATAAAATAAGTAAAAAAAGACTTTCTTTATAAAAATAAAAAGCAGGAAAGTTTCTATTCGAAATAGACAAATAAATGCGGTAAACTGCTACTATGACGATTGTTTACCGTTGAAAACATTATTTGCAAGGTAAAGAGTGATGTTTAAAAACACATGAATTTAAAACTTTAGTTGTAAATGAGTTGTACTAAGTAGTTCTGTATTGTAAGAATAATTACATTTATCTGGATTTCAAAAAATGGCCTTCGTAAAAGAAACTATTACACGACATACGAATTGTTTGATCAGATCCTAATGTCATTAGTTCGACAAGGAAATATCAGCATGTTAGAAGAATATTTGTCACCGATACCAAATCCTGATAGATATCTCAATCGAGTCTTTGGCGATGAATTCATGCAACAATGTTCTTTACTAACAATAGCTTGTTTAAATGAACATATCAATCTCATGCGTGTGCTAATTAAGCGATTTCAACTTGATCTTGAAATTAAAAATGATATATTATTTGGAGATGGGCATAAAAATAATGATGCAAATTTTGCAGTAAGTGTATATCGTAAGCATTTAAAAATGGCCAGTTATCTCGTGGACAAATTAGATTGTGGTGTAAACTAATGTGATAATGATGGTCGACCGCCACTATACGATGCTGTAAATTGTGGATCGTTGGAGCTTGTACAATTTTTACTTGATCATGATGCTCGCAATTTTCCAGCGATGTATGATCAAGTATCTCCTTTGATGTGGGCAGCCGAGAAGAAACGAACAAGTATTGTAAATGCCATTAGATCGCATTGTCCGTTGATTGAACAGATTGAAGCTGAAGAATTACTTGGTACAACTTTTGTTTGTTTTGATCTTGATGAAAGTGATTTTAAACAAGCTTACTAACATTTTACGCGAGCACTCGAATTAAGATCAATTCATAATCTTCCGAAAACATTGCAAACAATCACAACAGATGTATTCAATTATCGACAAGAATGTCAAACAATTGATCACTTGAATAAGATTTACTCAAATACTACTAGTTTATGTATTGAAGCATTACTTATGCGTGAACGTTTATTAGGTTAAAAAAATTGTGAATATCGTTATTCTATTCATTATCATGGTGCTGTTTTTGCTGATAATAATCAACATATGGAAGTACTTGCATTTTGTATGTATGAAATTAGATTACGTGAAGAATACTCTATTCCTATGGATTCAGAACATTTGCGTCATTTCACTTCAATATTTAGTGAAATGCTTAATCTCTCATTATCCATACCAATTCAAACTCTACTCACAGTAATAAAAATTACAGCTGAAGAATTACAAACGTAATATGAGCCAGTTTGATTTTAACTTACATACTTTACTTTTTCTAATTACCATTACTATAATAGTCAGGTAAGTTTTCGTTTCTTTCCATTGATTCTCTTTTGTTGATAGCAAGTTTTTTAGTTAGCCACAAAAATAAATATTTCTAGCATTGATCGTCAAAAAATACATCGACGTTTATGTTCTGTAGTTAAACATAAGTATGTAACACTTGTCGATCGATCATCTTTCTTGCATTTGAGTTTGAACAGTAATACATCAGCAGATGACTTTTGCATTGAACATACTTGCAAGTAGGTCATTAATAATAATAATTGAAGAAATATTCGTTCCTTAAAACTTGTTTTATTCGAGGTGTCCATGCATACTTGCAGCTCGTACACTTCTACAATGTGGTGCAGATGTAAATGCACATGATGCTTTACGAATGACTCCTCTACATGTATTTTTATCTAGTTCGTCTATACACAATGAAAATTTACTCAAACTTCTTTGTGATGATGGTGCTCATCTGGATTATGTTTATAATTTGCGAGAAAAAGCTATTCATGTAACAACAAATTTGGCTGCTAAACAATTAATAAAATCTAAAATGCAAATTAATTTGAAGTGTTTATGTGCACGATTAATACAACTTAATAATGTGCCATTTCATGGAGAACTAACATCTTCACTCGTTCGATTTGTTGAAGAACATTAGATATTTTTTATTTCATATTTTATTCTTAATTTTGAAATATCTATCGATATGTAAATAGTTTAATATTTTTTATTTATTTCTACATACAGACACGACATAAAAGAAGTTAAAATCGCTAATGAAAGTGATAGGGAATAGCTTCTTCTTGACTTTGAATATGTACTTTTGATTGTTAGGATATCTAGATTAAGTGTTTTCGTAAACGTTGATATTTTAGGAAATATCGTGAAAAATCGAAGTCAACTTTCAGCCTCTTGCTTTTAAATGTCTTCAAAACAAAAGTTCTACTCCGAAGAAGAATGATCTGAAAAAATATGATTATTAGATGACGAGTTACTCAATCTCATCTTTTGTCTGGAATATTTTTAACTATTAAGGATTACGCAATTTAATTCGCTTTTCCTATAGCAATTTCAAATATTGCTATTGAGTTTTGGTAGTGAAAACAAATAAGAATGACATCAACGCCGATTGAATTATGTTGGATTATGATAAAAATATCGAGCGGTTGTTTTTCTTCAGATGATACCATTTTACTGTGTTTCAAATTTTATACATCAATGCATATGTGTGAAAACTTTTAATTAAATTATAGAAGTTAAAATAAACGCTGATGACTGCCATCGTTGAATCTATTAACAAATAAATCGAGCACTCAATGAGTGCTCGATACAGTTTGAAAAGGGCCACTAAATAAATAAAAATATTCAAAACTAAAATTTAATCCCATCTCAATAAAACGTGACGCACCAGTTTTTCTTAACTCTGATAAACAGAGTATTTTGATCAGTGCTTTATCTATGTTTCGTTTGTTGGGTGGGCAGTTGAAATTTTTGGAGAGGCTGCTGGCTAAAACATTGTGTTGCCATATAGCTTTTTATGAAATCAACTGTATATTTTCGGGTGGGCGCCGCCCACCTGGCCCACACAGTAGATAAATCACTGATTTTGATAACGAAGCAATTTATTCGTCGACAAATATCTTTTCAAGAATGGATATTTCATCTAGACCTTCTGCCATATTTTTTATAGGATACTTTCCTGATTTATCTGGTCATTCATACATTTTAGCTCTTATCTTTCCTATACATTGGTAACCATTCTTTTGATGTACATGTGTTGATGCTGACGAAAAACGTATTCCGTAAGTTCGTTGGAAATGATATCGAGATTGAATATGTTTCATAGCTAATGAACGAAACCAGGCATATAAACCTTGATCATGAAATTCAGATAAAACACAGTCAATAGATAAATATAATATTTGATACTTGTTTGTTAGTAAATCTTTAAGGTTTATTTTATTTGTTATACTGTCTTTGAGATAATTGAGATACAAGGTATGACGTGCTTGAATCAGAGAGAAACGTACTGCTGCGCTTTTGTTCTGCTCTGAATGGTCAGAAAGAGCAATCGGATCAAAACGATTTTGTCGTAGATTAACGGCAATGATTCTATTCATATATTAATGTTTCGAATCTTTATTCAATGTTGGTACTTGTGATTTATCAATGGGCTCATAACAAACATAATAAAATAGCAAGCCATTTTTTTCACTGCGCCACGTATGATACTGCATTAGAAAAAGGATAGATACCAGTTGCACTCAAACCAAGAGCTGAATAAATACGAATATGTTCGAAACTATTGGGAACTATCCATCCAACTTTCGTTGAGCAGATCACTGTTGTCTATTATCTCTTCTGAAGTTCGATGGTAACAATGCAAAGCGAAATCTCTCATGGAATTAATTAATGTTGATCGAGAATAAAATACTAGAGTAAAAATAGAAAATAAAATAACATAGTAGAGAACAGTTAACTTATTTTCGCTTCCAAATATTAGAATTTTATTATGAGGACAAGAGTGGATTCAAGTTCAAATTCGAACTTCATATAGTTAAATGAGCATAGACTAGCAACCGAGAAATGAATAGCCCTACTTTCTCCATTGCCTTGTATCAAACCACTGACTGAGTTCTAAGTTAACACATTTTCACAGAATGCAGACTGAAGTGTTGATTCGCACAAGTATCGATTATAAATCGACACTTGTTTAATAGAATCTCAAGGACACGATATCTGTAAAGAATATTTTTGTTTTTCTTCTACAGATCATAACGTATTGTTGTTGTTGTTGTTGGTTTTTTTTATTGTGGGTACAAGCGAACATTGTTCGAAAGATCCACTGTCAGTTTGAATTGACATTTTTAATCTAGAATAGACTAAGAGATTGAAAGAAAATCTTTATTCCACTCTAGAATAAAAGTTCATAATGAATTAGAGGATGCGATTTCAGGAAATTTCTTGCAGTTGAAAGTCGATTTCAATGTAGTATGCAAATAAAAAGAACATAGATATAAAAGCAACTATACTAGTACAAAAAAAGTGTCAAAAATGTAATTATTCTCTACGTACAAAACTTGAAGAGTAAAAAGTGCGTCGATATATACATGTTTTATAATGTTTACCTCAAGAACAAAAAGGAAAGAAAGCAAAGTAAAGAAAAAAAGAAATATTAATCTTTGAGAGATTGCATATTCACAAACAGAGTCATACGAACACTCCATTCAGATCACAACAAAAAATGTGTTGTTTCTAAATGAATATAAGCTATGAATTGAGACCCTTTATGATAGAAAGAATATTCGTACTATAGTATTACGCTTTATTCAGTTTCTTCATTTCATACTATCGTATCGTTTACATTCAAAGCAAACGTTTGCATACAATCGAAAGACACAAAAAAAGAGAGTATGAATGGATGAAAGATTCTTTACAATGCATAGCGTCAATAGAAAGAACAATACAACATATGAGAAGAAGAGTCGAAAAAGGAAGGTAAAATATCATGAATGATTTTTTGCTAAATTGAACACACTCAAAAATCCTTGAAAAAGGATTTAAACTAGTCTGTATCATATAAACTTGTTATATATATTCTTTAAAAAGGTAGTTTGATTTATTAGTTGCCAGCAATGCCCTACTTACTAATTCAATATTTTTCGAATACAATCTTGTGATACTTTATTGTTCGAGAAAAAAGAGCAGTCTTGCGCTTTGACGCCGAGTATCGTTTGAAAGATTTATTATATTTAAAAAGAAAAATAGTATGTGTGTACAATAAAATTGATAGTCATATGTCTTGTTTATATTAATATATAGAACATCAAGATTTACCTTCGTGATTCGTGTTGCAAATAGTACAGTTCTAAATAAAGATACGAACGAAGGCTTCAATTTGTTTTCGACATGTTGGACATGTTCTAAGCGTTTTACTACACAAAGCACAGGTCACGAGATGACCGCATGGAATACAGGCAAGTCGTTTCTCCTCTTGATTACAGATAACACAAAGATTGACTATTGATGAAACTTTAGTCGGGTTTATTTCTGATGTTTTTGAATTGTTTGAATTTATCTTTACAGTTGTCATATCGATCGTGTGTGCTGTATAATCTGATTGTTTTGGTAATGACTTCATAGAATCATCCTTTGAAGTAATTGGCATAGATGATGATGCAGATTGTTGTGTATTACTAATCGGCTGCATCTCTCTGCTAGGAATGACGATGTTTTCTTTCTCGCCTTTAATACAATCGATTTGCTTTTGTAGAATGATGCAAGATGCCAATAGATCACTGTCACTAGCGAAATCGTCAACTAAATAAATCAATAAAAACAAAAAATAATATTAAAATTGTTACATGTAATTCACCCACTTTTTAATTGTAACTGATCTTCCCAACAACGTTTAATAACTGATAATTTAAATTTTTGATTTAGTAAATTTTGTGAACTCGATAAATCCAATCGAGCAGCTACAAAACGAGATAACATATTAGGATCATTTACATGTAATTGACATTGATTTGAAAGAGAAACATTATCACTTCTGCCTTCTTCATTGAATTGTTGATTCACCTTATCACAATCTGAAAAAATTTTAAGTTTCTCTTCATTTCTCGTTCTAAAGGTAAACAGTTTTGATCACTTACCTTGTAGAACTTTTTTTGTGTCCTGACTTTTTCGATGAAGATCATCTCCACACAACTGTTTCGCATATTGACAATGAGGAAAACAACGGACATGCTCAATTATTGGATTATCATTGATATTCCAATTTTTCAAAGAGCCGCCACAATAAAAACATGTTAGATTATTGTCAATACCTGTATAGAAGAAACCAGCTCGAACTAGTTCATCTACCGGTGGAGCAGATTCATGAGACCATATTGTGAATGATTGTTGACGTTGTGTAATCTCACTATAGTTAGGATGAATTGGTGCTGTTGAAACAATTTGTTCAACCGGATTTTGTACAGTACTACTCGTGTCGAGAGTTTGATTAATTGTTGAATTTTCATTTAAAATTACAGTAGAAGATGGGTTTCGTTGTGTTAATTTTGATAAAACATAGGGACATGTTAATGAACGAGTTCGATGTACTTCTGATGGATCATCAGTTTCTGTTTGCCATTCTTGACAAATCAAACCGCAATATAAACAAATCACACGATCCTTGACAGTTGTTGCGAAAAAGCCAGCTGTAATCAATCGATCAACAAACGGTTTCATTTCATATGACCAATGAGAATATGTTCGATGACGGATTTCTTTTAGTTTGTTTATTTCAAAAAATCTACGGATCTGCTCATATCGCTCACAATTTGAATCTAATTTTTGGCGCTTTGTACAGTTTTCTCGATTATCAGATTTTATGAAAGATTTTAACATGAGATTTTGAATAAATGAACAATCAGGACTTCGTTGAATATGTACATCAAGTGGTGTCATGTCTGAACTCCACTCAGATACTTCTAACTTACATGTATTACAGCGAATAGTATCACCATCACCGGTATAAGTGAATCCAGCCGAAGACATTTGTAGAGATGTATGAGTACCATTCGACTTCAATTGTGCAAGTAATATTTGCACTCTCCTAGTCACATTCTGTTTGGTTTGGCTATACTTTTCATTGAAGTTTTCATACGATGATGAGCTAGTTGATTGGTTCACGAATGCCATTATTCTTGACTGTTGTGATATATTCGTAGATTCACTGGCAAGATAGCCGTGGTTTCGATTTTTTTTTATCTGAAACTACTTCTTATGCATATAATCAATGAATCAGTAGATTATTTCGTTGAATTAGGTAAGAGAATATGTTTCACCATAGAAGTATACACAATATATATTTTTCTATGTTGCAAATGCTTTCTATACATAACAAAAGAAACTCAGTTATATCTTTTGGGTTTTTGCTCATTTCTTCACCAGTTTTATTTTCTCTCTAATTTTATTTACGTGATAAAATTAGTTTTTTTTTCTTTTTTCTATTCTCTAATGAATGCGAATTTATATATTGTTCTTTTCCTACCACTTACGTAAAATATTTCATGGATTGCTCAATTATATCTGTTGAACACTTTATATGACTAGTAATACAAGGGGACGACAGATCGGTTATTAGCGATGAATTATTGTAGAGAATTCACAGAAAAAGATTTTAAAAAATGGGTATATTTATTTACATAACATGCTAAGTAACAAGAAAAATCCTTTTGACATTATTTGAAGTTATATAATAAATAGATATATAGCCAGTGTATTCAGCGACAAGCTTATTCAAAATTATGAACAAAACAAGACTTTTAAAGTCACAAAATCTAGACATCATGTTTTCTCGATTAACTTTTTTATGATTCTCAATAACTTAGCAGTTAGAAGTGACCACCAAAAATCATTCATTTAACAATTGTTCTGTTTTTCTTTCGAATGAACTCGCCATCTCATTTACATCACATTACGCATACACGGCGAATCCTGATGTGTATATTTCAGATTGAATTATTTTAGTTAAATTTGAAATTAAAGTGCAACAAGCCTTATAATATTCCTATGACTGTTCATATACTTGAATAAGCGTTAGGACAGACATTAAAATATCATAAAGTGTCTGAACTAATCGAATCACTACTATATTTATTCAATATATATATATATATATTACTATGAACTTGAAATCTATATTATCATCAAACTATGTAATTATTTGAAATATACACAAATATACTGGTTAAAAACAATCGAATTGAGACAGAACTGAGAAAATATGATGTAAATATGACACCTCAGGTCATGCGTTCATTATTTGAGGAACAAGTAAATTTATAGGATGATTTATATTTTTGAAAATGTATTGCATAACAAATTGAAATAACAAAGTAAATTCTACGTTTGTATCTACTTAACAGAGGATTCATTTTTAGTTTAATCAACTTTTCCAACTTTTCCAACTTTTCCAACTACCCAACAAGAAAAACATTTACTTACTCACTCACTGTCGTTTTCATATCAGCTAAAAAGGTCGCATCGCTCTATTATGCAAGTGCTATGAAATTTATTTTTCTCTTTCTCTTTCTTTCGTACATGAATCATCGAGTTGTGCTTGGAAAAAACCCGAAATGTTTTTCTTTGTTGTCATCAGCCATAGAAACCGGCACCTCAAGCAAAACTACTCAGATAAATCGATACATTAATAGTAAAACGCTGCATTCTTTTTAAACTAGATGGTATTCAAGTTTCACTCGAATACAAAATGCGATGCGAAGCTTGAATCGGATCCTTACGAAAAACCTTCAATTCAGAAAAATCTTGAATACTTTTTATGTCTACATGATGAAATTCATCACTGAGGAAACTCTATTCTTACTTAGAGATACATTTTTAAGGGTCGATTTCGATTGATCGATTAATTATCTCCATGATTCATTATCACAGATCAGCTGTAAATGAATAGACTATAGTGACTAACATACGTTCATGACGTCACTTTAATTATCTCACAACGAATTTTTTTCATTTTCGTCATTTTGGAACAACATTTCTGAGTGAACGGAACTTCAGTTTAAAGATTCGAAAACAGATGTAAAAGATTCGATCTTGATACTTCGATCTCACGTTTCAACGAGTTTTCTACGATTTTCGGTCCTCGAGATCAGTGCGACGCAAAATGACGACTTGTGATGCGTACATCAAGTGAGTAAAAAGAAACTAGATGGTATTCAAGTTTTACTCGAATACGAAATGCGATGCGAAGCAGGAATCTGGATTCACGAAAAATTTTCAATTCAGAGAAATCTTGAATACTATTTATGTCGACATGATCAAATTCATCACTGAGAAAGCTCTATTCTTACTTAGCGATACATTCTTAAGGATCGATTTCGNATTCTACAAACGAATACTTCGTCGACGGCGACTACTAACACAACGATTTACGGTCAGGGTCAAACCGGAAAATTTCATTTTACAGACAACCATGCGACATTGAATGGAGCGCTTTGGAACTATCGATTTTGTTCTTTTAAAAATCAAACAATGCTGTAACTAGTGGGAAGAATCAATTCCTAAAAAAACTCCTATGTGTTTGTTTTGTGTTGTATTGTGTTCAAAGAATAACATAAAATATTGATGGTCTTAATTACGTGTAATCAAGTTTACTTAAATAATATTTTCTGAAGAATAGTGGAGTGTAAACGTATCGCACATGATCATATGTTTCTTATTCTTTCAACAGAATCGAACACTTGAAAAGTAACACATTCTTATTATCAATGAGACGACATGATGATAAGGTTTTCTCGAACGCACAGGAATATAGATTATTCGCATCACATTATATCTAGATCAATATTCATTGTACTCATAAATAACGAAGGAAAACTGTAGCATATGTTATCATGATTGTTATTTTTCTGCCTATTAAATGGCACAAAATTTAAATACGAGCGAAAATCGATTGTACTTACATTCATTTTATTCTTTTTAATCTCGAGGATGTGGGTGTGATTCTTCTGCTAATCTATACCCACATCTACACCATCAAGATTGAGGTGAAAAAATCTAAATAGGCCGATATGGTATCTTATACGCCCGGGCCCTTTATTGGATGATTTATATTTTTGAAAATTTACTGCATAACAAATTGAAATAACAAAATAAATTCTACGTTTGCATTTACCCAGGTCGAGCAATCCGACAGTAGGCACCTATCGGAACCCATCCGATCCGACTGGAATCCAATAGGATTTTATCGGATCCTGTCAGATCTTACAGAATTATCGTTGGATTCCGGGTCGAGGAATCGATGTCGGAACCTCACTCAGTATCGGATTCCTATGAATTCCAAGGAAAAACCGTTGTATGTCATCGGAAGTTCATAGGATTCCGACACTGAGGATCCGACATCGATTCCTCGACCCGGAATCCAATAGAATTGTATCGGCTTGTAGGATATTCCCAGGTTCCTATCGGATCCGATGTCAGATCAGTCGACCTGGGTACTCAACAGAGGATTCATTTTTAGTTTAATCAACTTTTCCTACTACACAACAAGAAAAACATTCACTTACTCACTCACTGTTGTTTTCATATCAATTAAAAATGTCACATCTCTTTATTATGCGAGTGCTATGGAATTTATTTTTCTCTTTCTCTTTCTTTCGTACATAAATCATCGAGTTGCGCTTGGAAAAATCCGACATGTTTTTCTTTGTTGTCATCAACCATAGAAAGCGGTACCTCAAGCAAAACTACTCAGTTAAATCGATACATTAATAGTAAAACATTACATTCTTTTTAAAATGAATGACTGATACCACGAGTGTACCACTTCTACATATAAACACCGACGCATGTTTACTCATTATTTGCAGAGAAGCATTAACTATCGAAAATATAAAGAGTTTCGATTTCATTTTTACCTTTGGATAATCTATTCTTTCTGATCGCACAATTAAATCTACTAACAAAAAACAACACCGTATTTTATATAAGAGATTCATTTTTGTTTTCATTATTCATATTATTTCATTCATTTTCAACTATAGTAACTGTATCAACAACAAACACAAATACTCTTTCATTCACTCACTGTCGTTTCATTAAATAATACAGAACAATCATTATCAATGGTTGTTAAACTAATGATTAGCAGTAAAATAGGATTTACAGTGGTAATAAAATATGCAACTAATATTTTCTATTAGTGAGATTCAAAAAGAGCTTGTAGAATTGGAGCCAATGGGATTGTAGAATTTTGCAAATGTTAATATGATATCCACTGCATGATGGTTTTCATTCTGAATTGATGAACGTAGCATACAGTGTCTGTATTAGCAGAGTCAAATTTTCAATTAGATACAGATAAAAAACTCAGTATCGCGTTTCTTTCCTTATTATTACGAAATATTCCTATCTGAAAACAGAGAATTTCATTGAGAAGTCGATTATTGTAATTAGCAGAAATAAAGGAAGATGTTCTTCAATAAATAAGTGTTTTTTATTTAATAAAAATCCAAAAGAACATTTGAGAAATTAACTACTCGATGTAGAAATACCCATAAATGCCTATGATTCTCTTTATTAAAATGTATCATTTAACATCGAGGACAATGTGGATATGGACCATAACCAAAATAATACGTATAATTAAAACCAGCATAATTGAATTCAATTTCATCATAAATTCCCGGCTTTGCATTGCTATCGACTGGCAGTGTCAAAGCCCATTGTGAATCAGCTTGAAAAGCAATTTTTTCTGATTGCTTATTTTTCATTGTATATTTACCAATAATCGTTTTCATATCATTCGATGGTACAGATCGTAATTGAAAAGTTAATTGATTTAATGACCATCGGCCATCTAAAATACATGAAACGTTAGTATATTGTTGTAACGGATCAACAGTTGATGAACCACAATTCCAAACATAAACATCATAACTTATTTGTAAATTGAAATTCCATGGTGTTGTTTGTTGATTATTTAAATTGGAACCAATACCAGCACAACAAGACCATTGGCCACGCATGAGACCCATACAACAACCTTGATCACGTGTGCAATCCGTACATTGGCCACGAACATTTTCAATAGATATCAATGTAGCGATGCTCAATACAATTAACAAACGATGTGTCATATTGACAGGTAAAATAAGAAAATGAATTTGATCATCACAACTTGTCATTTTCTATTTTCGAACAGAAACATATGTCTTTTTTCTCATACTTCTTGTGATAACTTATGAAATAATTTCATTTATTTGATCAAGTACGAATAAGAAAGTGATTCGTTTGGGCTTTAAGATGGCCCTACTACCAAATTTAAGTGCATTTTTCTAATCGTTAGTTAAATTCGAGTGTTTCAATACAATAGATAAACAATTTTTATCAACACCTGTATATGAATTTTTCTTGCAAAATACCATATACATTTTCAGTCATTAGAAATGAAGCAAGAAACGACAAAAAAAATGTTTTTTTTTGCCATAATGCGATTTAATTTTTTACAATGTAAATAACTTGAGAAAAGTCCGTGACTATGGATGTCAGTCATCAATTAGATTGCAATACTGTTTTTAGATGATGATCGAACATAAATAGTTTCTTAAATATTCTGTTTAATAATCATTCTGATACTATATATTCTTTAGATCGAAACTTCCAAATACGAGTATTGCATATTATTTAGTAGAAAAAAAGAACAAGGAGAGAGCTAATTCCCATCTAAGGGTCTATCTTTTCAGGTATGAACGTATACAATGCGTTGACCAAATCAAGAAACATCTTACGAAGTCATAGGATGTTAATTGATAATCAGCAAAATTTTTCTTGATACATTTTTGTTGATTTAAATCTACCTGATTCAATATTTTTTTAAATACATTTGTAGATGCTTCTTTGCCAGAAAAATATTGATTAAGTTTAATTTGTAATCGACAGCAGCTCAGGAATTGTACCGTGGTGGCTGCATCTGTTAACAAAGGAGTACGACTATCCGAACTTGTAAGCGGATCGAATACTCCATCCATAACGGATGCTTGAACTACTGTAGGGTATATTTGTAGAAAACGGTGAGGCCATAATGTTCCGTGCGATACAGCGAAAAGACAGACTCATCCAGGATTGGTAGCTTGATAGACTTGAATTTGTACTGATACATCGTGCGCAGCATTAGTGATAGAAAATTGATTCAATTCATTTGTACCCCATTTTGAAACTGAATATGTAATACATGTAGCACTTATATCTTCTAATCCATAATTACCACAGTTCAATGCACTCGAGAGTACAGGACCACGATGATCGGGTAGTATTATAGTGATACCTGGAGCGGCTTGTACTATGATCGAGGCAATAGTAAAAAAATTCCAATCTAATCCACCTGGTCCACCACTAAGCATAACAATAGTATTTTGACTTTGATTCGTTTGATTTAGACTAAGACGAAACATAGAAATAGCTATTGTTTGATTGGGTTGAGCGTAATTTAGTGGTAACTGTAAAGTACAGCAATCCAATATATATGTGGCAGTGGAGTTTAGAATCTAGTTGAGATTGGAATTTTTGATTATTCTATAAATGTTGTCAGAAAGTGATTCATAGAAATAAAATTTTGTTAGTGAGTAATATGAGATAGTTAGTTTGACTGACTATGCAGATTAAAAAAACGTTTTTGTTTCCAAGATTAATTGTGTCTATTTCTCCTGGTTGAAGAGAGAAAAGCGACAAAGATTCTGAAGAGATGTTGATGTTTTAATGCTCGGGACATTGGGACATTGATTTTCTTCCTTGCTATATTCGAAGAAAAGAAAGAAAGAGATTTTCGCTATCGCTATTTCGCAGTACGGGTCTCGAGCAGGTAGGATGGGAATGGAACGAGTTTTTATATCGAATGATATGGAAGGAAAGTAAATGTTTTTTTTTAAATTTCGAATGAAATTAATAAAGAAGTTTCTTGTATGAGTAGTCCATTTGATGTGTTATTATCTACAATCGTTCTTCGTTAAAAAAAAATAAGCTAATATAAAAGAAACTTCGTAATTTATGTCTAATCATTGTCTGTTTCATAGTGACGATTATCAATTATAAAAGTTTAAATGAATAAAGAAATGATGACAAAAAAGTTAGATATCAATAGGTTCTACTAAATTTTTAAAATGTAAAACTCGGACAAATGAGTATTTATTTGATGATGTAGCATTAATGTCATAATCAACGACGTATTTCATTTCCTTTTAATATTAAAGTATCAGTTCAGCAAGATAAATTAATTACTATATGATTCATACAAGCGATATGGAGAACGCATTGAGATAAATGAAAAATGAGAAATAAAATTGTTTTTTGTTTTGGTCACCAATTTGAAAAAGACATTAAAATTATGATTAATGAAAAAGTACTTTGCTAAATTTAATTCATAGACAAAGTTTCCACAGCGTTCATGTAACTTTATTTGCATTTTGATTTTCGAAAATCGTTTTTCTTTTCTTTTTGTCGCTCTCCTTTTTGTCAATTTTTGTCTATCTTTAATTAAATCTACTATTCCAATCTCAACTGAATTCTCATGTCAACTGTAGCCTATACAAACGATCGTGCATCTATATTGGTACACCGTTTCAATACACGTGGTTTTTTAACTATACCTGTACAATTACTCCATAATGCAACTAAATTCTTTTCATTCAAGGCCTTTTATTCACTAGTTTTGAATCATCCTTTTCAACATTGCATTTTACTAATTAGTATTTAATTATATATCAACGTCAATACCGTTTATTTTTCTTCTAAATTAATTATTCTTCAATCTGATTAGATGTTTTCGTTGGAATACATAATCAAAGACAAAATTGATACACGTTAAAAAGTTCACTATAATAAAATAATTTCGATTTTGCTGTTAACTATCATCTACATGTAGTATTCATTTAAGGCGTTATAAACCAACAAATATAATTATCTGCTTCAACTGTTACAAATATTTCTATGAATCTAAAACTATACTCTAAAGAATCAGCATATTAAATTTCAAGATAAAAACTTTCGAAGCACATAAATTCTTAACAGATTATATATGAAGATGGTAACAAAATAAATTCATTTACATTATTAGATCTTAGAAATGCAAGTGATGAAAAAATACACAAAAATTCTTCTGTAATTGACGAAGGTAAAATAGAATATCCTTGGCCAGTCTTGGCTCATCTCAACAGAACATCTGATATAAATCTCGACGAATTGATTTCCGGTTCATACGAGTAATACATAGTACATGAAGAAGAATGGCAATAATAAGAATTATGCAGCGAGTTGACATATACATTCGTACTTCTAAATGGCATATTTATTAAACCATTAGGTACCTTTATTCTATAGGGTATTCAGTATTTTTATTCTCTGTAAATATGCCTATAATTTTAATATACTCTGATAGTTTCGACCGAGTTGATTATTTTTCATTCTCTCTACTCAGTTACCAATTAAGTTTATTCTACATGTATGATTATTTAACGTTCGCTTGACATCATTTTCTAAGTACTGTTGATATTTTAGAACGTCAAGACATCTTTCTTTTTTAATTCATCACTGCCATGATCATTATCCATGTATTCCTGCCTTTCTGACTTTTATTTCTTCTGATTCATCGCTTGTCTCTCTTCATTTGTGTACCTTTGATTATAGAAGTTTGTGCATTTCATATAAACGAGACGAATCTATGATATTGTGAGTAAAAATAATGTGTCATAAAATTCACATTTACATTCCTTCTATCAGATATAAACACATACACTATAAACACAATAATTTAAACGAAAACTGTTTGCCATTGATGTAAATTTTACAATATTGTAAGTTAGGATTTTTTAAAGTCTATGGAAATCGATTATGTGCCCACTTGGCAGAGAAAGAAAAATGCCTGTTATTATTGAATTCGATCATTTGGCCAAGTAAAAAAATGAATGGTAAAAGGCCAGTAAAACTTATTTTTTCTTCAACTTCGCGCCACTAATTTATTTGGTACTAGGTCAATTCGTCGCGAGACAATTCGTCGCGGACAATTCGTTGCAAGACAATTGGTCGCAATGTAACTTAATGAAAGTGAATATGACGTTTTGCTTGATGTAATTGAATCAAGTAGACTATGTTCAATTAATTGAATAAGCCCACGAATTTCGTAGACTGAGTTATGAATCTCAAGGAAAAAATAAATAATCTAATAGGATTTTAGGAAAATCAGAAAAAACCCATTAATTTTAAAAATAAATATAAAATAATTCTCCTCAGTAACAGAAGACATTTCTTGTCACTATTCATACAATTATCTATATCAATTATTCTACATTTTCATTACTCTCCCTTAATTAAATTAGAATAAACATGTACGCGACGAATTGTCTGCGACGAATTGACTGTGCGACGTATTGCCCATGTGACGAATTGTCCAGTTACCATTTATTTACCTGTATTTGATTCGATTCAATATCGACTTTTTGGCGATGCCGTCAGTTTTTTTTATTAGTATGCTACACGATTTGTTTCCTTTCGTTTATGTTTGATACTCATCATGCATAATATTCAAGTCTTATTGATCAGAAGTCTCTTGGCTTAAAATATGCACAACCAAAAAACAAAAATGGTCAACAACAATTCGTTTTGCGACTCCTATCGTTTATGTTCTTCACATCTAATAAATATGGTTCTAGCTTTGGATATAAATCTACTCACATAAATCAGTTGGAGTGTTGGCTTAAAAAAGGTTATTTTTTTTTGTCGTTTTCATTTTTTTTGCTTTTTATGCAGAGGTGTGCTATTTTAGACTATACTTTGATTATAATAAAATATTCATTTGACAGAAATCTTTTTTAACACCTCATTCATATCCGAACCAAAATATTTCTTATCTGATTATCATGAGCATTTAATGAAGCAAGGCATAGAATGATATCAAGTTTCTAGAATAAAATAATGCAGCTCAATGACGTAGTATGATTAATTTTGAAAATGGCACTATTATGAATAAAGGAGAAACACAAATACCTATAATAGTAGTTCTTTTAGTTTTAAAAATAGCTTTTCGTTCGCAAACAAAACATGAATACCAGAAGTGAAGGGTGAAAGAACAACATATTCGTTTTTTTTTAAATTTTCTATTGCTTTTCTTCTACTGTCAGACGTATTTCCATCATTATTTTGTTTGCTATTAATTATAATGTGCATTTCGTGATTACGAAGGAGCAAAAAAAAGCGTAATGCTAGTTCGTAGATCATAGGTGCAATATTAATTAAAATAATTTTCTTTTCTTTTATATGATATTAACTCTTTTGAGTATATTTCAATCAGTTTATTTATAAAATCCTACAGAAAAATAAAGACAACAGATTGTATTTATAATCTACATATCTTGTTTATTTATCATTTTAAGCTGAAAATATTTTTCTATTATTCTCAATTTTTCTTCCATAAACAACACTTATAGTATGAACGCATGATGTATCTACATCCAGTAACAAAATAAAATATAAACTGTTTTCATAACATGAAGTTTTAATAAAAAAATAGAATACACGGATTGTTGAACAAAATATTCATTTAAAGAAAAAAATTAAATCGAGTTATGTTGTTGTACAATAACGCGCATTACACATTATCATCGGTGGCAAGAAATAAACATAGAAACCGTCACAATTGACAATTGAAACAAAGTTAATGCCTTGGCAGACTGCTCCATATACGTTGAAACATACCTCCCCACTAACTGGTACTCCTATTATAGTAGGTAATGCTCCATTGAGCCATCCTGCCAGAAAAGCACCACAATGATTTTCTCCGGGTGATTGAAGAGGTATTATAATACCTCCTGTGCCCACGAATCGAATCCATCTACCGCCAATAGTTGTGTTGAATAATGGACCATTATCACAGGCACCACCTATTCCAGATGTAGCGATATTACGCGATGGATCATTAACAATCGTGTATGATGCACAAGGTGAACCATCATCACTAGTGCCACCATTACCAACATCATAAATGGCCGATATTGTTGATGTTGGTTTTATTGTACCTATAAAGTTGTCAATCAACTCAATCGATTATTCAAGAGCTATTTTGCTAAAAATGATTTATTCTTACTGGAATATGAACTGGTTCTTGATGTATCTTTTTCACTCGTTGCAGAATGAGAGTTGAGAATAGTAAATTTTATGACAACAATTGCAATTATTATCAAAATCAATAGACAAATTACAAGAAGAAGAAGAATTTTTCTTCGTAGAATATTAGTTTCTTGGAAAAAATGCATTGGTGGTCTTTTCAATTTGACAAAAAAAAGAAGAAGAGAAATGTTTTTTGAACATCTTACTCAATAAAACTCACTTTGAATCTTCCGCTTTTATTCGTTCATGCTCTGGTGAAGGTGATGCCATTGTTTTCGAATACTTATCAATCGTGCATGATATTTCAGGCCATCTTGATGAACGACTATTATTTGAAATAAACCTATCAGACTGCTATAACGAGTTCAAAAAGTTTTAAATTGATTATCAATTTTGAACTTTTGTGTGCTTCCTACTTGATGTTCAACATCTGTTGCTGCCAATACTTTTGCTGTTTTGAAAGGTGATGGATCAAAATCAACGAAATTGTCTTTCATCGTATTGTATTTTAAGATACTTTCTTGATCAGACTAAAATTCAGCAAATTCAATTTTCATGTTTGGATTTATTATAAAGAGAAGAACAATGGTCGATAGAAATGATTGATGAATTTTATCAGAATTCGTGTTAGGTGGGCGAAAATTACGATTACGAAACACTCTTTTATCCAAATAATCGAAATAACATTCCACCATAGGCTACCTACGTACTTAATTATTTTGAAAAAAAAAACTATAGTTCGCAAGAAAAGAAAAAATGACTTTATTGATTTATTTGTTCTTTGTTAGCTTTCTCCACATGTAAAAAAACAGTCGATTGCATGTTGCATTAGGGGGAATAGGGTGCTTCTATTGTAATAAGATGTAAATGTAATCAAAATTATTCAACAGAAATTTTGTATTTTTTTCGCAAAAGTTTTCTGTACCTCTATTTATGCGCATAAATGCTGTTTTTTATTAAGCTTAATTGAAAATGCAATATACTATCATCTAGTCGATAGAGATTACAACAACCGCACTTGATACGGGAAGGAAAATCTCTTAATAGACTACTAATATCAATCTGAATTAATATTTGCCGCAATAATTGGACAATATTCTATTGAAGGATATTTACTATAATTTTATGTAACATAAAATGAGTGATGAAATGGTTCATGTACATATGCTTGAGAGTGTATAGCATTGACTAACGATCGACTAAAATGGTAGTTGTTAAGATAATTCCGATAATCCAAATATTTTTACTTCAATTGAAAATTTTCAGAGCAATTCACTAAAATACAATAGCCTTTAACGACAGATCGATGTCATGTAGAGTTCTTCATAGAAATTTACTCTTAATATACCAACCATCTACACGATATGCACAAAAAACAATAGATGGTAACAACAAATACCGTCGATTTCAACAACCTATCCATCATGGTTAGCACATCGTTAATTTATAATTTTCAAAGGATCGATTTTTTCATATGAAATTTTTTGAACAACACGGCATCTATCATGCTAGAGAAATAGCTGTTCGCAATCTTGCTGGTTACCAAAGGTGTTGACTTGAAATAATGCAATATTCCGGTGAATGGATTAAACTGAGAGTTTGGAATCAAAATAGCCATAAAACAGTACGAACTATAGATGTATGACTTTTCTCTTATCGAAAGCGAAACTTTTTTAATGCTCATTTTGAATGGTCAACATTGTATCAAACCTTTATCATGTTCTGTTTTCATTAGATGATTTTTACTCACTGCATAAGCATTATTGTTCTCTGCATAATTTCACAATCTTTCCGATGAAACTCAATTACACGGATGGCTTTCTATTGAGAAAAAAAGTTTCGTTATCATTCTTAGCTAACTGATTGACAGTAACTTAAGAGCTGAAGCTGCAGCAAGTCTATTCATTCATTCTATTGAATGTAAGATTCCAATAAACAGTAGAGTAAGACATTTCAGTCTTTTGAACACGAGATAATTTAAGTTCTTCACACTATATAGTCTCTTTGATGCCAACAACCATTAAAGCGTTTATTTGATTTGATAGGCAATTGTTTTGGCTGTCGTTTTATCTACTTTCTTTGTTTGATTAAGAAATATTTCGTTAACGTTTATTTTTAAAAACTAAAATAATCTGAGATTATGTTCTCACTGTCGCATAATTGTGCTTCAGGTAAAAATCGAAAAAGCGCATTAAGTTTTATAAGTACAATAACTAATCTATTTAAAAGTAAATTGTGTTCAGTAATCTCAGCAATTGATCTCACCCTATCCATATCCAGACTCTATATTATCATATGTTCGAGAACTACTAAATAAACAAGGCACAAAAATAACTGATTTCGCAATCCAATATTTTTTATAATGCTTCTTTGTATATACTTAATTTCTTTTCTCTTGCAAAGAAACCATCATAACGCATATGCTTTGATTCTTATTTTCTAAGTAGACAGAATCTCAATGACTTGAATAATAGGGTTTTGATTGTAAACGTAGTTTTTCATAGGATAGCAAAAAATTTGTTTTTAAATAAAGTCATCTGATTTAGTCGAGCAAATTACATTGAATTTCTTGACATTTTAAGTTTCGATTATATTCTTAATGAAAAAACTCTCTCGATATTATTTCTGAAAGATATGATTATGTAGAAATGGCTGATTTAAATTGCAAGACAGACAATTGTGTGCAAGTTTATTGAATAATTCAAAAAGAAGAGAAAAAAAACAAAGAATTCTCCATTCATCGTACTTAAGGGAAAAGAGACAATATGTGTAAATAAGTGAGTATATATATTAAACGAGAATGGTCTGTGTTATGACGATGAAGAAACAAAAAAGCACTGCGAGTAAGAAATAGACATGAAAAAAAACAGAATTTTTGCTAACTTTTATGAATATCAAAAAGGAAAAAAACCAAGACAAGCAAATATTTTATACAAGACAAATTGTTGTTCACTGTGTGATGAGACAAATACATAAATAGTAAGAGAAAAAAAAGAAAGAAGAGATCAAGACAATAACAACAACAAAGAAAAAGATCATTGCTCATGTTCATCAATAACAGTCGATTGAATGTTCGAGTTAACTGATGACGTACCTATAGATTCATCTTCATTTGGAACACTTGGTGATGTTCGACAAGGTTCAAATGGTATTGTTTCATTTTCATGATTTGGACTACTTGTCATTTGTTGATAATCCATGGATGACAATGATGGATCATTATTTGATGATGTTAGTGGTTGCATGGGTTTTAAAAATGAGGATGATGGAGATGATGAACTATGCAATGATGGTAAAGTTAAATCTAATTAAATTGTAGAATTGTCTTTTTTGTTTTTAATTATAATAATCAGATGAAAACTTACTAATTGATTGATTCTCTTGTTGTATAAATGTTGTTTGTTTTTGTTGTACATCAGTTGTAATCGATGGTGACAATGATGTTTGATCATCAGCAGCGAAATCATCATGTTCATCCTGAAGATTAAAAGATTGAAAATTATTTTTTATTTAGCAATGTAATAAGAACAAACCGTATTTGATGTTGATGTCAGTGTCATTGTGCTTGAAGGATGTTCAGAAAGAAATCGTTGTAGTGGTTGAATAGACGTTTGAGGAGTGTTTGTCATTGACATTATACTATCACAAAAATAATGAATATAAAAGTCAAGTCAACTAATTGATTTTCTATTTACCGAACGATAGTTTCTGGATGTTGTTCCGTCGATAGAGGCGATGATTTAGGAGGATATAAAGCATTTAATCGACTTTGTTTATAGACAAGAAAGGCTTGTTCTAATTCATCAAATTGTTTTCTTTCTTTGCGCATTGCTGTTAATGTTCGCGAATATTCAGTTTGTTGTTGAGATAAACGTGGCATTTCTTGCTCTTCTTCAGGTGTACAGGCAGACTACACGCGAAGCAAGAAATAAAAAGATTTTCTTCAAATCAAGTTCGAGATATGCAGCTATTAGTATCTTTAGAAATGTCATCAAACTATACGAACAATATAGTGATGAAATAATTCATATCAGAGTTTGTCTCAATGCAAAGTTTCAAGTACAAATTCCATAATAAGTTACTTTTGTGTTCTTGAAGCGGAAATCACAATATTAACTTAAAACATATTATATACTAAATCGAATATCTCGATAGTAATAAGTCAAAACTCGAATATTTTCCTAGATTTAAAATGATGTTTATAGGGATACAGCTTGATTGCGGACATTTTATTCCTCCAATTAAGAGAAAACGTCCGCAAAGCAGAATCGGGGGGAGTGGAGAGAAAAAAATGTCAGCATTATGGAATCAAGACAAGATTTATTAGGTGAAAAAAATACAGAAAAATCATTTATGAAGAATAGTTGAACATCTAACTGTGTTAGGTTGATAATCAAGATTCATTCCGAAATGATAATTTTTAAAAACTATACCATCTTCATTAGATTGTGTGGAAATTTGAGAAAAGCTATCATTTTTCACGATGGACATTTTTATGTGATTCGTTTAGGTTTAACTTCGTCACTTTACATGTTTTTCTTTCACAATACATGCTTATAAAATGGCCTGGATGACATGTGGTGAACAACACTAGACTAGCTCGAAACAGTTGATATTATTCAGTGCACCTATTTGCATGAATCATCGTAAAATATCAATTTTCGTTTGATTCCACAATGCGGACATTTTTTGCTCTCTTGCCCCCGATTCTGCTTTGCTGACGTTTTCCACTCTGCGACTATTTTGGTCTCTCTCCCCCTGTTTCTACTTTGCGGACGTTTTTTCCCAACAATTAAGAAAAAACGTCCGCAATCAAGAAGACACGGTTTATAGTCTGAAATTAATCGATTGAAAACAATCATTAGAAATAGAATAGGTATTTTTGCTTCTTTCACTAACATAAACAACAAATTAACGGAACGATAATTTTTATAATTGACAATTGTATCAATACCAATCTGCTCTTAACTCGATAGATGTGATTCTGGCACCAATCAAGCTGATTCTCAAGTTGTCAGAATATCTCCATGAATTGAGAACATTGACTGTAGAATCTAACTATGAATTACTGAATACAACACAAAAATGATAAGAGTTCATTATTTTGAAGTATTCAATAGGATAATCATTCGTATGAAAAATGTTATTTGATTACGAAACAAAAATAAAATCATCCAAAAAATTTATTTTTCCTCTTACTTGTTTTTGTTTTTTAAGTAAAATATTTCTCTTTTTTTTAATATCAGCTAAATTTGTTTCATCAGCTTTTATTCTTAAGCTATTAATTTCTCGTCTTTGTTTTAACCAACGTGCATAACGTTCAAATTGTTCTTCATTTATATTAGCATCAAGTTTTGTTAAATCATTATCACGTCCAACACTAACAAGACCACTTAATTCGGGTGGTGGAGATTGTTGATATAATGGATGTGTAATAGCTTGTTGAAGAAGATGAACAGCATGTGCAAGTGTTAGAGGTGTTTGTTGTGTTGTAGAGTTTACTGTAGATTTTGTATTACGTTCAACTGACCATTCAGTTGTACTAGTTGACTGTTGTTGTTGTTGCTGTTGTTGTTTATCTTTAAAATCTCGTTCAAGTAAATCTTCAAGGGAAATTGATGGATCTGTTGATGATACAGCTAAATATAAATCAAAGTAAAATATAAAGTATTAACTACATTTTGTTTTTAAATAAACTCTGTGTTCCCCCATATTTAGAATTTAAATAACATGTCATGCTCAAGCATAAGACAATAGAAATGAAAATGAATTAGTTTAACGTTGGAGCAGCATTGAGCAAATAGCTTTCGAGTTTGATTTTGGTTAATTTTCGTTTTATTACTTTGAACTCACCATCGCCATTTACGGCGATTGTCATTATTGTTGAGTGTGAAAATAGATCTTCTATTATTGCATTAGAATGAAACAACACAAACGAACTCTTTTTTAACATACCAAGAAAATGACTATCACCTTGTTGGTTCACTGGCCAGGCACGTTTTATTTGTATAGGTGCTTGTGTTACACTTGTTTGTTGTTGTTCATGTGGGGATGATGCTAATATAGATGATATACGTTCAGCGACGATTTGTTGTTGTTCATGTTGTGGTACGCCAGCTGTATTTATTACATTTGTTGTTGCTGGTAAGAGATCATGATGATGTTGCTGTTGTTGAGGATGATAATGGGAATATGATGGTGGGCCACGCATAGCAGCTATATTTAATGTTGGTTGTTGTTGATAATTAGACCATTCATGTACTTGTTGCTGCTGTTGTTGTTGTTGAACATAAGGATGGTGAGTTGCAATCATATGTGGAGGTGGAATTTTAGGTTGAGTTAGTGGTACTATTTGAACAGGTGTTGATGGAGGATGAGTGTTAGAAGCTATTTCATGAGGAATAGTACCGGCACCGGAAACGACGTCACTTATGACTTCATCGATTTGTTCAAGAACATGAGGTGGTACAGCTAAAAATTAGTATTAAACAAAAATAAATTTTGATTATTCGACTAAAGAGATTGTTCTCAACGATGAAGGTTTCGCTGAAGTTTTTATTGCTAGAGACATCGCAGAGAACGAGAGAAGAGTTATAAATACTTGTAAATTATGAGTACGACTCTTCACATTATCAATTTCATAGTTTGATTAATACATTTATTCCTCTTTTTAAATTTTAAAACTTATAGTAACGAAAAGGTTCATAAATCAGAGCTTCGATTTCACTCAAGCAATTGAACTTGGTTCTACCTTTAATTTGCTAGTGTATATAGCCTGAAGATAAATGACTGTAATTGCAGATGGACAACAGTTTTGGTGCCAAAATAAATAGCCTTTTGATCATCATCGTTCTTTTAAAGAAATTTGTTTACTTACAATGTAATGGATCAGCACGAGTTTTGCTTGTATTCATTGATTCATTCAATGAATCATCATGTATTTCTGTTTTAACTTGTTGTTCATCATATGATATCGGTTCACGTTTAACAAGTAATTGTTGAGGTGGCTTTTGTATTTGTATTGGTCTTTTATTAGGATCAGTTGGTGGTGATTGATGACCACTAGTTGATAATGTTAATTGATGATGATGAACCGATGATGGAGAAAATTGTGATTGAGGTTGAACAACTATTGTTGGTGAGTGTTGTGTTTGCTGAGAATGCGAATGATGAATTTGTTGTTGTTGTTGTTGAGATGGATAAGGTGACATATGATGTTGTGATTGCATAGCCATTGGATGTTGCTGAGGATTTGGTGTTATCGGATGATGATGAGGACTAAATTGAGGTGATAATTGATGATGTTGTTGTTGAATATGTTGATGAGCTGAACTTTCAGACTAGACAGAAGAAAAAAACATTTATTTGATTAATGACATATGTAATTCTATATGTTCGAATAGATACCATTCTTTGAAATGATTCATTCGGTCCTTGTTGTACTACAACAGTATGTTGTCCTTGACTTTGTTGTGTATATTGCACATAGTGAGCTGTTTGTTGTTGTTGTGTTTGTTGATTAGGTGGTGATGCAAAAATAAATCTGGTTGGTTGACCAGGAGCTGCTGATGATGGTGTACGCACAAAATTGTTTGCATCTTGCTGTGGAAATCTTGGCATAATTTGTTGTGGTCTTGGTGGCATGCCACGTGGCAATAATTGCTGTTGTTTCATTTGATTTGGATATGGTGATTGTTGTTGTTGTTGTTGTTGCTGATGATGATATGGAGATGTTTCATCCATAGGAGAGACATGATGATATGGTGTGGTAGGATCTGACGATGATGATGATGCTGATTTTCGTATTGGATTATTGTTTGTGACTGTATTTGAAAGAAGAATAGGTGTTGATTCTGCTGGTGACGATTGCGCTTGATGTGGTAAGGAACGTGGTGTGGATGGTGCATATTCAAAATATGGTGAATTTTGAGATTGTTGTTGAGGTGGTGGAATTTGTTGTTGAGAAGGAAAATTAAAGCGTTGTGGTGGTGGATAACCAGTGGGTACCGAAACAGGTGTATTATATCTATGAAACAAAAACAAATGGTTTTCTTTAAAAATCTTTTTTTCTATGCTCGTCTATTCTCACCCTTGTTGTTGAGGTCGTTGCATCGGTTGTTGTTGTTGTGCTACATACGGTTGATGATGAAAACTCGTAGGGTTATTTGATGCTGCAACCATTAAATTTCCACTTCCAGGAGAATACATTGGTCTTGGCTGTTGATAGAGATGTGTTGTTTGATGTTCTTGATGTTCGTTTGAATGAACAACAACGGCTGCAGTTGTTTCATTGGTTGCAGATGATGATGGTGTTGACGAACGACTTTCACTGCCAGCTCCAATATCATTCGTATTATCTTCAGGTTCACTTGATTGTTGTTTCGATGAAGTTTTTCGTTTTGTACCTTTTGATGTTGTCGACGATTGACTACTTGTACTCTTTAACGCACGTCGTTTTGTTCGATTCAGACGTGCTTGTTGAGTATAGTTCTGTTTAGCATCTGTTGGAACTTTACGCCAGATTTTTTTCATTTGTTTAAATCGTTCGTTGAAATCTTAAGAAAAGATTCAAAATAAAAAATTCAAAAATAAACTATTTTCTTTTTCAACTAAATCAAAGGAAAGAAATCATAGAAAATAAAAATAATAATCCTGTTTTCCCTCGAATTTACTCACACGAAGGTATATAATGAAAGACTGAAACGAATATATTTTAAGATAAAAGGAAACAATATAATTCATTGATTTTCTTACCAGGAAATTGTTGTTTTAATTCTGGATGATTAACATTACAATAAAGTACATTTGACATAGTTGCATTTGCACCTAACAATTCATCTTCACGTGTTCGTTCTAATAAATTTGTATGTTCACCAGCTACTGCTGATCCTGAACGATCTTGTGTTGGAGTAGTACAAGCTGGTGTTGGCACCGAAGCTGATTGCAACAATGGCATACGTATCATAGTTTGTTGTGCAGGCCAACTTTGTTGTTGTTGTTGTTGTTGTTGTTGTTGCTGTTGTTGAGAAATCATTAGTGGACTTTGTTGATGGACATGATCATGAAATCTATGAAAAAATATTGTATTTACTGATCTTACAGTATGAGATATTGACACTAGTAGAAGATTTTATAGTATGATATCTTGTCTACAGCTATGGCTGACATCAGATTTACGACTTGCTCAATGATTGATTGATTGAACTGTGGTTTGCAAACAACATGGATATGAGAAACATAAACAACGAATACTATTCATTCGATTTTAATTTTTTCAAGCAACTCTATACATCATCGTCAAAGACTTATTTCCAATTCAGCTCGTTCGATAAAGAATTTTCATTGAAAAAACAAAAAGTTAGATGTTCTCCTAGTTTCAAAAATGCTAATGATTAAACGACTAAAATCAACATATGAATCTTTAAATGTCTCTTGACTCATTGATCTATTCAATTACTGTGTAGATTTAATTGATTAAGACTTATTTTGAAATTGGTAGCTATCGATGTTTCCAAGAAAATGTATACTTCAAAAATAAAAACTATATAACTCAATGAAAGGAAACCATCGAATTCCATCGAGAAAAGTCAATCAGATTTTGTGTATCATATCTTTTTCATTAGATTTAGATTTGATTTTTTTTCCTTGTTAACTTACTCTTGTTTAACGATAAGGCCCGTATTTTGAACATTGGCTTGTGATAAAATTGATGAAGTTGTTGTAGTATGTAAACCAGTTGATTCCATCATTTCTCTTGCTAAATTATTAATAATTTGTTTTGAATTATCATTAACATTCGTTGCCATAACAACAAGATTTGATGTAGGCGTTGCTAATGGTACTTGAGAATTTGTTGGATGATGAGATGATGTTGTTGTTGTTGTTGTTGTTATCATTGTTGTTTGATGAGATTGTATCACTTGTACAGTATTATTTCCATTTGATATTGATACATTTTGATTTGTTGCATTTGAATTATTAAGAAGATCAACAGCTAAATAGAAGAAAAAAAATTCCAAGATAAAAATAGGCATTTCAACTTTTGTTTTACCGCACCTTGTAGTTCATTATGTGTTTCAGGATGTTCAATAAATTCAAGAAAATCTTCGATATCAGTGGGTCCACCTAGAAATATAAACAATTGAATGATTACTTTAATAATCAAGTGAATAATTTACATAGTGGTAACATAGGATCTTGTGTTGTTTTTGAACTATTCATCATATATTCTACAAAATTACAAAATTCTTCATTATCCAAAATAGCTTCTAAAATAAAACCAAGGAAAACAGTTATGCTAAACGTGAGAAAAATTTTCTTCAAACATACGCATATCAGTTTCATCATCAGTTGCCGTTATAACCGGTTGTGGTAGAGCATTTGATGGTGTTGGTACAGGTACAATCGGTTGTTGTCGTTGTTCTTCTTTAACAGCTAATGCTAATTTTGTTGCTTTTTTTATTAAAAACCGATTAACTGTATCATGATCTAATTTAATTGTATATTCATTATTATTATTATTATTTATTGTTTGATCATGTAATTGTAATGGCACAATAGGAATATGATTTTGAGCCATAAGACGACTTTTTTCTGCAAGATCACTACCAAAAAATGCTTCCTGCATATCAGGTGGCATATATTCTTCGAGAACACTTTTCTTTTTCAATGGTCGACGATCACGTTTGCGTTTATTTGTTGCTGAAGATTCATCATGAAGATTATCATCTTGAAGAGGATCGTTATTTAATGATGAAGCATCTTGACGACGACGTTGACCACGAATTTTTACGTGAAAACCGCCAATACCTAATTTTAGAAAATTAAGTTTTTAAAATATAAATAATATTTTCATTTTTGTTTTCTTACCTGTATAACCTTTCGCCGCTTTTGCAATCGGTACTGTAGCCGGTGTTTTCTTTGTTCCTTCATCATCACTTGTTCCACTTCCACCGCCAGTTGCACTGTTAACCATTGTATCATCATCATGTATTGAACTAGAATTATTTCGTTTAACACCACCCATATAATAATTTGCTAAACCACCACGTTTTGATTTCGCATTCGTTGTTATACCTGCAGCAGCAGCTGCTTTTTTTGGTAATGGTTTAACACGAATAGCTTTCAATTGTGCTAAACCAGTGTCAGTTAGATAAACTCCTTCATCTAATTTAGTTGCTTTCGGTGTTGGTAATTGTGGTTGAATTATAGTTGTTGCATTTGTTGCGACAACAAGTAATGGTGCTTGATCAGATGGCGATGAAGATTTTGGCGATGATGATGATGGTGGTGGTGGTGGAATTGTTTCATTTGTCGAAGATAATGCTGCTGTTGGTCGACACAGCGAACAAATAAAATCTCCTGTCGTTGATAATGTTGAATCTTCGGATAGGATATGTTCGCATGAACCATGTAGCCAACGATCACATAATGTACATTGAACAATAAGTTCATCAGATCGATACGGTTTTGCACAAGCAGGACAATTAATAAGTGAATGACATGGAGCACATTCAGTATAGTTATTTTCCCATAAACAACATGAACCCGCTGGACCTGGGTTTGTTGAACCACATTTAACACAACGAACACACCTAAATGTAGAAATAACAAAGTACAGTCATATTTTCTTATGGGAATTAAAGAACAAAAAAAACATTTTGTTTCTACACTTGAGGAAGAGTTTTACCTTCCTAATTAACTGAAGGCCTCCGAAGAATGCAGAATGAATCTACTATGCCTCATTAAAGGTAGAGAGCGATCTATCATTTCAGACTACTCTCCATAGGATATGAGGTTAGACATAGGGTTCGAACCATGAACCTTTTATATGGGATGTCCTTAACAAATTAGATAAAATGTTGTACTCCTCATACCATTGACATTTCCAATTGCCTTTTGGCACTTGATCCAATGGTGGTTGAAGACAATATGTATGATAGGATATATCGCAATCATCACATAATAATAAACGAGATTCGTCTGTTGGTTTACCACAACCTTCACATACAGTACAATCTAAACAACGCCACCCTTGTTTTAATATAACTTTTGATAACTAAAAATAAGAATTATCTTTTGATATTTTTATAATTTAAATTACTATTTAATATACTTTATTTAATCCAGCACAATAGGAATGATATGATTGACCACATTGTGTACATGATATTAGACGTCCTTCCTCATCTAGACCAAAACTTCCACAACTAACACACATGTCTTGCCTCAATGTATATAATTCATCGGATGAGCAAAGAACAGTAACAGCATGGTGTTCATCATCATCACGTTTAACAGCTCCAACTGTATATGAACTACCCGTACTACCACCACTTGTATTTAATAAATTCATTGGAGTAATTGATGGTTCATCCATATTCTATTGATTTTTTGTAAAAATAAAAACCGAGACAAAAAAAAAAGAATAAAATTACTGTTGATTGAATAGGAATTTCTTTTCGAATTTTCGGTGGACGACCACGACATCCGGTACCAGTTGTTGTACCTGTACGTGGTAGATTTGTACCTGTTATTGGATTAATAGTGATGGATGGTTGTGGCGAGGATGCGCGACGATGACCATTGTTTAATGTCTAAATAACGAAGAAAAAAAAAACAGTACATAGAATTTTTATACGAAATAGAATGCAGAAAAATCATACTCGTCTAGCTCGTTTTTTACTGATTTCACCTCCATATGAACGATTATCAAATAGGGGTTTTCCTTTGCCTGATTTTTGACTTGTTTGTGTACGTAACGATTTAATAGGTTGCTGTAATACTGGTTGTTCATCATATTCTTGTTTTATGGGTATATTGATTGCAGTTGTCATTGGTAAATCCATTGAATGTTCAGATGATTCATCTTTTATACTCGATAAAGATTCAAATAAAAATGGAGTTTCTTGTTGACGAGTAGTGGTTGACGGTGCTGTCATTTCATTACTATCACCACCACCGGGTGTATATTCAAGAGATGATTGCTGACTATAATCAATACTACGACGTTTACGAGTTGATATACCACTACTCGGAGAAACTGTTGGTGGATTCTAAATAAGGAATAATAATAATCATGTAGCTTATTTAGTAAGTATCTATAGATTGAATTGCTTGAATCAACTATGATCGAATCTATCGGAGCTGATTAGCAGTATTCATTGTTTTTCTGGCATTCTCATTTTCGAGGAGTTTTATTTTTGATAACTTCTTCGTTCAAGATTGTATCAACATATATTGACAAGAAGTGTTGTTGCCAAAGCTTAACACAATCATTAAGAGATGCACATATATATATAAGACCTGCTCGTTTTCGTTTGTCGTATGACTTATGGAATCAGAAATACATCTCTACGGCTCAGCATATAGGCATGCTAATGTTTAGGGAACTTTCCTTTAATGTGTAATGTAGCAATGTGTGAAACCAAGATTTTATGCTGTCAATCTAGAGCCTACTGATTCACAGTTTTTGGGTGTTCTATCTAAAAGAATTTGTTATTAATTTATTTGTTGATATTACTTGCTCTATAACTAGCTATTCTTTTGTTTCTGAGAAACTATACACCAATTGATAACAAATAAAAAAATTATCTGAAAACTTACATTTGATTTTTGTGATTTACTAAGTAATCTATTCATTTTTGAGTTTGCCGATGAACGATAAATTTCTTTACCATCATCATCATCATCATCATCATCGTCCTCATCATTAGCTTCGTCCATGGGTAACGTTGTTATCGATGAAACAGAACATGATCTGCACAAATATGCTGTATCATCATCGTAATAATCATCATTCATTGAGTGACATGTTGAATGAACACGCATTTGACATTGATGACATTGACGAATATTTTGTTTAGCTAAAATTTCATTTTGACATAATGAACAAATAGATTTCGATGATGATGAATTTTTATTTTCCAATGATAAACAACTTGAACAACTCCAACCATCTTTTGGTATCGATTGATTACGTAAGCAAAATGTATGATAACCTTTATCACATACATTACACATAATCATTTCCGCATCATCACCTGATTGTCGGCACGTTTGACAAATTTTACAATCCGGACAACGCCAACCAGTGCGTACAACACGATTCGATTCAAGCATAAGACATTCAGCATGATAATGTTTATCACAATTCGTACAAAACAATTGTCCACGAACATCGCCAGGCTCTGAACATGCTTCACATGATGATTCAGAACCAACTAATTAAGAAAAAAAAATAGTTTGACGAAGAAAAAAAACCAGAAGAATATTAGCTTACATATTGGAACAACTGAATCCAAATGTTGTGGACAAATAAATGTCAATTGTGAATGAGAAAAAAAACAGCCGGACGATTGTGCACACGATAAATGAAATTTTAATGAACAAGATTCATTTCGGCAAGAAAGTGAAGCTCCATAACGATCACATATTGTACATTTCTAAGCATATTAAAAATTTAATATTATAAATAAGACTATGAATAATCCGACTGTTTGATTACGCTTTTTTCTCAAAATTTTATATTACCTATTAAATAGATCTAATAGAATGAGCTTCACATTGCTGAATCTCTCAAGCAAAGTTCAATGTAACTGTCTACCTTGACAAATCCCCGAGAGAAGTCTTCTAATTGATAGATTGTCAATGTTTTATCCAGCGGGAGGGCAAGGGACATTTTGCCCTCCCGAGAAAAATGAAATAAATAATTAACTTTTATATAACTTACAAAACAGAGATCTTTCGAACGTATCAGTATGATAGACTCGATATTACTCATGGTAGTTAGCCTCTTAAAAAACTTTTACCTGCCCTCTTGGCACCTGAATTTGCCCTCCCGGAGTGAAAAATCTAGATAAAACACTGTAGATTGCTTTTGAGTCAAGGTAGCATGCATTTTATATATATCGCTGACGAAATAGTTCAGACCTTGAATTTATTCCAGTGAAAACTATGCTTTCTGTATGTTTTTCTTTTAGAAAAGATGCTTTTCGATTTGAATCAATCAATCATTAATGAAAAAAAAAATGTTTCAATATTAAGATACAGCTTTTATTTTTCGAGCGATATGATACTTAAATTTTACGCTTGAAGTAAATCGAAAGACATCAAATTTTGAAGTGAAAATTCGAAAAAGATTTGACCCAATAAATATATCAGTTTTCATTTCATAATCATATCAATTAGTGTATTTTTCCATCTCATAAGAAACTTATTTATCTTTTCCATTACCCATCAAAAAAGTTTCATTTTCATTTTTAAAGAAATATATTATTGTATAGCTTATATATTGATGGGATTCCAAAATAAACTTCTCGTGCTGTGTCACTCTAACATATAAATAAACAGAACAAGCAAAGATAAATCTTGTCATCTGCAATGAATTTCGACATCGCTCGACAGATCCTTCTGCCTAATGTAGTATATGAGAACAAGCAGTAGATCATAATCATTACAATACAAATCAAGGATTTTTTTTTCGTTTTTTTAATCTCTGGTGAGATTCGATAAAGCATGAAAAATTCAAATGCCTGTTGGGTTTTCATTAGAAATACCAAAAACAAATAGAAAATAATTTATAGTAATTCACCTGTTTAATTGCATTAGTAATAGCCGTTCGAATAAGATCGTAATCATTTATTTTTCCTTCATTGTCTAGTGACCACTTGACACATCTCTCATGTACCCAAAAATTTCCGTTTAAAATAACATCGGATGATAATTGAAAGCCAATATTAAATAATTCGGAATCCACGGGAACAATAATTTTCCCAGTTTCTAATATAAAATTATTTCTTTTATCGTTTGGTATATCTCTGTAGAAAGAAAAAGCAATATAGCAATCTTTATTGAAGATCTCTATTTAATTTACTCAAGTGTCCGAGTTGTAGACGTAACGATTGATTGGGATTCATCCGACGAAGAACGAATTAAAATTAAATCGCCTTGACCAAGACTACAGGATGATGGACAATTACAAAATAAACAAATTGGAATATTAGTTAAAGAAGTCATCGCAGGTTGAAAACACAAACAAACAAAAATAGCAAATTATAGTAAATGACAATTATATGAATTAGTGGTGGTTAATTAAATATGTCTTCATTCCCACCCTATTAAAAACAAAATTAAGATTTAGAAGAGAAAAATTCGTTTTGTTTAAATGTAACTTACACTGTTCATTTGAGCCTCATTTTTCTTTCATTTGAAAAACAAGATACCAAAAGAAAACTATTGAATGAAGATGGGACAATATCTAGAAGAGTCGATAGAGAAAGTCATTCAACCATGCAATTAATTCGAAGTATGAAGAGATTCACTTAAGAAAACAAAGAAAGAACAGCGGCGGCCATTTTCCGACGTCTATCCTTTTCTCCAGAACCGAACGGAGGAGAGCAACTACAACGACCAATGGTCAATCAGATTCTACCAATGACAGGTTACGTATTTACAGATGTCGCAAACTGTCGATATTGTACATATTTTCTTATCGACAATAGAACACACGGAAATCATCGTACAAAGAAAACAACAAAATGAAGAACCGTTTAAGTTAAATGAATTTCTTAGTTTATTTCAATATGATATTGTCTCAGTTATTTTTAATTGCTGTAGCATGCGAAAAATTATATATATGTATTGATTCTAAAGAAGATCTTCTGAGCTACTGGTGTAGCTTAGCAATGAACTTTCAAAAAATTTTGTTTGGATGAAAATCTTATTTAAGATTGATCTCATTCATTCATTTTCAAATTGAGTTTAAAATATGATCAATTTTTACTGATAAATCATTTGGATTTCACACGATGTATTCTCATTAACCGAAAGAATATGTATATAAGTCTAGTAAAAAGTTGAAAATGAGTTGAAGCAGACATTTCATACTTCTAGAAACATGTTCTTCCGTTAATGAAGATTGTATGTTTGTCTCTGCTAGTGAACCATTTATTAATGAAATATATCATTCATACAATGTAGGCATGTTAAACATGCTTTATTTACGGTAATGAAAGAACGCAACACTTACTAGAAGAACAGTTGATCTTCAAAATATAATAATATTTTAAAATTTTGTATAAAATGTTTCTTATTCATAAGTAAGGCAAGTTTCTATTGTCTTTCGGTCGTACTTTTTACAGCGTAATTGATCTATGATAAACGTAAAAAATCAAGAAGTATGTTTTAGCAATGGTTTCGCGCGAGTTTACATATGAGGGAAATGTTTTGCAGAGACATTTGTTTTATTAGAGTAGAAAATAACATTTATTATTAAAAATGATAGGAAACTTATTTGATTTTATAAAAAATTATTGATTTGTGTTTGTAAAATATTTTCGAAATCCATTGATACTCATATGAGAAAATTGTGCAGATATATCACGTCCATGATCTTTGAAGATTTTCTTTTGGCTTCTCTTGATGACCTCCATTTGTTGTGATATCACCGGATATGCTAATATTTCGCCAATACAATTATAAATATAATCAATATCGATTTGTTCGGGATCATCTTGTTGCACTTCATTCAAGACTACTACATACTTCTTTTTCAATTCGTGCAAAGACTTGCATAATTTAATATTGAACGTACTCATTGGATTTACAGAATATAAATTTTCTTCTTCTTTGATAAAAAATTGCAACCAAGATAGAAAAAGATTTTCAGATACGTTACTTGTGTGCAATAAAAATTGGATGAATATAATGCTTGCGTACAACAAACGATCTTTCAGGTTTTCTGTTTCTGAATGAAAGCATTTACCTTGTAGATCACTTTTCTGATATTCTAGCGTGTAAAAGATAGGAAAATGTTGATCGGAAGCACCAGCACATGTAGTACATTTATTCGATGTACTATATTGATGAATAGAATTGATTCTTCAATCATGATGGAGTATTTCCTGGCTTGTAAAATGTTGCTCTTGTATTAGTGAAACAAAAGATTATGCTCTTTTGTGCTTTAGAGCCAAGAAAATAAAAAAATTGCATAAAACGTAATCGAAAAAAATTATGAAGACGAGCAGTATTCGTTTTTAATAGGAAAAAAATAGCACAGAGATGTGGAAGATGATTAATATATTGCAATATATGTTCAATATTTCTATTTATCTTGTCCCAATCCTCGAGTGTCTCCAATATCGGGTGTATCAATAAGACGTATTTTTAACTTATTGTCGACATCAAATACATACGATTGACAATATATTCCGTAACTGAATGACCTAAACTATTGTGATTTTCATTTTAATTGAATTGACCAAAATTGATTAGACGTTCTTCAAATCTATCACCAATGTTAAGCATAAACGAAACATGAATAAGAACGATAGGTTGACCATTTCTAGCATCGTAGAGTGAATGGAAAACGAAATAGTTCATCAATGCATTGATAAGTGTCAATTTATCAACATCCGTTTCACCTATTAGTAAAATATTGATTTTATTCGATTCGGTTGACGATAAAGATTTTCTTATTGATGGTTCCAATATCTTCATATGACTTGGTTTACATGAACAGTAGGAGAAATCAGCGAATACAAGCTGTAATAATGACAATGGTGCTTCATACTTCTTGAATAAATGTCGACAAAGTATATCATCCTAACCCAAGCAGACAAACTTTTAGGAAAACGCGTTTACACACTCAATCGGGAACCACGATTGTGAGTCATTAACGCTCAGTAACGGAACGCAAGAAACGCTTTTCTTACGCGGAATTCTCACTTTCAGAGCGTGAAAACGGGTAAAAACTCCAAAATCTGAGCGTTTAAATGCACAGTTATTCAATAACTTAAAAACTAATTCGTTTAAACGCGCAGAGTTGGAGTTTTCACGCTCTGAAAGTGAGAATTCTGCGTAAAAAACGCGTTTCTTGCGTTTCGTTACTGAGCGTTAATGACTCACAATCGCGGTTCCCCATTGAGTGTGTAAACGCGTTTTTCCAAAAGTTTGTCTGCTTGGGAAGTTGGAGATTTTTCCATTAGTTCTTTAGAAGACGAAAAAAGACAATATTTTAAGTTACTTTTTCATGATCGAAAAATATAATTTTTTCTTCGAAAGCTGATTGTTTATCCTGTTTACATTCAAGATTGACTACATTACAATATCCCATGGAATAATCAGTTTTTTATTTATCGATTAAAATAATTTTCGACAGTGGTTTCATTACTGTATTATGAAAAAATTCTAACGCACTGATCATTGAGTTGATTTTTTCACTGTTTTATTCATAATCAGATACAGTTAGTTTAACATTATCTCGACGATGTCCACCAACTTTGATTGCTAAGATTTGTTGAACTTTCGTTTAGTTCGCTTTAATTTAAATAGTCTTCTATGTAATTTATCTATAGGAATTTTGACTTGTTGCGAAAATGCGTGATATCTTTTAACATAAAATAATTGTTCGATAGTTTTAAACTTCTCATTTAATGGGACTATTTTCTGTTCTATGTTGTATAGGATCAATGGACCTATTACATAATATATTTTTTGAATAAATGAATTCTCATTAATATTTGTAAAAACAGTTCGTTTTTATACAATTAATTTTTCGTTCGTCTTGTTTTGAGAGAAAATTTCTTTAAAAAGTTGTGAAATACTTGCAAAGATATTCTAGAATAGAATCAATATCATTCTCGTACTCAACATTAGTGAGTTCTAGAGCTATGAGAAAGTCAATTTCTTTTTTTTTTACACTTGTTATAATGTAAGTAACGATATTGTTCGACAATGAAGCAGGAAGAGTATTTCTTATACGTTGAATATCACCGATTAAATATCCCTATTGTTCAATATGTTGATAATCAATAGATCGTGTCGTAGAATCAGTAGATAATGTATGATTACTTAACATACGTATTCCTGCTTTGAATCGAACCATATCTAAAGCAATACTTACTCTCAAATCATCTTCAATACCGATCATCTTCATTAAATTTGTATGAGTCAAATTATACACTTTTCTAAGTTTGATGAAAGGTTTTTCTGTGAAATACTTTCTGCAAAAGAACCCTTCATCTACGGATAAATTTGTTTGAAGATTATCTGTGCGAGTAGCGTATAATGATCCTACAATGCCATCGGTATTCAAACCGTAGCGTCCTGGAACGCATCCTTCTCGCAACTTTGAAGCACAACAAAATGTATAACCTTGAGACATGTTTTTTTTATTGAAGAAGTTACAACCATATAATTTTGTAGAATAAATGAAAAAGAAAAGTTTTACTTTTAATGATGATCTGCTGGGAAAGTTGAATGGAAAAAATGATAATTGAGATTTGCAAGAATCTGTAAAAATAAAATTTATACGTTCACTAATACGTTGTTGTGTGTCTTTTTCAAAGCAAAACTAGTTAAGTTATTATATAGCACATAGAAATCTCAAGAGAAAATTTGAATAACTTCAAACATGTAGAAAAACTTTTCTTCATCTTTCATTGACAAACAGAATGAACTCAATAATTGAAAAGCCGAGTAAAAGATAGTTCAAAAACGAATAACTTAAACGATATGCAGAAACCACTTGTTCCTATTGCCAATATGTAATAGCTAAAGCGCGTGAGCCAACTACTTTTCTTTATTCACGTGTCTGCTGGTCTCGTTGTTGGCTTCTATAGTTATGATTTATTATTGACTGTTTTAAGATTATTCAAATAAGGTGTAGCAATATTCGTGAAAAGAAACTGGTCGTAAAGAAACGAAAAAAGAACAAACGTTAACAATCATAATTTGAAGGAGAGAAATGTTTTCCTTAAAACAAAAAAAGTACAGAACAATATTTTTTTAGCTTGCACATTTTGCATCATCTGGTGAAAGCGCTTGATATACGAAAAAAACTTGAATGTATCGTACAATAAAATCGTGTAAATCTAATGGTAAAATGCTATAGGGATGCATTTATGTGTTAATTCTCCATAGGAGCTTCCAATATAATATAATACTTTGTATATACTCTCAATATATCCTATACAATATAGTTGAGATTATCTTATTTTGAATATAAAAGAAAATAACATTTGCTGCCATATGCCCAGCTACTTCGCATGTTTGTGTATGATAGAATCATGCTAGAGACAACTACTTAATGGTGATGCTACAATAGTAACAGGAGAGAGACAGCATGTTATCTCATTTCTTTTATTGAAGAATATAAATGAATTTTTAGCGTCTTTGAACAGCACCCTTTAACATTCATACAGTTATATTAGGATGATTGTTAGGTTTTTTTCTTTCTCTTTTCGTTTATTGGTACGAATATTTCTAAAATTCGATGTATCCATTAATTCACTTTTTGAGTGTAGAGATTTTTTACGGTAATTATTTTTCTTTTCGCATCGACACAAATGTGAACCTAGATATTGATATTGTCTGTTATGTGACTAAGATAAGGATATGCTATAGAAATATTATAATACATACGCCTCAACTCTCGCGTGCTCGTCCCTGTTCAATATCTTATTGCTAAGTTCTATGTTCTTTTTTTAAATATGTTAATGAAAAAAATAGAACGATGTTTTCATTGGTAGTAAAATAATCATACCGAAAATCACAAACACTTGTTTCCGTAGAGATAGAAAGAAATATCACTAAACAATTAGTGACAGACGACAAAAACTGATCAGCTGCATTGGACTACAGTCAGATTTGTTAGATTCCTTTCAATTTGTTCTCTGACAAAATTCATACAGTAATAGTACATGATAATCATATTCAACAGAATAAAAGCAATGATTTTCTACTTTTTGAAGATGTTTGCGATCAACTGTTTTTTTCGTATTTTTTCCATGTATGACTTTTGCTCTAGTACATCTTCATGATCAGGTGGAAGTGTCTTGAGCAGCTGGTCGATCCCTTTCTGAGAAAATTCTGCAGCTTTGTCGTATTGTTGAAGGCCAGTCAATGTCGATGCTATGCTAAGATATGTCGTAGCAATTGTTGCAGCATTGTCCGGCAAAGTTCGCAATTCAATTGACAATGTCTTCTGTTGACAAGATAATGCCTCAGTAAAGTTTTGGAGATGCACATAAGTACGAGCTATATTGAAGTAGATAGGTGCTAATGATTTGTCATCTTCATTCTTCACTTTAAGAATTTCAGTCAGACCCTCTTGATAATAGCGAATTGCTTCTGAATGTCTACCAAGGATTTGAAGAATAGTTCCTACATGGTAAAGATATTGACCAAATTGTACTGCGTCAGGGTTCGGACGTTTTCGGAGTTGATTAACTGCATCGTGTGCATATTTTAATGCTTCATTACGTTTCGACATATTTTTGTAGACAGTGGAAATTTTATGATAGGTCACAGCAATCGTTGGATCATCGTCGTCACAAGATTTCTGTTCAATATCTAACGTTTTCTGATAGAAAGACAATGCCTCAACATCATGATTTAGTTCACTATGGCATTCAGCTAAACGATAATAAATGCCACCTAATGATTCATCTTCATGGCCAACAATTGTACTAATACTGGCTATGCATTCATTATAATAAAGAATAGCTTCAGAAGGTTTGCCTTGCTTATAAAGAACATGCCCAACTTGACAAAGATATTGACTAAGTTTGGTTGGATCAGGATTCGACTGTAGTCGAAGTTGTGTAACTGCAGCATGCGCATATTTCAATGCATCGCTATACTTGGACAGTTTGAGATTAACTTCTGACATCTTTACATAAGTCGTAGCAATTGTGGGAGCATCATCCGGTAATGTGCGCAATTCAATTTCTAATGTCTTCTGGTAGGAAGATAGTGCCTCAGTAAATTTATTCGTTTTCATATATACATCGCCTTGATTAAAGTAGGCGATTGATAATGATTCTTCATCATTATCTGTGTCGATATGAGCTAAAGCCAAGCCTTCTTCATAATAACGAATTGCTTCCATATTGTTTCCTTGATTTTGAAGCACAAGTCCTATTTGACGTTTATATCGTCCAAGTGATGTTGGATCAGGATCAGATCGTTTTTGAAGTTGTTCTTCTGCTTTTCGTGCACATTCTAATGCCTCGCTATATTTTAACATGCCAACATATGCCGTAGACATATTGTAATAACTCAGAGCGATGGTTGGATGATTTTCAGCTAAAGAACTTTGCTCGATTTTTAATGCTTTTTGATAATATGGGATTGACTCTGCAAATTTCTTTTGTTTATAATAGGCACGAGCCAGATGATTGTATGTTGATGCAATTGACGGATGATTGGGTAATAAATACTTTTGTTGAGTAGTTAATGCGCATTGAAAATGACCGATGGCGTCATTATAAGAACCTTGTGAAAGACTTATTTGTCCAGCCCATATCGACGATTGCACCAAAGAATTAGGATCAGGATTTGTGGCTTTCTGGTTGATGTCTTGTGCTTGTTTTTTGAAGGATGCTGAGAAAGAAGAAACAATTTCTTTACTTAATTCATAAAGATTTAATCATCTAGGAAGAAACGCATACCATCTTTTCGATATCAACCATAGGCCAACTCACATTCTAGTGTTCTACTTTGAAGTTTGACTCAAAAACAAAAGGCTTATAATTAAAAATACTGTTTTCGTTCAAATCTTGAAATTAACATAGATTTGAAAAACTGAGCTTCAGTAAATTGTAAATTTCTGTTTCACTTTATCATATTTTTCAGTTTTGCTACAAACTTCGATTGAAATTTTCTGATGCAGTCATGGATGAGAGGAAATGTTTCGTTTATTTTGATACTTTTTATTGTACATGAAGTAGTCGAGGAGGCAATCGTAATTGTTATATTTTTAACTATTAACTTTAACAATCATGAACAGTTATAATTTCTGGTAAAAGTTTATTTCAAAACTTAGAATCTAAAGAAAGCGCATAAAACGTAAGAACCAATTCCAAAGTTAAAAACAAAACAAAAGTTCAAAAACATTTTTCCATTATCGAATCTATACATCTAACAGTAGCATTTCATTTTAATGGTGATATTGAGAACACTGCTAACCGTGAATGTTGGCCCGATGGTAAAATCTTCTCAACAATAAATCAATAGTCATTATAGACGAGAAATAATCCGGGGTGGTCCCTTTTCGTCCTCATTTTGTTTTACGGCCATCGGTCGGAGAAGTCCATTCCGAACTTCAGTTTCCGGATGTTCGGAATGAAAAAGACCGGGTGTTCGGAATGAAAGTCGTCTAGATGTTCGGAACGGAAAATACAGGATGTTCGGAACATAAAATGACAGATGTTCGAGACAAAAAATGACCGATGTTCGGAACGAAAAAACACAGGATGTTTGGAAGAGAAAATAATTTTTTTATAACATAGTCTATTTTCTTTTATTTCCTAGTATAGTCTTTCACAAAAAAAAGCATAAGACAACAAAAGTTTATACAAGTGAGAGAATAAATAACTTTTGTAAGAAAAATATTTTATGTCTAATGTTTTTTTGAAGCATGTCTTGTTTTTTTCTTTTTTGGAATTTGTTTAATATTGGCATCATCTGTTTCGTCTACTTTTTCTTTCACTTAATGAACTGCTGGCTGCACATTTATGAGAATTATTAGTAAATTTTTTGTTACCAGCACCTACCCTTTATAAAACAGAGAAGTTTATAGTTTTACTACTCATTCCCACTATAAAACATACACCAAAATTCATTTCCAACATTCAGTATTTTTTCGTTCCGAACGTCGGTCATTTTTTATTCCGAACATCTGTCACTTTATGTTCCGAACATCCTGTATTTTTTCGTTCCGAACATCCGGAAAATAGATTTTATTTTTTATATCCGATTTCGAACATCCGGTCAAATAACCTGATGTCCGGAAGAGTGAGGACGAAAAGGGACGCACCCATGTTGTCGACGACTAGTTCTCAAAAGTGTTTCACTTTCAGGTAGTTGATCGGCGGTATCTAAAGGAAAAGATCTCATTGCAGAATGTAAAATTGTGCTTGATGATTCTTCGGTTTCAGGGACTCGTAATTTTATTTTATTTTTGAGTTCCAGTACTGGAACCAGATCTGGTTTTGACGCGTAGCAGTGTTCAGTAGGTGCAGAAACAATTACATCCATAGTCGAATTGGTATTGGTATGGCAACGACCTAAAAGAAGATAAAAACAAAGTACAAATAATTAATTTTTTTGTTTTACCTTTGCAATCTCTGTTCTGACAACGAAAAATCAATTTAACATCAGTTTTTCGTTCTAAAGTATAAACATAACCTTCATAACCAATCACAGCTTTCCCATTTTCACTTGTAAATTTTTTAATTGGGTGTGTACTCATCACTTTTCTGAATAGATAATTGTATGAATATTGGCAAGAAATATCTTCTGTCGCTGAGGAGAGTTATTTTATATTTATTTTAAAAATTAATGTTTTTTTCTGATTTTCCCAAAATCCTATTAAATTATTTGTTTTTTTCTTGAGATTCATAACGCAGTCTACAAAGTTCGTGGGCTTATTCAATTAATTAAACATAGTCTACTTGATTCAATTACATCAAGCGACATGTCATATTCGCTTTCATTAATTTACATTGCCGCCAATCGTCCGTGCGACGAATCGTGCATCGGGCGAATTATCCACGCGACGAATTAACATAGTACCTTTCGATCATGCTATTTGTTCACGTTTTTCTTATTTGTCTACTTATTTTTCCACTTGCTATAATGAAACTTTATTCAACCATAACTCGAACCTTTCCCAAATCTGCATTACAAAGAACTATTGAAAATTTCGTTTTTAATACACTTCTTCCTTGTGTTTTACTTACATTGTGGAATGTCTTTCTACGTTTATGCATTGAGTGGAGGATGACTATTCCGTAAAGCTATATTTACTTTTGTGAATGTATTACGTCAAAGAATTGGGCATCGATAAGATTTAAGGTTTTTTTAAAATTTATTGAATAAAATCAACCTCGATTCACTACTCTGGTATCTCAATTCAAGATAATTATTAATTCTGTACAGTGAGTGATGCTGTAGATGTTTTCATATATATTAAAAAAATATGAGTGAGCTCCATTGTAATGTAGTGGAATAGGCTAAATAATATAAGATATTGAGATAGTTTTCATCAGAAAAAGATCTCAAAATAACAGAGAAATGAATTTGATGAACACAGGAGTATAGCTTCAGGCCTGAAACGTTAATGGAATTGTCAAAAAAACTCTTGGCTTACACAAGCATAGGTTGCATGTACTGATGACATATAGGATCACTATATATCTAGAGGTATTAATATGAGTCTTGTCTCGCGGAATATAAGATGACTGTTTTTGACGCTAAGCAATGTATTAGAAACGAGATGGATATTTTCTTAAGAAGAAAATTACACGAGAATACACCCGATACAAATGCGAATAATTAGACAATGCATTAGTATCTGTGACTCGAACATTCTTACGTGAGGTGAAACATGAGGTTAAAGAAAAAATCTCTCAATGTCATCCGAATTATTCACTGCCTTCAGCACTTAGCAAAAAAGAAAAATTCGGTGTTCATGTCTGAATATTAGAATTGTTTTATTGTTCGATTGTGATAAGGATAAGAATGGTAATAATGATCTTTTATTTAGGCAACAATTTGATTCTCAAGTTTAGCTCATATCCGTGTCTAAACTCTTCTACTTGGCTCGATTATAAGATCTTCAGTCATTTTATTTGATTAATTGAAACCAAAAATGATGCCGAAATCGTCGAAATATATGTCAGCGTTTCATATGTGGCAATGTCTCATCATGTTTTCAAGATGATTTGTCGCCATCTAGAAACCGTCGAAGTCTGAGTGCATTTTTATTTCTGTTTGTGACAACAGACTGAGCATCCGGACATTTTTAGATAATTGTTGCAAATAAATATAATCATATTCACAAGCCCACATTTTCAAAAAACAAAATTATATGAATAGAGAAATAGCATAACAAGAGACAGAAGAAGTCGATATCAATAATTGTTAGATATTCAGATAATTTGTACATCATATATTGCTGACTTTTTCACCATGCCGCACTACAAATCAAACGATCTATTACATAAGCTATAAATATTCCACGATATTTTCAAATCTTAAGATATGTACACAGAAGAAACTATATAGTTTATTTGGATGTTCAATATTAATCTTCTTCTTTTCCTCATCGAAATTATTGATCGCAATTCATAGATTTCACATGAAAGTGCAAGGGATACCATCGACAAAATTTCGCTGAAAATAATTGACTCGTGATAATTGTTGCTTTACTATAGAGTAGAAAATGAATGTGCATTTTTAATAAGCTCATGAAATTCACCAGATCTGTTACCGATAATTCATCCAGTAGTACCGTTTTCTATACAGTCAGTTAATATTATCATATATGAATAAAACCTTTAAAATGGTTGTCTCGAGCTGTCAACTCATTTATACTAGGCTTATTTCTCGAATTGATTTACGTTTAATGGAAAAAGTTTTCAGCACCCATCTACATACAACGGAAGCCATATAGTTGAAGAGAGACAACGTCTTGCGTCTACTTATAAAAGAATACATTCGAATATTTATGATCAATACCAAAGACTTTCAAAATAGAAGACTTAGAAATTTCAAAGCACATATGCCAAGCCAGGGATTGCTTATTACATAGCTGACGAGTTATTTCAGTAAAGCATATGATATAGCCAAAAAGACAAAATATATTTCGAATATTTTCATAGTACTTAGTTGAAAAAGATAAATCAACTAAAATATCTTGTGAAACTGTATTACAAAGTTTATGTGTAAATGTGATATCACCAAGAAGTTTGACAGTATCATCTTCATAAGACTTTTGAAAGATTAGCAATAACAACAGCTGAATATATGAGAATAATTTCTGTATAAATGAGATTCTGAATATAGGTCACGAATAAAATAAGCAACTTATTCAAAGTTAACAAAAGACAGGAGTGCTGCATTTTTAGGTTATTATTAAAGTTGTTCTGAAATCATCATATAATAATGTTGTTCTTTGAATGAAAGTATTACTATCAGAAGTTTTCTCTTGCAAGAGGCAACAATCAGTATTTAGCATCGTTCTTTAAGTGTCTCTACGGAAGATTTACGTATTTTTATGACAAAATAAATATGTGACCTGCATTAAAAACTACATATTTTGAGAGTAAAAATGCAAAGAGAAAAATAAAACATCAATCAAGTAATCAAAATAGAGATATACTAGTGTCTTCTCAATAATAAACATTCTTTTTTCATGAATCAACAAATATTTGCAAATAGCATATTTCTAGGTATTAAATGATAATACTTGTTTTTCTTTCATCTACCACTATTTGTTCCATTAGGCAAAAGAAAAAGGTCGAACTCATACAAATCTCCATTATGCATGACTGTTTCATTTTTTGTTTTCCAACGTATAAAACAACTGGGTAGCCAGTTGGATGCTGAGAATCATTTTTTTCTAGCGATCTATTGTTACTAGTTCGAAAAATCATCAAATATAAGAAGTTCGAAAGTGATGAATGTGTCTCAAATGCATTCCCATTCAATGAACAAGATGATGTGGTTCAACGATACGAATAATGATGGGAAAATATCTAAAAATCCTCATCGAAGGTAAGGCGATGTCTTAGAGCAGAACTACATTTAAAAAATGGCCAGTGGTATATATTTTTAACTTCATATCTACCTGAAAAGAATTTATTGAACTATTGCTAAATAATATTTTCGAAGCAAAATACTTCAAATAAATTCTAAATGCAGAGAGAACATATATATTCAGCAATCCATAAAATATTAATCCTATAAAATTTGATCTCACCAGTATGTTAGGCGGAAAATAGCTCTCATATATTTGTCCAATTTAAAGATTTTGTTGTAATCTTAGAAAATGTGCCTTTTCTATTGCGTGTGTGATAATTGGACTATTGATATGTGGCATCGCACTGGGCGTTGGTCTTGGATTACATTTAGGTTCTACTTCAAATAATGATGCAACCACTATATCTTCAACGAGTCAAGCAAATGCATCAACAACAGGTATAGAATTTCATTTAGATCTCTCCCTGTATAAATGTAAATATATTTTATAAAGTAGGACAAAACACAGCAACAACAATGGTTGGTAAGTTTGAATGTTCTGTTTCAAAATAAAGTACCTATTGAAACCCGATGATTTAGCGAACATAACATCATTATCTACGAGTTCAACTAATACTATACTGATCAACTCAAGTACGTTGGTACCAACAATATCAATGACAACGAATGTATCACTAATTTCAACGTCTTCAACGGCATCGATAGCCACACCCACCACTTCGACCACATCAATCACTTGGACATCCTCAACAACTTCGATCACACCCACCACTTCGACAACCTCGACTACTTCGATCACACCCACCACTTCGACAACCTCGACTACTACAGCACCGACGTATTGTTAGTGTAGCTTCCCTTGTTTTACCGATAATTATCAAATCGAATGCTTTTAGGTCCAAACTGGACATGGAACGGCACTGGAATAATAGTTGCTGGTACGGGAACTAGTGGTTCTGCATTAAACGCACTAAACCAACCGTGGAATATATTTATCGATTCATTAACAGATATTCTTTATGTCGCTGATTCACTAAACCATCGCATTATCAAATATCTACCCAATGCAACATCTGGAATAGTCGTAGCTGGCACTGGTAGTAGTAGTTCACTATCTAACGGGTTAAATACACCAAAAGATGTATTTGTGGACTCATCAGGAAATATTTTCGTTGCTGATTCTGTAAATCATCGTATACAATTTTTTCCAAATGGCAGCTTAACAGCCTCAACAATTTCAACAACTTGGAATGTTGGCACGTTAAATGGAGTCTTTTTTTTACAATAAGACAACTTATGCAAGCGATTTTGATAATAGTGCTGTGTGGGCGAACGGTACGGCTGTAGCTGGTAATCAAGGAGCCGGTAGTAATTTGAACCAATTGAATCAACCGCAAGGCTTCACCATCGATACGCAGTATAACAAAAGTACGATGTATATAGCAAATTCAAATCAACACACTATAGTTCAATGGCTACCAGGTGCATCAGCAGGTACCATAGTCGCTGGTATAAATGGTGTGCGAAATGGTCTAAATACGACGTTTGATTTTCCATTAGCTATAAAACTTGATTCTTATGCCAATCTATTCATTGCTGACAATAATAATCATCGTATTCAACTGTATTGTCGATATCCAAATGTTAGTTCAACCGGACGAACTATAGCAGGCACATCAGGGATATCTGGAAGCACACAAACGTTGCTAAAATATCCAGCTGGACTTGCTTTAGATTCATTGTTGAATTTATACGTTTCGGACACGAGCAATAATAGAGTACTAAAATTTATGCGTATTACGTAAAAACTTGACTTTCATTTTTTTGCTTTGTGTTTTTTTCAAATCAAATTTATCTATCCCACTTTTTCTGCATGAATAAAAGTGAACATTTCTTTCATGGAATTAATCATTTTCTATATATATATATTTATAGTATGGCATCAGTCATCGTTTGTGCCAATCAGATACTGGTTCATATGAACTCACACATATAATGAGCTATTCATAAAAATGACTTGTTCTATAGATATGATTATTTAAATTACCAAGACGCATCAGCGAGTAATAATATACTGGTTGCTAATCTTCGACTGTAGAATTAGCTTGTATATACACCTACATCTATTTCTTAGGTTTGCATCACAAAAATGCTGACTTCGGATGCGTACGAGACGGACTACATGAATGCTTTGCTTCGCATTGCATTAATAATGCAAATCAGAAATGCATAAAATATAACTTGATCTACTTCTTTTCTTTACTATTTATATTGCATATTTTTATGCGTAATATTCATAAAATGTTTTCGGTTATTAATATTTTTTCTGTATTTTGTTATATTCTACGTTTTGTAACTTGTTTTGATCATTGCCAGTGATCCTTCTGGATAATGTATTGTGAATAAAAAAAATATTTTATTTCACACATGGCATATATTTTATTTACTCTGTTGTTCACTCTGAAAATTATTCTAATATCATAAATACCTATTTATCTCGATTAACTTCATAGAAGAACAGAATATATGGTATTTTTCATATCTCATATTGAAGCAATACAGAAGAACATTATTTGGCAACAAAATTGCTGCAAAATATTTTTTATGAATAGCGACTGGGATACCAACCCTAGTATGAAGTCATTTTTATTTTTCGCTGAGCGTCCTGTAGTGTTCGATCATACAGGATTGATTTCATTTTATCTCTCCTATAACCTTCATTCTATAATATGAAGTCATTTTTGTTTTTCGTTGCGTGTTCTATCCACTGTTCGCCCAGGAAGACTTTTTTCTCTGTATTGTTTATTACCCAGAAGTTTTTTCCAGCAATGTTCAAGGACTGAAGTTTAGGAATTCTCCTGATACCTAGAAATCCCAGCCAAAAGAAATAATACCTTCGAGGAAACGAGAACTGATCAAGAAACCATCACATATCCTAATTCATTCTCCTATCCATTTCTTCACATTAAGTAATGTTAGGATAATATAACAAAATGCTTACAAAACAGATTCGAAAAATCTTTGAAAAATTCGTCTGTGAAAATTCTTGTAATCAGAAGTCAACAATATGGAGTATTTAGAAATTGATTCTTAGCTAGGAGATACGAATTAAATTTATTGTAGTTCTTTGACTTTATTGAAGGTTTTTCTCTAGTTTGTTGAAATGTGATTAAAACCAGTCATATCATTTGTCTGACTAAGAGTATACAAAATGGCGAATAATGATCAAAAAATGGTCTTCCTTGTCAGTTCAACATCATTTTCATCATCAAAAATAAAAACTAGTAATCAAGGAAATTATTTAGATTAGAAATTTTCTTGAAATTAAAAAGTAGCGAATTCCATATTTCAAAATATCGTTATTGCTTAGTCTCAATGTCATTACTATACTCAAGCTATGCTTACTTCTATCTATAACTCATTCAGTACTGCGGTTTGATGCTATGATCTAACATTTCTATTGTATTCTCTTTCTTTTTTGTCATTAAACTATTGAGGGTTTACTCTTGAGATCATATCGATGAGTAAATATTTCGTTTGTTCTCTGCTCCTTTTTTTTTAAATAAGTTTGAAAAGAGCCTACGTCCCCCTAGGATGAATCATTATCTTTTGGTAGTAAATAATCATCCATTTGATAGAACTTTTCAATATCAGTCCCTTGAAGATAGATAAAGCTTTGCAGCTAGGAGTTCGATTCTAAGGAAGTTTATTCGGTTAAATAAAAACAGAAAAGGGTCAGACACGTTGACACATAATCTTTTGGCGTAGTGAATTTACAAAACTATATATAGCTTTACGAAATAGTCGCCCTCCGCTCAATACATAAATATAGAATGGCATTCCACAATATAAATAAAACACAAGAAGAACCACATTAAAAGCAAAGTTTTCAATAGTTATTCGTAATGCAGACTTGGCCAAGGATCGTGTCATGGTTGTATAGAGTTTCAATGCGGCAAGTGGCAAAGTAAATAGACAAATGAGAAAAATTTGAACAAGCAGCATGATCGAAAGGCGGCGATCCGTTTTTTTCTGTTCAGCTACAGTTGTATTGTTACCTATCATTGTACTCTGACCGATAGAATTATCTGCAGTGTTCTGCGCTGGGTGCAAACGAGATCGTGATTTGCGTATATTGAGGATGGTCATCGTACTAAAAATAATCATTAACATCAATGGACAAAGAATTGTAATCAGAGAAAGAGACAGATCATTTAAAATGCTGCACCAAACTGTCTTTGTGTAACATTTGAGTGGAGTATTGGTGAGATTGGCTTCAAAACAATATAAATTTTGAGCTTCTGCTAAAGTTACACAGATGCTAACTATAATTGCACTGGTTTGAGCATTCTTTAATGTGCTTTTTTTTCGTAGATTACCATCAGTGCTCGATGCAAGCCATCGATCAGCGGTAGCCAACATGACAAGCCATGAACCAACTGATATTCCACTGAATAGAAGACCAGCTCGAAGTTTGCAAAGAAATTGATTTACATTGGTAAGATCAGCAGACCATGTTGATAATGGCCGAGAAGTAAGACCAGCAGCAAGTCCAATACCATTGGCAATCGATGACGCAAGAAAGAGCCATGCACAAGGATTACATCGAAGAGCTCGTTGTGATAAAACACATACATTCATTGTGTTTCCAAAAATGCCAAATAGAAGAATGAATATTCCGAAGTAACGATTTAGTTGCATCGAAGCATTATTCAAAGCAGCAATACTACTGGCATCCGACGATGACGACATGTTTGCACTAAATGAAATAACTATATGAAAATCAAGAGAAAAAATAAAATGAAAGATATTATACGACATCTTGTATCCGTTACGCATTCTCTCATGGTGACAAACCCTCAAGATAGCTAGCCTCTTCAAAATATGTGTCTTCTCTTTTATTACACCTATCATATCATTCTCACTGATATCATCTACTAAAAAATGATGGGATTAACTAAAAAGGATTTCTATCAGTAGACTGGTGAATATCGAGCAAAAACGCGAACATTTTATATGCTAAGGATGACAGCGCACTGTCTCTCTCCCCTCCCTCTAGCTTTCGTCTGAACCAATAGAACAAGAGTTCTTAAATTAAAAATAGCCAAAGATAAAACCTACGGTGTGGACATGATGTGCACAATGAGTGATTTTATTGAAAAAGGTATGACTGAATTAATGAGCTTTCTTTTATATAACTAAAATAATTATTCGCCGCAATTTTTATCAAATCATTACGAAAGACACTTTCTCTGTTACTATACTGCTGTACTGTATTTTTCTTTCAGACAAATTCATTGTAACAAAAAAAATAAAAGTGGCGTAAAAGTAGGTTTCTTCTTTGGAAAAAATCATGGATAAATTCTGGATACATTCATCACTTTCTTGTCATCTCAAGAAGAATATTCATGGTAATGACAGGTTACAATTGTTGTTTAAAAATAGTCTTAAAAAAAGCACCTACGACTATGACATGCTGTGTCTACGCAGTGAATCATTACTAAGACTGACATTCCTGTCAGGATCTGGTCTTGATATAAATTCTAATAGGATAGAATACATCATTTGAATATATTGTTATTCGATTCGTCGAAATCAACACCAAATCTTATTCGTCTGTGAGAAACGATCTAATTTAGCTCTTGACTTCAATGAATGTTGGATAGCGAGCGTAGCAACCACAACCGAAAGCATTAGAATCGAAAATACGAGAAAAATGAACGATTATGTTTTTCTAGATCACGTTTATAAACATAACAGACTCGTTAATTTTTTCCCTATTAATAATCTAATTTTTGAACAAATACTTATTAAAATTTGGCACGAAAACGATTCACTTTTAGTATTCTTCTTCGAAAGCTAGCTTAATTCTCATTGAAAATTTCAAAAGCATTCAGGCAAAAAACTAGTTTCATGAGAAAAATGAAATAAACAAATTACTCTTAACTATTTAATGAATACAAGCGATACGGATAAGGGCACGTGTACTATTTTTTACCCTTGGCAAGCCAATTTATGACTAACACAAAATAATTTTCTGTTAAGTTATCACCTTTGCAAAAATATGCCAAATCAGTTCAAGGCAAAAATGACTTGGTTTGTCCTTCTCTGAGTCCGCCGATGATGGAGATGCATTAATCAAAAACAAAGATCAGCTAATTATGGCATGTCCAAAGAGTGCGGCTCTACCAAGTGCCATGACTTAATGTATGCTCTATATTTCTTTGTTGTTTCTACCAGAAAATGCGATGAACAGTTGGCAGCACTACTGTTATTATTCAAATTAGCAACTTCAATAATCGAAATGCATGAATGTATCACTGACTTTCTTTATTAGGTACGTTCTTTTTTTGCAAATAGGCTCTATAAAAACTTTCTTGTAATACAAAGTGTCCATATCAATTATTTTTCAATTCTCTTCCAAACGAAAAACTTCTGAGTGTAAACAAGTAAGGCAAGGTTCTGATCTGATATCATCTATGTCACGCTACTCAACTCTAAGAACTAAATTCGATATCGTTCATATGTACAAGAATTTTTCGTTAGGTTACGTTATTCTATTTATAAAAAATATGCTAATGTAATGGTTGTATCTTTTGCAGCAAAAGTTTATCTGCCCGGTTTTTGTACCCATGTCGCCTCTTTTTATCAACTGTGCCGCAGTTTTCGCGTAGAGCCAATTCTGCGTCGCAGTTACGCGTAACTATGGCGCATTGATCGTAGTGAAGATTTCTATAAGAAACTACGTTTAGTATGACTCAGATCAACGTAACTGTGTCCTAGTGATTGCATCCTACGATCTGTTGTAGGTATAAATGACCAATTACAAATTATTCCTCCTTATTTGTAATTGGCTACACTCGAACAATAAAACTTAGTAATAGTAGTGTTTATCACATTTTCGTTCATAAGTCATTCTACTACAAGCAGTGAAATGCATAGTTTTTATTTCTTTTAAAAATGTNAACCACGTTGTCTTAATTTCTAACACAGGCACATTCTCGTATTGTTTCTTTTTTGTAATAATAGCTTATTTAAAAAATTGAGGGTCGTCTTATACAGGGGCGGCGGAGCATCATTAAGCTAGGTGAGGCTCATCATTTTTTTTTCTAATGTGGAATTTTATGAAAGCATCAAGCTGAAAATAAGTCTTCTTTTTATTGAACTTCAATAAAAATTAAAATGATCAGTATAAAAACGAATATTGGAAAATACCAAAATATACTTTTCTTTGCTCCTACATTGATGCAAAAATAAAAATAGCAATAATCAGTACAAAAACAAGTGAAACTGATCCTCATCTTGCGAAATCTATGTGAGGCTCAAGCCTCATGGGTCTCGGTGACTCCGCCGCCACTGGTCTTGTATCTTGGTGAAAGAATTCTTCAACTATTCAATGTTGAAAATATCCCAAGCTGTCAACGAAATAGCATGTTCTTGTTTTAATTAATCGCTGCTGTTCTAAATTACTTCTTGTCATAATTTACCGCTGTTCTCATGTTTCAAACATATCCAGATGTTTTCCTATGTTACTAATTATCACATAAATATAAATTAGTAACGGTTCGATGCTGTTAATGAATATCTTTCTTTTTTGTTTTGCTCTGAAATAGAATCTAAAAGTAACTTTTGACAATAGATATTACTTGAAATGAATTCGTAATGTTACGTTTCTAATTTTTATTCAAATGATACAATTATTAAACGAGAATCAATATGAACTCTATCCACATTTTGATTCGTATAATATTTTTTTTATATAGTTTATATGGCACACTGTTAGTATGATATCTTCGTCAGGAATAAAAAAAATTAATTTCGGGTCTTAGTGTTCTAAATGGATGTTTGAATAACATAATTGTCTGTTGGTGCAACAATGGATTCCGTTTGAAAGGAAGCTTGTTCGATAATGTGTACTTTACGTGATGTATGAAATGTTGTTAAAGTAGGTGATCCTGTTTGTTCCGGAGGTAATAAATAACTATGATTGACTATAGGTTTAACGAATGGCTCTAATACTGCAGTAGAACTCGATTCATTTGAACTGCTTTCAACAATGACTGGAATCGGTGATGCCGATAGTTCTGATGTTAACACAGACTTTAGCGGAGTTACATATTTTTCAGTATTTTGTGTAGGTGATATCGATGATGAGTCAGTGAATTGATCAATTTCACTTAGAAATTGTGTGAAGATTCCTATAGGTAAATGTATACCATTAAATCTTGAAATAAATTCTTTATTTAATTGACTGTAAAAACGATTAGGTGCTGTTTGACACATTTCACAAAGTTTCATTAATCCATGACCTGTCATGAATTCGCACAATGGCATCATATAATGAAGATTTGAATCATATAAAAAATCGAGTATGTCGTCTGTTGTCCATTGGTGTGCTGAAATTGAACGGTAGGCTGATTGAACTGTATTTCGATTTAAATATTCTTCGGGTAGCTTTGATTTTTCCAGAGTTTCAATTGCGTATGCTTTTAACGGCTTTTTACTATCAGATTTTATTCGTTTTATTGTATTTGATTGATCTTCATTGAGAGCGTCCCTGTTGATTGTATTATCTTCAAAGTGATCTCCTCTTTGTAATTGAATTTCTTTCAAAAGAGATGTGCACGCTTGAAAAAATTCTAATCGGGTAAAATCTATATAAATTCGACTACCCAATAGTAAAGCTAACCATCCATCAGGTCGGTAACCTTGACGTAAAATAACAGGTAGTAAACGTCGTTTGCAACGAAATGCATATTCAGCTTCAGCTTGACAATAAGCACTACGTTTATAGGAGTCGGACATACAAATAATAATAAATTCAGAATTTTCTACTGCATCGGCCATAGCTTGCATGGCTGAAAAATAACTGATCAGTTTATGCCCAAGATTCATTAAAAAAAAACTAACCGGGTCCATATATATTATATTGATCGATCCAAATTTTAAAACCTTGATCAACAAGGAATCGATGAATTCTGTTAACAAGTTCCTTCTCAGCATGACAATAGGATATCATAATGTCATATTGATACTTTCTATTCCTATCCGTTGAGCTCATTTTTACATTATTCATTTTCTTTGTTTGTTGAACAATGTTTTCAGGTTCTATTTGATGAAACAAACAAAAACAAAAAGAAATAGGATATATTATTTTCATAACTCACTACCTTTTTGAAGATTCCAAAGAATTTTCTCTGCTGCTTTTTGAATTCCTTCAGTCGCTGTTTTTTGCATATTTTGAATTGAATTAACAAAATTTTTATTTTCACCTAATAGTCTTGCCGCATCTTCAATGAATGTCATTGAAACAAGAGACTCAAGTAGTAATCGTTTTGATCGATCATTAACAGTTTGATAATTATCAATTAATAAATATAATGCGTTTTGTTTTAATATTTCAACTTTTATTTGATCATGTTGAACAAGACCTTTAATAGATATTTTAAAAAAGCAAAATTCAACTTAAAAACAATTCAATTCTATTACCTTGAAGAGCTTCAGCAAGTAAAGTAATATTATGTTCAGTAGCTTCTTCGTTTTTACTTTTTTTTGTCAGTGCTCTCGTATTTTTTCTTAATAAATTCAATATATTTGATACTAAACGACCCGATTCTTTTTCCGATGCTTTTATATCTTCTTCATCTAACGTATAAGCAAGTATAACACATGCATGAATAACAATAGGTTCATAGGATAGTAATATTAATGAACGAACTATTGATATTATTTTATGTTCTTTTATATAGACAAGTAAATCCGGTTCGTGAACAAATGCAGTCAATGTATAAACAGCTGAATTAATCAATACTGTTTCAGATTTCTTAGCTTTATGATCGACTTTTTTAAGGAGCGCAGGTTCACTGATGATACGAACAATAATATCAATGAGCCAGTGTAATGGTTGGCCATTAGCATATGGTGTATAATAATTTTTAGCATGAGCAACAGTTAGTAGAAGATGGTGAACAGTGTGAATCATTGGAGAGTTCCACTCTTTAATCGATTCTATATGTTTATCAAGTACAGCTGCATAGCGTGGTACCATCGTATCTAAAAATTGTTCGATAGTTTTACTGGTTTCTATACCTGAAAAAAACAAGGAAAATTTAAAAAAAAAAAACAGAAGAAAATTTTCCTACCATGATAATTAATGAAAAAAGAAGAGCATTGTATAAGAAAAAAATTCTGTTTAGTTGTCATTGATTGAGCATAGGGTTTTAATTTTTTAAATGTTCGATCAAAATTCAATGAAATAAGACAATCTATTGTGGCTTCAAATAGTCTATTAAATACATTTCCATATTGTAATTGGGACGGTAATCGTTGATAATATGTTTTTAATATATCGAAGAGGCAAGAGAGCTGTTTGAAATTTTGTTTATTTTCATCACAACTAAGTAATCTGTCAACATCACTCATACATGTAGCTAAAGTATTAATCAATGATCGACCCGGCAACCACGATGCAAGTTTTGTTACATCTTGAATGCTATTGATAAGATGATTCAAAAGAAAAATTGAATTACTTAAAAGGTTTGTTTCGTCTTGACTTAATTTACACGAAGAATGCCAATCGAGTAAAAGATTTCGAATTAAATTTCGAATAGAAACACAAAATTCGTTTGTCGCTATATCAGCTAATGTATCAGAAGAAATACAATTTAATTCTTTGATTCTTTGATTTGTTGTATTCACATAATCTATTCCTTGCTTTGATTTAAGATTCAAATTGCAAGCTGAATGATTCGATAGATATTCTATTTCTGATTGATATGATTTCGGAACATGCGAATTAACGAATTTCGAATGTAAACTTTCAGTATCAATAGGTTCATGTTCGTTTATTAATGTTTGTATGGGATGATATGTATAAGCATGGGTCACAGGTGGTGGTGTATTATAAGCGAAAAAGTTGGGTTCGTAACGCATGGTTGCTCTATTAGTAAATTAAATGTTAGTTTTAGTTTAGATTTCATAATAAAAACAACTCAATTTACTTACAAGCAATAGCCTTCCATTGGATGTTGTCCGAATTTTATCTCGAGTTGTCTATAGTAGTAGATATTTTTTTAGTATGTTGTTTATTTTTTGTCTACTTACATGATGGACCAATTTATGTTTTTGACAATTATATTTTATTCTTTTCTTTCGAGTGATAGAACACATTAATTGATGTGTCTATGTGCGTTTGAATTAATGCAGTGTATATGAAAATGTTAGTAGGTATATAATTAGGAGGAAAGAACGAATGCCCATGGAAATTGAATTGTGCGAATAGACTATGTATATGTATAAATTTGATCGATTTTGATAAATGAAGAGAATGTCGATCGAAATAGATCATTATGTCAATTAGTTAAGTGTTTCTATTCAATGAACAGTGTACGAGCATATAAATCATATAGATTTCTTTTCGTAAATTTGACATGTTTACAAAAAGAAAGGGAGCATCTAGTTTACTTGATTAGTTAGGGATGGGGTGATTTCACCTGCATCGTTATTTGTTTTTGTTGTGTCGTATCATTGAACAGTTTTCGCTAATATACCTAGTCTACTATTGATGCATTTGAATCAGATAGTGTTGAACATTTTTGTTCTTCGTCGTTCTATACAATAATCATTAAATGAATCTTAATAAATTCTTTATTTTACTTAGCGAATGATATGAAATGCGAGTAGCTATTACAAACGTTTGTCTTAACAGAAGTTTATTTTTTTATTCTCATAATAAGAAAACGTGAGTGGCTTTATAGGAATTTCTTACAATATGCAAAAGTGAAAGGAATTTATTTTTCATTAGGTTTCTTCGAACAACTTTTTTTTTCTAAAGAATAACGACAGTATTGTCTTTAGAAGGCAGTGTCATGTGAGCATTAAACAAGTCTCACGAGTAATCCATAGGGAACAAGTGCTGCTCTTGCTTTAGTGAAATATTCGATCCTATCGTTAGGTATAAATTGACAAAGACGCTTACTACCAGCCCCAACGGTTTCACCTTGTATCCCCAATGCATCTAGTTTTTGTCGACATTGTAAAACAATCTGAACATCATAAATACGTCTAGTTTTCGTTGAATAATATTCATATTTTGGACTGTAACCTGGTAAACTTGAATACGCAATCGTAGGTGATGTATATATTTGTTGTTTACCTGGAATATGTCCTTTACGAATGCCCAACACACTTCCATCTATAAGTGTATCTCCGGGTAGACAAAAGTGTCGATGAGAAAGAATAGACTTCGCCGCTATGATGGTAGTTCCATGAAAAGTTACAATCCATCTATTCCATATATCTTGTTCCTCTTGAAAAGCTTCATCAACTCGAAGGCCTATCCGCGCCCATTCACGAGGAATAACGTATTCGCCCTCGCCCGCTTGTGTCACATCTGGTAATTTCGTAGAATAACACTTTGGACAATAGCATTTATCAAACGTAGAGTCAAATAACTTATCATTCCAATCGAGAGATGAAATGAACTCTTTTGCTAGTTTTAAATAATCACAATTGTAATTATTTATTGCTTTTCGTTTTGGCTTTGGCTTTGCAGGTATTGTTTTCATTTGAATATCGTACTCATTTGATGTGTCGCTGTATGATGAGGCAGTATCCGGTGGTTCATGTTTAACTACAGATATGCAAAAATAATGAATAATTTAAAGCTATAACCGATCCTAACAGTTTTAAATTTCATAGTGAGCGAAGTAGTGAAAGCTATATTGAAAGGTCCTATTGAATGCTAGACTTGCATATAAAGTTGAATTGCATTGAATTAGTATTTGTTCAAAGGAAACGCTTACCATGTGGTTTAGAAGACTTATTTCCACGAAATACGACATCTTTTTTTTTGGATTTCTTTTTCCCAGACCGTTTCCGCCAATAGCAACAAATAGTAGTCATAACTATGACAAGAGCAACCACAGCAACTACTATTCCTATTACGATTGCCAGGTGGTTCTTTAAAAAAATTAAAACATTACTTGACGTCGTTGATGCTAGAAGGAAAACGAGGAGTTGTGAAGTTTTAGATTTTGATAATAAAACTAGTTATTATCCTAACCTAACGATTTTTTAAAAATAAAATTGATTGAAAGTTCTCAAGACTGCGGTACTTCAATCTATTGCTTTTTTAATTACAAAATCATTTTATTCTACAGTATTCGAACTTTTAGAGTTAAAAAACGAGGTCATATCGAGTTCTGTCTGATACCGTCTGAAATAGCCAAAGCAAAAAGCAGTTAACTTTTTAATATATCTACCGCATCCGATTTTACCGTAATTACATAGTATGCAGTCAATCAAAAGATAATACGCAGATAACTTAAGGAATAAAAGCATACTTGTTACAGGTATTGTAATTGTTGATGTTGGTTCGCTCGATTCATAACTCACTATTGGCGTATTTATCAATGAATTTAATCCTAATTTTCAATAGAAAAAAAACAACCTGTTAAATAAATAGCTCGTTCTCAAGGAGCCATATTCGAAAGCACATATGTTTTGACTTTCTAAGTAACTAAATCATACCATTAATGAATGTATCATCTTGCATTGGTGCTGGATAGTCAGCCGACATGAAAGAATCAGGAATAGCAATGTACATGGCAATGACGTTGAAACGAGTATACTGTACAATATAAATGTAAGAGACTGCTTTTGTTTCACATCTAAACACAAATATGAATAAATGCCGAAATCCAAGAACATGATATTTACTCAAAATAATTCAAGGGATAAAAGGAATTTTCATTTTTCGAAGTTAGCTGCGGGATATTCGTGCAGTTGACATGGTAACGATTCAACAATAAGACTTGTAAACTATACACATCATCATTCCTCTAACAATTAATCTACTGACTGTTTCCGTTACAGAATTTAAGATCAATGATTATGGATTTACATTCGATCCTATGCAGTTTCAATAGCACTCACTAGTCTATCGTCTGTCGTGTCAAATCTGTAAACGTATTTAGAACAAGTCAGATATAAGACGCACTGATTCCATAATATCCGATATGCAGAAAAAAATCTATTTCGAAACTATAAAATATTCCTATCAACTCAAAACGGAATCTCTAAGCAACTTCTAAGGTGCTTACATAATCTGTCATCGAATTTTATTTGTCGTTTAACTTTAAATTTGTTTTCGAAGCAGCCATATCACCTTATTTATTTATTTAAGTGCTTTTTAGCTAAGATATCTGTATTTACATGCATCTCCGCTTACAATATAGATAAGTGTTATTAATGTCTTTCACGTGTTTCGATATTTTTTATTTTATTTAGTAAATTACACGTGGTATCACCACGAAATATATACTGGAAACAATAATTTCATGATAAGATTTTAGGTTTGAGAGTAGTTGTTGAAAACCGCTACATAATAAAAAAAGGAATTCAGAGTTTTTATTATTCTACAGGTCAACTGTGAAGTGATTTCTCATTGTTTGTTGTCAATACAAGTTCAAGTTTGTAAGTTTAGTCTGTAGCGAATTCTACGATTAACCAGTGGATGGTTTACTACCGTGTTCATATAGAACAGAGTTCTAGTGGATTGAAGTTCAAATTTATAGTTTAACAAATGCATTACTATCGTCCGCTAAGAAATAGTAGCTGTTCATAATATTTGATATTGTGCATATTCAAAGATTGCAAATTAAGCTTGTTTTTTTTCGGCAAGTGTCTCCATCTCTGATAGTTGTTATTGAACGTCAACATTTTATTTTGATACATATATATATATATATATATAATAAAAATTTCATTAGCATACTTGTTTAATGTACTATCAACATCTGATGCAATTTCCTACTGAAGATATGAAGTTCCATTCAACAAACCTGCTTTTATAATATCCATAATTTTTCTTTTAGATTCAAAACACAATACATGGCATTTCTCTGTTCAAAGAAAAAGCGTTTACAGGATATATTTTATCGTTTATCCACTGTCTTCTTTGTTTTAGAAGTTTTATTTTTAATTATGCAATTAGTCGTTTTCGTGAGAAATCCGTTGCACGTTTATAGAAATAGACCGATATATTCTTATAGCTAATATATTTTCTTAAACGAGAAGTCATATCCCACTTATCCTATGTATTCCAAGAGAACAGACGATGTAATGGCATAGAAATTGTGTAATAACAATCTGCTTTTGGTATAGGAAGCAATGAATGCATAAATGAATTTCATTTAATGGGAATCGAATCATATTTGTTTCTAACTATCATAAATTATATTATCTACTGTGGAAATCGAAATACTGCATGATACATAAAAGTAAAATTTTGGTTCTTTTCTAATACCTGAATAAATAATATAAATCGGCGCATGATTATCTATCGTATAGTTTTAGAATTGAATTTATCACAATTAAATCTCTCAAAGATAAGAAATTACGTCGTGTTTTCGTGAGAATAAAACTTATTGTAACAGTTGACTTCTAAGCTATTTTATTAACTTTGTTCAAAGTCAAATAGAAACGAATTGTACATTCCTCGTCCCAATGGTTTACTGCAAAAAAATTAAACCTATGCTTTCAAATCTTCATATTTACGAGTAGCATTATACCACTGATCGGAAACATTTTATTCTTCCTAATCATCATCGATAATCTCCTGAATTATTCTATTCTTAAAACAAAAGCGAATTTAATACGATGTTCTTTTCCCATTAAGCTGTTGAAATCGAGAAGCTTCTAGGATATTCATAGCGTGGTTTATCTAGAAAAAGACGAAATTTATTGAAGGTTCAAGTTTTCCTCATTACTCTTGTCTTACCTTTTCTTCGAGTATTTTGTATGATTTAATTAAAGTGAAAATATATTTATTATCTAATTCAAGAAACATTCCAGTGATTTTTGCCGCTAAATTCGGTTCAATCTGTTGAACAAGTAGAAAAAGTCGTGAGCCTAACATCTGCTTTTGTTCTTCCGGTGATGCATTAGATAGCATAGCTTGTGTTAATCGTTCAGTTCCCGGCACATCTATATCGCTTTCATCCTACGAAAAATAAAAACAATTATTTCAATTTTGCATAAGATATTATGATTAGCATTACCGTATTATTATTAATTTTTTTAAATTGGTGATGGTTCTTATGAAAAATTTTAATTAAACGAATCGGTGCTTCATTTTTATCATGTTCTAAATGAACGTATGCGGATAGATCGGATAAATCTTGTCGAAATTTATTTAATTCTTCTGTCCATGTGGAAATATTAGTATTCACCGCAGCATTAGTTTCTACTGCCTCGTCTATTGTACTCAAAAGAGTAGTGAAATCTTGAATTTTTTTATCAAAAATTTGCTGTAGATCGCTTCGAGCTTGTTGTGCAGCTAGTTGGATTTTTGCAATTGAATGATTTTCCCATTGATTAATATACGTAAAAAGAACATGATCATCATATGAAGGTAATTCGTCAACATTATCTGTTGTAATATCCACATTTACATTTTCACTGGTTGCCATAAATATTTCCAGACTGGATTTTATCTTGTTCAAACAGTGATATTGATAAGAATGTATTTTGCTTGTGAAGGATGAATCGTATCGTTTTTCTGCATGCACGCTGTTTTTTCTCTTGTGTTCTTTTGCTTATAAATGTAGTAGAAGAGAATAAAAAAGCGCGTGCGCTTCTCACCTTATTGTGCAAACAAGTTTTTTTTTTATATTGAAAATATTTTTTTGTTTCAACCTTAGAATAAAACACACTCGCCGACATTTGCAAGTAAAAACTGTTTCGACATTGGAAAAAAAATTTCCCTTATTCTGTATGGTCACGTTTATCGGTAGTCCTTTGTTATTTTAAATATAATGCTATAGTACTCAGCTGTGCTTGGATTCTTCAATAAGAGTCGATTCAATAATGAAATACTAATCTATGAGAATCGTTAAGGTTTAAAATGAATCATGAGAACGAATTTTCACCATATGGTTTCTATTCGCATAGATCTCAAATTATATTACTTTCCTAAAAGTATTCGTAATCGAAGTCTGTATGTTATAATAGTATCATCTATTTTGACTGCGAATATTGTTTTGATTATCTATCGTCTGTGATCGTTATGTTAATTTTAAATTATGGAACTATATAATCAATTATAAATTATGCATTATATTTAGAAATTCACAGACTTTGTACAAAAAGAAATATTTTTATTCTATCATCAATTGATTTTAACAAAATGATATGAGTATTGATTTCAAAACTATACAGGCACAAACGAATTACTGTTTGACTCTGTAATAACAAAGCCGAATGGCAAGCTTTATTTTCATCATCTTACACACTCATCAAGTGTGTAATAGAGATCACTTAAAGAAAGACAATAATATATGTCATATAGTCACCATTGATGTTTCTCGATGAAAGTATTTCATCGTATCTTTAAAATCGAATAAACTTTTGTATTCTATGATTATATGTATCTGCGACATATAAATTAAGTTGATTATCAAGTGCAAGTGAATAGGCATTATTGAGTAAAAGCGAATTGTTACCATTTGAACTAGTAACACCGGCTATTGTTGTACCACTCGATTGATCATTGGAATAAAACTGTATACGATTATTACCCATATCAACAACATAAATATTACCCATCGGATCCAATGTAACATCTGTCGGTTGATTGAGTTCACTGGAGTTAGTGCCACTTAATCCTTGCATATTACCAGCAACAAGTGTCCAATTTTGAGAGCCTATTACCCAACGAACAATATTATTAGCACCGTAATTAGCAATTATGAGACTATTTGTGAACGAATCAAAATATAGACCAATAGGATTTGATAATTGTGTGACACTCAATCCTGCGCCATTCCCACCCGCAACGACAGTTCCTGACGACGCACCTGAAAGATAACGCATCACACGATGATTGCCTGTGTCTGATAGATAGAGTGTGCCTGAATTAGGATCACGTGCAATTCCATAAACTATATCTAAAGTATCATTTGTGCTTCCAGAAATACCTTCGAATAGAAAGATTCGTTTTAATCAATGCTTGATAGAGGCTTACGTACCAGTGCCAGCAATGATTACTCCTGAAGATGATCCACTAGTCCATAAAGAGACACGATAATTAAATGTATCGGTAACATACACACTCCCATCTGAATCAATAGCAACATCACTGGGGAAACTTAAATAATCGGGTGTTGAATTTGACGTTCCATTTTCTTGGCCAGCAACTGTAATACCGAACGAGTCACCCCTTGAGTATGCTTGCACTCGATTATTGAATCCATCAGCTATATAGAGTGTATTTGAAAAATCAAGTGCCAAACCAAAAGGTGCAAAAAGTAAATCTGAAGCATTTCCGTATTGGCCTGTAATTCCAGCTATGGTGCTAGCCTCTGGATTCCAACGGAGAATAGCATTTGGATCTATAAGGTGAGAAAATACATCAGAAGAACTTTTTCTCTTTGTTTATTACATTTTGTTTCATGTTTGCTTAATAGAATACCGAGAATAACAGCAATGACTACACTCAAAACAAGAACTGTGCCGACTAGTATGATTATCCTTTGTCGGGAGCATCTAAAATTACAAATAATATCAAGCGTTAAAGTTATGTTTTAAATAAAAATTTAAAAAAAAATGTTATTAACTTTTTTTTTTTGATTGTATCAAATTTTTGATGAGGTTTATTTTCAAAACTTGTCCAACAATGAGACCGTCTATTGTTCTATAGCTTTCATTTTTAGAAAATCATCATTTATATCTAGATATGATACCTTCGTATGATCAGTACTTTCCAGTTCTATTGCTTCCTTCTTTGCATAGACTTTTGAATTCTCACAATGCCGTGACTTTTGATTTGGCTATAATAGAATTTTAACTTTGTATGCAAAAACAAATGAATTCAAAATACAAAGAATGACAAAAATCGATTCTTGAAACTAGATACAAAAGATGTGGCATGTGTCGTAGGTGTTTCTTGAGAGAAGATAGACGTATAGGATTCATTTTGAAGCTGAGACGCAGTAAGAACCATCGATCCCTGTTTGTTAGAATAGAAATATACAATCAATGTTATATAATGTTGAAAATTTTACTGAGTTAGGTTGTTTTCGCAAGACATTCGATTTCTTGGTTTTGCTTCTTATTTTATTTCTAGTAGAACTTAATACATTTGATCGAGTTTCATTTTTGGTTGTTAGTTCTTGATCATTCTAAATCGACTAAATGGTGAGAAATCTTCGATAAGAAACAGAGCACAAACTGAACTTGATACTTGTGTGATCGACGTCGACACTGTCGACTCACTTGTATGGAATGGCCTTGTATTGGGTGTGAACTAAGTTCATCATTGTATGCACTTAATGATCGTATCCTAGATGATGAGGCATGCTTACGTACGTCTACATGGGTTGGCATCCCTGTTTTTTTTAGAGCTGAATGAAAAATGACTGCCTGCCATTCTTTTGAATGGGTTGAAAAGAAAAGGAATATTTTAGGCTTCTCCTATTCCATCATACGAAAATATATGGCCTATACGGGCTTCTTATTTCAATTTCTATTGTTGATGTATTTGTTTGAATTACAGTTCGATCTGAGAAAAATAATCAGTTTTTTGCGTAGATTCAATAAAAACTTACTGCCGTATGTCAACTAGAAAAAAAAATTATTTCATTTTTTTTATTTGTTCCAAGAGCTGACAACATATTGCTGTATAGAAAGCATAGTTGTTGAGAAATATAAGCATCTATTATAAAATTCTGGGTGCGGGATGTACCAATATGGTAGATACGGACAAGTATCACCGTCGCGTAATGTAGCTTTGTTTTCAATACAAAACTATGATTATTATTCAAGCATCTATTATCATCGCAATTTTATTTTAAATTTCATCTGAAGTACCAAAAAAAAAATGAGTTATTCTATGAGTCATCGGCTCCTTCGGAATGTTTTGTAATCCATGCTAATTTTAATAACGAATGTGAAATATCAAGAACTTCATCGCCACAACTGATTTTTAAATTTACTGTTTTGATATTTTCACCTAATTTGATATCGCCTGTTAATGTTCGTAAAACATTGGATTCGTTCTTAATTAACTTAGGTTGTAGTCCATTTGATGTTATGGTAAACATCGATTTTAATTCTTCTAATGATTGATTGTATCGTTCTGATGAATATCCTTCGCAAACAAGTTCACGTTTTATAGGTGTCATTTCGTTTATTTTCTCAGAAATATATTCTCCTATTGCTAATGATGATGTTAACCCAGTTGAACGTATTCCACCACAACAGATCCATTGTAAATCATTATATGATTGTATTTGATAATCAGCATATTCGGTAGCTGGTCGTATACCTGTATACGATCCTACGTGTTGATAATTCAATGTTGAAAATGTAGGAATCAACTCAATGAGTCTATTATACAATATATCATTGATATCCGACTTTACTGGTGCGTGGGATCGATCCTGTTGTGTTTCAGCTGTTGGTCCAATAATGATTTGATTAAATAAATTTGGATATGCAATTATACCTTTAGTAAATTTTGTTGGTATTGTAAAATTATTGATTCTATGGGCAGTGGTGTTGTAGGCGATGAATAAACTGAAAATTGTCCCATTCGTGGTTGAATAGTAAATGTAGATGTTGACAACGTTTGCTGGCTGATACGAATTTTTTCAACATAATCACCATACAATCCAGCACAGTTAATGACTAACCTAGTTTTAAATTGACCATCGTTCAGTGTCCAATAATTTGTTTCGGAATCATATTTTCCATTAGTTATTTCTACATTCATTTGCACGTGACCACCTAATAGCTTACCTTGAATATATAATATTAAAGGCAATGACAGTGGATCCACTATACATTCGCCTGGAATATATAGAGCATGTAAAGCATCGGCGCGTAAATGAGGTTGAAGTTTATATAACACAGTGGGTGATATTTCTTCTATATCAGTTACACCATTCTAAGTTATAAAAAAAAAGAAATGGTAATATTGGACAATCTTAAGCTTCTATATTTTTCATGTACAAAATAGTTTTACAAAGTTTACAAAAATAAGTACAAAATAAGTTTTCTTCGCCGCCACTGAATTTACTATTTTTTTAAAGAGATTAATGAAAACAGCAGAATCATTCTTTTTATTTGCAATAAAACTAAGTTCATGTCTAATCACAGCCATTTCAATGATAAACTTACTTCATGTGCAGTATCAAGAATTTGTTTTAATATTTCTAATTCTTCTGATTTCCATGCAACAATATAAGCACCAATCTTTTTAATAGGTAATGGGACATCTTGAGCAAACGACTGATACAGTTCATAACCACGTTTAACTAATTTTGATTCTAACGTTTGTGGTACTGTATCGAATCCTGTATGCAATATTCCACTATTACCACAACTTGCACCAGTTATTATTTGTGATGATTTCTCCAATAATAAAACATTCTTATAACCATTTAATAGTAACTGGCGGAAAACTCCTAACCCGACAATACCTCCACCGATGATTATTATATCATATACCGCGCACATCTTTAAAATGAAATAGACATGAAAAAAGAAAAAAACACATGGACGGATGATGTAAATATCAATACATCATAGAGAGATAAGAAAAATAAACTCTCCTTTTTCTCTTTTTGCTTGCTGCTGCTAAAGACATACTCAAAAAAAAGCAGAGCATAACAAATTTTCAAGCTTATGAGTAGTCTGACTAGTACGTGTATCTGACTCGTGTCTTCTTCGTTCATAGCTATGATTTAGAGAAAATGATTTTATTCATAGGCGTTATAATCATCGATTTTAAAGCTAATCGTCTAATCCCATGGTACATCCTTTTCTAATAAATGTTGACTATCAATTTCTATAAAATGCAACATTATTTAATCAGCGCCCTACATTTTTCCTGAAGAAAATAGCTGATTTAATAGGATTTCATATGGTACGCGTTAACCTTTTGGATGCCCAAGCAAGCGTCTATCAAGATTATAACGAATAATTGTTTATCATCAGAATAATACATGACAATTGACATAGTTTTGGGTATATTTATAATTATAAAATTAATTGTAACTACAATTTTTTAAAACACTCTTATAGTATTGTAATTTACTCTTCATAAAAGTCCTACAGCAACGATTTAATCTCAGAAGCATTTTTCTTTAAATAAGTAGCAAAACTATAGATAGGCGTGCAAATTAATTTTACCATCAACCTAACGCCTAAGGAAACTGTAGTTACAACGTACGTCTACCGAGATCAATCAGATGATAGATAGTAGTGCAGACATAGATTTGAATCTCTAAATATTTATTTTTCACAGATATCAACTCGCAATTTGGTTTTTCGAATATTATTGTCACTCAGCCCACAGACTATTTTTCGATTTCAGTAAACTGTCTTTTGATGATTATTCAAGTTTCTTTGTTCGGATTTTGACCGTGAATAACAGCAAATATAGTTCCATTCGAATTCAATGCCAATCCAAAGCCATTACGAACAAAAGTACTTTCATCAGCTCTCAAAGCAATAAAACTAGTTTCTTGAGGAATCTGATAGATCGTTGTTCGACTGGATACATCAGTAACATAAATCGCATAAAAGTGAAAATGATTATCATATAAAAACGTGCTGCAGGGACTTTCTTCATGATTTACTATCAAATTGGATATAGTAGCCACGTAGGATTTAATACTTTCCCATGAGCCAACTATCGCACTCGGGCTAAAACTGTTTTTATTTGCAAGTTTCTCGGCAATGTTCACATCAAAACATCCGATTAATGATTCACGATATGCAGATGTTGTACCTACAAGAACTGGTGGATTTTCATTGAAGATACAAAGACCTTTGCCATAGGTTTCTGTATGCGCAAAGATGTTCGTTTGAAAAGTGACACCAGCTACATCAGTAATAAAGACATCAATAATAGAGACATCCTGTTTCACAAGATTATTAAAATAGGTATTAAATAACAACCATCGTATTTTACGTATGATATTGCTTGGTTCAGAATATTTTGCGCTTACATCAAATTCTTCATAAACAAGCCATTGTATATCGTAGATATGAGCCAGATCAACAAAATCCCGACTTTCGGACTCGTGCTTGTAAATAAATAATGAGATCGTGCACGATCTACATGTTAAACGCGCCGATTGAACGAAATGCGAAACTACTGTGATCGGCAATGAAAGTGCAACACCAACAATCAAATTATTTTGTGAAACAGATTCAGGATGCACTTCTCTAATTGACTTTTCTTGCTGGGGTAGATTATTAGGGCATGGTTGATTGTAACTTTGTTTCCATACTCCTATCAGTATCAAAAATAAAAACGCAGCTTGCATTACGATAAGTGCGGTTGCGAATGATCGTGATATTAGCATTGCGTTAATCAGTTGATGATAGAATAATTTAATATATCAATATGTGCTTCAAGCAAATCTAAAGTAAATAAAAGTAATATGTTTCATTAGCATGTATAGTGATAAAAGTGTTTTGGTACGTTCACTGTAATAAACTTTACTACGAAAAGAAAAGTTAATCGTAAAAAAGCTAGTCTGTACATTTTAATCAACATTTACATAAAATTTTGTTTAACAGCTGAAGTGGTAATGATTGCGAGAGTCAGTGTTTGGCTAAAGTCTCAGCGCAGATAAATCGTAGAATTCCAATTCTATTTTTAAAGATGCTTCGTGAAATTTTTTAGGCAAATGATAAGGTAAAACCCTTATGAATAACTTGAATGATTTTGTATCAAGCTAATAGTGAAACATTAATTGACGGTGACATGACCCAGTATTGTAAGAGAGAGAACGAAAGAAAGAAAGAAAAAGAAAACAAAATACATGATTAATTGACATAACGTTCCGCGATAAATTGTTATGACAATATCAGATTTTTTATCTGGTGATTAATAATCGCATTTACAACAAGATTTCAAAAAAGGTTTTGGGACGTTTATATCAAACAAACAGTGACCTTCTAACTCGTCTGAATCAAGTTTTCTATTTGAGATAATGCCAGTACCAATGTTTGCTTTCAACAGAAGTAAACAAAATCTAATAAAAACTTGATACGAGCTATGCTCGCTCGCAACATGATCGAATATTTTCTCTAAATTCATGGAGTTGAAAATATAACAGGAATTACATTACTAATGAGCATTGTGCCAATTCATTTCAATCAAAGCAAATGATAACATCATTCAAGGCTATATTTAAAATAAAAGAAGTCTACTGTAAAGTTGTTTCCATTTATATATATATATATATATATATCTCAGAGTGCTGGGTTATTTCACTTTCAACCAGTACTTCGCTGCTAGCCTCATTATAATTCATTGAAGTAATTCATTAGAGTATTTCTGTATCACTCATCTAGAAAATTTCATGATCTATTTAAAAAGAACGAATTAGGATTCAACGATTTATCTGCTTTGAGATATTCTAAAAATTAGGATTCACTCGGTAGATAATATATACATATGTATAAGACATAGATATACTGTATTACCGTAGCTTGACTCAAGGAAATCTTCATCAAGGGTAGAAATTCGATTGTTAATCAATATTGTTGAAGATACTGAGACAACGTACGGATGAAAACTAAAAGAATGTAAACATCACATCGACGACAAACGTATTTTGATGTTTTGCCCATTAAGTGCATTTATCATTCGTAGCGCACAGAAAAACATTAACATAAACAAAAGTGATTTTGTTTACGTCGGTGAAAATAATATGTGAAGAATCAACTAAAAAAATAATTTATAAACAGCGATTGATACAAATCTTAATCATATTCAAATATTTCATCTGTAATAAAACTATAAATAAATGTGGAAACTTCGGATTTCATCCGAGAGTTATGTGTACTGCAAAAAGTGCATGCGACATATGAGTCATTCTAGAATGCCTGAACACGAAAATTATCATGAGAAACTAGACAATTTGATTTCTGGATGGAGTTTTTGTGAATTTTGAGACGTTTTTCAGGCGATGTTTCGTTAGAAAGCTATGACTTAGTTCAAAACTAATATCAGATTTAGAATCGGCGTTAAAAACTGAGTCGATTAATATATGTTGTGAATAATTCTGAGAAAATGTTTTTTTGAAGAATCCCTGTACTCCCCCTCAGGGATGGTCTGATCAAAAATGACAATTTTTTCGACAACTCAGCCATTTCTTGACGGATCCTTCTCATCTTCGAACTCGACCTAGATATTGATAAGACAATTCTGTGCACAAAATTTCAGCTCAATCGAATGTAATTGTGAAGAGTTATCGAATAAACGGACGGCCGGACACACTGACCGATTCTATAGTGTACTCTTTTTTTTTTGAGTACACAAAAAGATGCTTATTTACAAAGCTACTGCTTAGAATCATGTTTGTCAGAGTACGCAAAAAAAATCGATTTGATGTGACAATATTATCCTTGTATTCACGTAGTCTTACCTGTTGGTTTATTAAACGCGATCATCGCTCCGTTTTTTCTTCGTTTTCTTATATCAGTAAGTGATAAGAACATGAGAAAATGTACATTTTTTTGTTTCCTCCAACTTTGATGCATTTATACGTATATGCTTGACATGATAACGTTGATGTTACGACTGGGAGAAAATATCAAAACATATGCACGAATAGCGGAGACCAATATTTTACCTATGCTTACATAAGTAGTTGAATGCCTGTCAAAATACGAAACATTTGTAAAATTGAGAAAAACTAATTGTAGATTGATGATGCAGCACTATTTGATTTTTATTTAATATAATTAAATAAAATTTAAAATTTTCTAAATAAATAAAATAGGATCTATTTAAATTCTAAGTGTTTTGTCTTACTTTTTTCGTCCGTGTTTATACGGACATTTACGAGAATTGTTGTTGTTGTTGTTTTGGTTCATGTTGATGTTGTTTATCCACGACTTGATGTTTTCTTATCATTCCCATTTCCATTTCCTGATGTTAACTTGAGAATTATATGAAATCGAATGAAACAACAACAGCAACATCCAATTCAACGTGGCAAATATCTGTTATAAATTTATGTAAAACGGTCAAGTTAACATCAAGAAATGGAAATGGAAATGGAAATGATAAGAAAGCATCAGGTCGTGGATAAACAACAACAACAATTCTCGTAAATGTCCGTATAAACAAGGACGAAATATTGAAAAAAGTAAGACAAAACACTTAGAATTTAAATAGATCCTATTTTATTTATTTAAAAAATTTTAAATTTTATTTAATTATATTAAATAAAAATCAAATCGTGCTGCATCATCAATCTATTGAAACAAATGAACATCGATTCTCATATGATACATTATGAAAACGTAATTATGTTAACTTGAATTTCATAGTCGATTGTCTTCCCACGGAAAAAAAATTATACAAAACCGCGGTTTGATCCGAGAAAGCCGCGGTATTATTTTGATCCCATTTAGAACCGCGGTTATCAGCGATTTTTCGAACCGTGTTCAAGACAAACCGCGGTATGCACACTCATAACCGCGGTTTTCATTATAGCGGTTATCAGCGGTTTTTCAAACCGCGATGTACTCGATAATAACCGTGGTTCTGAATATAGCGGTTATTAACGGTTTTTAAAACCGCGGTGCACTCGATAATAACTGCGGTTCAGAATACAGCGGTTTGCATGTGAAGAACCGCGGAGCATACCAAAGTGTCAAGGAATGTTTAAGGACATTCGAGATGCCGTGCCCCACAAATTCTGGGAAATTTTACTCATATCACATACATAATATAACAGCTCTACAAAGACACTTTGTGGAAATGGAGCTCGGGAGAGTTCACTACACTGCCTCTCGAAGGGCGCTACACCTGAAACCTTCAAGGTACAGGTTATGTTGGGCACACCTGCTCCTATTGAGTCTAGTGTATCGAAAAAACCGCGGTTTTTGGATATAACGGTAGTCAGACCATTTATGCGTTTCAAAAAAAACACCCAAAACCGTGTTGTTCGAAACCACGGTTTTTATCGGTTTTCAAAACCGCGGGATTTAGACCATTTATGCCTTACAAAAATACCGCCTGAAACCGCGGTTTACAACGGTTTTCAGATCCGCGGCATGCGACGGTTTTCAAAACCGCGAAAGTCAGACCATGTATGCGTATCTCTAAAACCGCTGAAAACTGCGGTTGCTGAAATCGCAGTCCTAGGCGGTGTTAGAGATACGCATAGATGGTCTGACTTTCGCTATTCGAAAATACCGGCCGAAACCGCGGCTTTTGTGACCGGTGATTACCGCGGTTTTTTGAAAAAATTTTCTCCGTGGGTTGTTATAGGAACGAATTATTTCGTCAAGAAATCACTGGAAAACTAGATGGTATTCGAGTTTCACTCGTATACGAAATGCGGCGCGAAGCACGAGTCGAGTACACGAAAAAATAAAAAATTTAACGGAAATGGAACAAGCAATCTTAAAATTAATTAGACATCGTTATGGCCTGATTAGTTTTATATTCGCTTGAAATATATACCTTTTCCTGTCTTCAGCAGTTGTAATTAAAAACAAAAAAATCATTACATTTTGTTTAGTTCTCAACCCAGGTCGAACAGTACGGTCCGTATGCGGCCATTGACGGTTACTTTACGACTATTTTACGGGCGAAATTTTGCCGTAATATCTGGCGCAGTAATACGGACCGTATTATCATGAGAGTACGGAGCACAAACAGCCGTAAACCATGAAGATTCAGTCCCGTTTACGGTGCCGTATTACTGCGCCAGGTATTACCGGCAAATACGGCCTATTTACTGCCGTAAAGATACCGTTTTTGACATCGTCTACCGTCGACAAACAGACCGTAAACGAGTCCGTTTTGATCAACCTGGGAAGTGATCATAATAGAATTCATTGCTGAGAAAACGTTTTTTTCGTGATTATCACCATAATCTTAGAGAAGAAAACAATATAAAATCATCATTTTTGAATGATATTTTTAGGCGAACGAAACTTAGTATTGAAAATTTGAAAATAGATCTAACAAGTTCGACCTTGAAACTGTCATATCTAGTTTGAATGGATCTTCTATCAATTACGATTTTGTAGATTATCGCGTCACTTAATGAGAATTTTTTATGCGTACTCAAGTTAGAAACAAACTAGATGGTATTCAAGTTTCACTTGAATACGAAATGCGATGCAAAGCGCGAATCGGATCTTCAGGAAAAAGCTTCAATTCAGAGAAATTTTGAATACTTTTTGTCGACATTATGAAATTCATCACGGAGGAAACTCTATCCTTACTTAGCGATACATTCTTAAGGATCGATTTCGATTGATCGATTAATTATCTTCATGATTTATCATCATAGATCAGCTGTAAATGAATAGACTATAGTGGCTAACATATGTTCATGACGTCACTTTGATTATCTCTTGATAAATTTCTTTCATTTTTCGTCATTTTGGAACCACAGTTGTGAGTGAAGGGAACTTCAGTTTAAAGATTCGAAAACAGATGTAAAATGTTCGACCTTGATACTTCGATCTCACGTTTCAACGAATTTTCTATGATTTTTCAATCCAGAGATCTTGGCGCAAGAAAATGACTATTTTGATGCGTACGCGTCAAGTTAAAAGCAAAAAAGAACTCGCGACGGACTACATGAATGCTGTGCTTCATACCGCATTAAAAATGATAAGTTATAATTATGCCAGGCACGTGAAATTGCAAACATATTATGCTTAAGACTGTGTCAGCATGAAAAGCAACTTTGAGATAATACAAAATTATATTTGTAACCGTATCCATGTGAAATAATAGAGGCACGTTTTTCTTGAAGCAAAAATGCCAGACATCACTACAAAAATAAAAAACATGATGCTAACGGTACTTTTTTCTATGTGATGACATGTCTTGATAAAGAAGTCTGTTAAATTCTATAAATAAATAAACTAGAGCAACTTGACTTGATATAATTCAAATGTTCATCGACATAAATTTTGTAAGCTTTTAATTTGATATTATTTTTTATTCGAAAGATGAACAAATATTCCTAGTATCTAAAAGAAATTTTTTGTTTCTATTTCCACTGCAATAAATGACAATTGAATACACTGACGACTAAATGTCATTTGTAATCCTTTGTTAAATGATAGATAAAAAATATATATTATTCATTTACAATCTTTTCTATCATCGCAATGATAGTTTTGATATTTCTCTTTGTTGCCTTTGCTCAAGGAAGCCGATATGTGGTGCAATGTTCACTATCCAGAACATCAATTGAAAATTCTCTTTATGCTGCAAATATTAATAGGCTTGCAGCAATCGTAGTTAATTCAACACATTTTCTCTATGAACAAACAGTTGGTTATAATGCATCACGAATAATAGATACAGGTCGACTGATTGATTCATGCAAAACAATTTTTGTCTTGGCTTCTATTTCGAAAACATTCATCGCTGTAGTCGTTCTGCAACTCGTCGAATTCAATAAACTTGATCTTGATAAAGATGTTAATCAATATCTACTGTCGCATATGAAAGTGATTCATCCAGTGTATCCAACTATTCCGATTACAATGCGACATATACTAATCCAGGTCGAACATTCCGGTCCCCGGATCCCGTAGGATACTCCAGGGAATATGCGGGAAAGTCGCCATATCCTGCAGGAAAACACGGGAAATCGCTGGAACACGGCAGCAATATTCCGGTCAAAAATACGGCCGGACTTTTCCGGCGAATTCCTGCCAAGTTCCGGTGCTTTCCAGCAGAAATTGATCGGAAATAACCGGAAAAATTTCCAACTGGAATACTGCTTCCACAAAATCAACGGAACTACTCGGAACTGACTGTTTCCAGGCTGGACTGTTCGACCTGGGAACACATACATCAGGTATTGGACCTAATTTCGATGAAGAAATGAAACATTACTTGCCAAGTGATGATTTTACTAAGAAAAATCTTAGTGATACAATTTTACTGTATATAAATAATAAATCCAATTGGTTGTCCAAGCTACCCGGAACTACATTTCATTATTCTAATACTGGTGCTAGTTTAGTTGAATTAGTTATTGAACAAATAGCAGAAATTCCATTTGGACGACACGTAAAAGAAAACATTTTGCAAGCATTAGATGTTTCGAAACAAGATGCTTGCTATCGATTGAGTGATTTTGAAAATGGAAAACAAGATTTAATGGAACATTATATATTTAATTCATCTTGACTTGAACAAACGCAAAATTGGTTACCACAATTAAATATTACACGACCAGCTACGTTGTTAATACGGCATTAAATCTACCATGAATGACTACGAAATGCTTAACATTTTGAACAGTCAAAAGTCATATTATTTTAGGTGGATAATACATCCGAGTTGCTTTACATTCCTCACTTTAGTGTGACTGATTATCCAGCTGGTCTACTTCGTATGTCGGCTCATTCACTGGCTATCTATTTCCAATCATTTCTCAATAATTTCCCATCTGTTCTATTGAATTCATCTTCCGTAAATGAAATGATTCGAGTTAACCGAAATGAAAAGGCAGAGGTTCGATTCGGTTTGCTTTGGTATTGGTTAAATTTCCATAGAAGTCGTTTTATTGGGCATCGGGGTGTTATGCTTGGTATAATAAATATAATGATGGCAAATGCTAATAGAACTTTAGGCGTAGCTATCTTATCGAATGGTGATGTTAGAAAGTCGGACGAGTCAGCAAAAAATGTTGAAGTAACAAATAATGAGTCTTATGATCAAATTGTTCCATTGCTTTGAATGAAATTTTCCATTGAACTTACCATGCAAGTGTATTCAAGTATTTCAAAATGAATAGCAACAATAAATAATCTTTTGCTGAAAATCAAATTTTTTTTTAAGTAGAAATTGAAGATATAAGTGTTCTCTTCACATGCAACACACTCTTTCTTATCAAGAAGGAAAACATAAAATCTAGGGATTCGACGTTTCGAATGAATTTTATAGCCCAACGGCGGGTGTGTGTGTGGGTAAAGAATGAGTTATCCATACCCACACCCACATCCTCATGCATTGCGGATACATTAAAGGAAATTGCGACGTAACCTGTACTTCTAGACAACGATCGAATGGGAAAATTATCGAAGCATTTGAATAAATTGGTTCTGGTTGAACATAAATTAACATTTGACCTGGAAGTGAACTCATTGGTGTATTACTTGTTTTGCCAATAAAATCTTCAACCCTAAGAACAAGGAATGCTTAAATTCAGTTTCCTATATTAACAAACATCAACTAACGTAGAATACTATTCTCATTGGCCTGAAAAAATCAGAATGATCTAATGCTAATTGCTCAATAACTAATAGCAATACAAAGGCTCTAGTGGATGATAAAGGCATATACGTAACTAGTAATGCCCTTACCTGAATAGCAACTGCATACCAAACACCAACTTTCAAACCAGTGAATGTAATAGTGCAGTCGGACAGAGTTGTACCAGTAGGTAGACTACTTGGATAACAAATACCAGCGCATTCGTCAATGGCTTGACGAATTGGATAAATCGAAGTCGATTTTAGTGTTCCTAAAGTTTGGAGGGTGGTTGGTCCGATTATAGACACTGTTGTTGTATCTGTAGTCGTGTCCGTTCCCGTTGCGCTATCACAGCATGTAATCTTACATTTTGAAGTCGTACACACGCTGCCTTGTCAATCACTAGAGTTACAAATTTTATTTAACACGCATTGACAAGACTGTCTTTTTTGTTCTGATACTCATGAATTCTGATTCAACATTTTTTATTTGATGACTTTAAACAGTGTAATGGTGATTGTCATAGTTTTCTTCAGAATTCGAGCATTTTCGTCTTCGATTTTCAGATGTAAATGTTGACCATCGACAGCGTACATCATCATCTGTATTTGCATCGGAAACAGGAATCGTAATTTGAATTGTTTTATTTATCGTGACATATTGTGGTGAAACAAAGTTGGGCACAGGTGGATTATTAAGGAAACCATCTGACCGTCTGCGAAGATCAATGAATGTAACAATTGAGCTTTCAAGGCCTGATTGAGGAGGATCATTTCATGGTGCCCAAGCACTTCCTCTATAAGCCGCATAGAAGTGTGCATCAGCAGAAAGTGTTTTATTTTTCGTTCTTTCACTTGCCATCCGTTTCAATGATGAACTAGCTGATGCACACTCAGTGAGAATATTAATTGGCGCAATAGAATATTCACCATCCGTTGAACAATCAACAACACGACTCAGATTAGTGTCAGCACCGACAAAGCCAGCTGTTGAGATTGGCACATTGTATATATGAATACGTTCATGAATAAGTCTGTGTAATAATAATATCAACTGAATTATCATTATCATAGGGGTCGACGGAAGTCCATCTAGTAGTTCCTCTGCTGAAGTGTTTTCCATTAATAAACTCGTATGAGCAAACTAATATCAAGAGACGTAAATACATAGTTTCTAACTGCGTATGTCTATCAATAAAAATCTACAAAAGTAAAATATATTTCAGAATACTATTTGATGAAACTCGTCTTGAGGGTATGCCATTAATATTCTACTATCCTGATGTTACCATAGGTGGATCACAATTTGATCTACAAATTTTCAAGACTAATCTACTTTTCAAGTGACACTAACAAATGAATATTTCAACATAGTACAAATGCAAAATTAGATAATATCTAATTTATAGATATTTATACTCGCATAGATATTTACAAAGTTAACTTCTGTACCTTTCAGCATACTTCTAGTTGCAATAGTATTGACCGTACCTGAGTACTGCTGTAGCAAACTGAAATGACTATCATGTTTGACAAATATGAATAATGACTGGTACTGCTTTTTCTTTGCTCTGAAAAACTTTTGCGGCGAAAACAAATCTTATTTTTCTCCAATAAAGAAATGAATGTAGTTAACTGACATCTGCATACTTCCTTACAGGAAACCGTACTAGTAATGTTTATCCTTTATACTGTTTTTTAGTCAATTCATATTCAACCAAACTAAACATGGCTTGATGATAATAATCACTTGGAACACATAGATGTGTATTACTTTACAACGCCATTCTAAGCCAAAGTGTATGCACTTCCACTGGGTCAAAATACGAAGTACAATTTATATATACGTATAGATGGATTGTAAGCAAAAAAATACGATACCCTGGATAAAAAATAAACTTGATGTTAAAGTTGTTCTGATAGTAAAGTTTGTATTTAAAACCATTGAGTTTAACATTATCTTTATGATCTGTTAGATATGAATATCAAGACAGAATACTGAAATTCAAATTTCTTAGCATCTGTTATTGTTTTCTTCTCGTAAGACGTATTATACTTGGATGCGTCTACAGTGTACCTCTAGATTTGGTTTTTTATTCTCTATAGTTTATTCTTCGAAGGTTCATTGACCGTACTACTTTGTCCTCTTATTATGCATTTTTGATGAACCACGTCATCCTCGTAATGTATACACATGACGTCAACAACAAAACAGGAAAACTCCCAAGTGATTAACGATTGGTTTTTATTTTAAGAACAAAACTAATCATTTTATGTAAAGAAACTATTGTAATTATATGTTGCCATCAATTGGTTATTGCGTTTACTCCTTATAATGTTCACGTAGTTACTGGAATTGATGTTGAAACAATGAAATCTGACAAAATATTATATGTTTAATTAAAATTGGAAAAAGAAGTCTTATGCAAGGTTGAATATAATTATAATTCTATGCGTTTTTAAATATTAAAAACTCTATTGTTTTAGTTGCAGTAAAATTAGCAATCATGGTAGGCATCATCCGAGAATGTGATATCGATCATACTATAATTTCGAGTGAAAAACTTCAAAGATAAATATTTCGATAGAATTCTAAAAATATCTTTGACTTGACGTTCTTAGCTCGTTGAGTATTAAGTCGATATGTGCGTGTTAATTATGTTGATTTCTACTGACGAGACATGTAGAAATTAAATTTTGTTCTAAAGAAACACCAAAACATAAGTAAACCTCGAACTGTGTCTTGTTTTAAAATAGAAATTTTATCTTAAAATATTTAAAAACAAATACTCGAGAGTAATTATAAGATGATTGTAGATAAATCGAATGCCATTTTATAATTTAAGATAATATTATTCCTTTAACAGACGCGAAGAAGCGTCTTGCATTAATAAATAAAATAGAACATCTAAGACATGGTAATCTTTGACCACCGATTAATGTATAAGTTTACTATGGAGATTGTGTGGCTACTACAGTTTTCGTGGATTGCACTAGAAAAATGTAGAACAAACGAATAATTAACCAATACTACATATTTTTAAGCTGAAAATATTTTTTATGGTTATCTCGATGTTCGTTCGTTACCTGAAAACAAGAAAAATTGATTTGTTCGAGGCCAATGTTAAACACTGCTGTGAACGATATATCAGATGAAGAGTGATTCTAGCTGACGAGCGAACGTTTCCAAGTGATGCCAACCATTCGGGTTCATATTGTGCTCATAAGTAGAACCCAGTGAGACTAGAAAAGACCTCAAAGGTTTCGTGCCAGTAGGTTTCTCTTTCAAAGTTATGACCGGTTTACTGAATTTTCGACTTTGGACAAGGAATTTCGAACTGAAATTTTCCACAACAATAGGCCTCATCGATGTTAGAAGGTTCCAAAAGTTTCAGTGAAACCGGATGCATCAGTCTCGAGATATTGAATGTTGAAGAGAAGTCAATTTTATGACAGTTTTTTGGAAAATGGTCGCTTTCATCAATATGCAATATCTCGAAAATGATGCATCCGTTTTCATTGAAACTTTTGGAATCTTTTAACATCGATGACACCTATTGTTAGGAAAATTTTCAGTTCGAAATTTCTTCATTCAGTTTTTCTATAAATTTCTTGCCCAAGGTCGAAAATTCCGTAAAACGGTCATAACTTTGAAAGAAAGGCCTAGCGGCACGAAATCTTTTATGTCTTTTTTAGTCTCACTGGGTCCTACTTATGAGCACAATATGAACCAGAATGGTTGGTATCACTTGGAGACGTTCCCTCGTGAGTAGTAGATCGTTATCATCCTCACACACTCATACTGTCACTCTATTATACAATGGAAGCGGCTTTTGTATTTTGATATCTTTCGATAAGATAAATATCCTGACTGTTATTTTAAAATAATAAGTATTGGGGAAAATGCGTCTTATTCTAATTTCTAGAACTTGTTGCATAAATTCTGCATGGAAACAAGGAGGTTTACAACCTTTTCTTCAATATCTTTCATTTTGAATCAGTTAATTCCCGCGAATAAATATGTACTGGTCAAGTGTCGATGAAAAATAAATACGCCTGTATTTAGTAATCAAAATTTGTTGTCATGTATATCTGTGCGTTCCAGATCGAATAGGGATGTTCCACTGATGCATCCGAAAAAGTCGCATCTGCAACATGTCTCAGGCTGTTTCTAAGTCATTTATTTAATGCTATAATTTAATCATAAATACAAATCAATTAAGTATTGACAATAGTTTCGATGTAACACCAGAGCCAATAGGGAAGAATCTATGTTCCAAATCGTTGGAAATTTCTCGAAGTCCCGCGAATTTTCTTCAATTTTGTTTTTTCCCTTTCATTATGGAATCATCTAACGTGTATGCATACTTTCTATCCATTCATATTGCACAATTCACGCAATTACTTTAACTTTTTCTTTTCATAAATGAGGCAAGCACATATGTATGAAATATTCCAAATTGTGTATGCTGAATGTCTCTAGGAGAAACTCATGCAAATGATCTGAGCGTCGAATGCATTACATGTTTCGTTTTTATTGTGCAACATGTAGTTTTTATTAAACTTCTAAAGTTTCATTACTCTTTGAGTCAGATGTAAAAAAAACTTGCTTTTATCAGCGCCTTCTCTGCTGTCATCTAGAATGCAGTATTATGCTAAAAAACAACAAAAACATAGCTCTATACTTGATTGGACGTTTTCTTTTCACTCTAGTAATTACCTGTACTGTGACTTTTTCTTTCCTTTTGTTGGATTGTTTCTCTTTAACATACATTTTTAAAGACACAATAGTGTTTTTTCCCAGTGTAAATACTTATAATATTTAAAACTTGATGTCAATTTCATTTGCTCGTAAAACAAGCTATGGCTACTAATAATGAAGATCAACCGCAATGGTATAACGTTACTTGTGGTACATGTACATACACATTACCTGTACGATATCAGGATACAGTTCCTATTGGGCAGGGTGCTTTTGGTGCAGTGATGTAAGCTGAAGAAAAACGTTTCATTTCATTTTTATTATTCTCTTATTATTACCTCTTTTTTCAGTCGTGCTACAGATAAAGTATGTTTGATGATATAGACAATTAAATAAGTATGAATATATTCTAATTTAGAAAACAGGTCGGCGTGTAGCTATTAAAAAACTGCTTCGCCCATTTCTAACTAAAACTCATGCCAAACGAAGTTACCGAGAAGTTAAAGTACTCATCGATCTGAATCATCCTAACAAACAGGTGAGTAAAAAACAAAGGCATTCTACATATTACTATAAATCAGCTGGCATTTCTACTATCGTAGATTGTGCAATTGTACGATGTATTTACACCGGACGAACGCCTTCAAGATTTTCAAACATTGTATGTTTTATTATACATCTACATTTAATAAAGATGCTAGCTTTCTATTGTTTTATAGATATTTTGTCTTTAACTATATTCCCTATAACATGGATCGAGTTATCAAACGGGGGTTACCAGTATCAGATCCTCATACTAAACTAATCATGTATTCAGTTTTACGTGGTTTGAAGGTACAATAACTTTCATCACTGATTCTAGCTAATACAATTATATTTTCGTTCTATTCTATTTAGTATATACATTCAGCTGGTATTCTTCATCGTGTAAGTCTAGCAAAGATATTTTTCTACGACAAACAAACACGATTGTTTATTTCGTTTTTATAGGACCTTAAACCAGAAAATGTTGGAATTGATAACGATTCTAATGTTACCGTAAGTCTTTTATCCATCCTAACCTAGCATTAATTAAGTTTCACTCCTCAACTAATACTTTTGCCACTTGTTTCCATTTGAATAACACTAATGGATTGGTACCAACGGCCAGGGGCCGCGCAAAGGACCTAAGATTGGGGAGGGGAGGGGTGTAAAAGTGTATTTCAACAAAGTTTAGCAAAAAAAAGTACAGAAAATTTACCCTTGTTGACGGAAAAAATTGAAAATTGTCAATTATTGGGGGGGGTACACTCGCCCCCCCCGCTTCCGCGGTCCCTGCCAACGCCATAACAAACGTATTATTCTAACATGCTTTTTGATTTTATTCCGTTTCTATCTATTAATGGATAGTTTCAAAAGATTGACATTGCGATCTCATATAACACATAAAGGATTCTGGAATACGACTAAATAGAAGTACATTGAGAATAGACCAATGCTCACTTTCTCTAATTTCAAAGATTTATTATCTTTATTAGTTTGATTCTGCCTGAGTGGAATGAAACTCACATCCCATATAATGCTCATCGACAGCATAATCCCGCTGTACCTTCTATTACTCTTTAATAGATTCTTGATTTCGGTTTGGCCCGTACTGCGTCAGATGGCATTCAAACAGGTTATGTTTCTACTAGGTATACTAATAAATTTTTCTTCTATTTCAACAAGTATACAGAAAGCTTTTTATTAGGTGGTGGCGTGCACCAGAAGTGTATGTGAATTGGGAACGCTACGATGAAAAATTGGATATGTGGTCTATAGGTTGCATGATGGCCGAACTAATACTGCTCAGACCAATTTTTCGTGGAAAGGATCATATTGATCAGTTAAACAAAATATTTGACATAATCGGTACACCGAATTTGGAAACATTACATGAACTATGCACCGCACGTTTGTATAAGAAAAGGATAATCATGTAAAATATATATGATCTAATTTTAGACACGTATAGTTATATTAGTAGATTGGCACCGAAACCAAAACAGAATTTTAATCAATTGTTTGGTTTTAAATACGATGTAACAGGCGAGAAAATTATATCGGGTGTTTCACCACAAGGTAGATACTTCGGAAAAAAATATAGTAGAAAACAGTTATTTCATATCATATTTTTTTTCTTTTTAGGCGTTGATTTACTTGATCGTCTTCTATCGTTTGATCCTCGTCTCCGACCAACCGCCGAAGAAGCCCTGGGTAAAGTATCATTTTATGAATCACAGCCATTGATTTTATTTTATTTAAATGGCATATTTTTAATTTAGCTCACCCATATTTGGCTGAATATCATGATCCAGAGGATGAACCGACTACAACACGTCTGGTTGACAATTATCAAGATGCAGATCTTAGCATATTAGAATGGAAAAGTAAGTAGTTTGAATAGAGAATTGGTTTTGATGAAGTTTTGTCTTGATAAGCGTTTTTGCGTAATAAAACGGTTGGTACTGTTTCTTCAGCATATTCTAAATTATCCTTGGTTAAAAATTTTACTTGTTAATCAGTAGATGCGTTTTCTTTCAAATTCGTCTAATTGTTTTAGCTCTTATTTGGCAAATGATTCAAGAATTCGTTCCACCATCTTGGATTAACGAAGATGTTAATCGCACTTCGTGAGATAGATTGATGAACTATATATACGTAGTCGGCTCAAAACTTTGCCGGTGTTAGTCTTTACTTTATGCATTAATACTAATCATTCTTTTTGTTCTATTTAATCGTGAATGGTCATTTTATGTAAATTTCCGTGATAAAGGATCTGCTTGAAAATTTCTGCTCAACAAAGCAGAAAATGGTGTATTCTTTGTCAATAAAAGAAACTTTTCCTTTTAGTAAAAAAAGTCTTCGGTTTATCTCTTTGAATACTTGCATTCTTAATTATTTAATGTTTGTGTCTATCGTCTAAACATAACGTGCACATTTCAATGTCTCATTTACAATTATTCGTGGTTAAACGATATGAAGCGAAAAACGCCGTTGAAATTCGGAGTTTCTTTATGATTAATCATTTTGGTCAGTATTTACATTTCAAAAAGTACACAGAAAAATTGAGAAATTCAAGAAATGATGGAGAAAACTCATCACACGAATACTAATATGGCAGTAAAGTAGTTATTATTTGACTATTAGAATGCGAGGTTTGTTGAACTGATTTAATGATGTACGATGCAATCAATCTATGAAAATGAAACAATTTAGTAAAAAATAGAAAGTAATTTGAACTTAAGCGACATCATTCCAATTTTCGCTGTTTCAAGAATGTATCTTATCTCTATTTAATAACACCATTGCTCACCTGAAAATACTTCAGATTCCTATATGAAAAATAGTTGAGTTATTAAACAAAAAGAAAGAAACAGTCTTTTTGTTAAATCATCGAGTTACTTGATATTCATTCATTTATATTATGAAAAATAAGTTTTTTTAAATATCAACGAAAACTAATAAAACATTATTTGCTGTTTATGTAACCAATGTTCCTTTATGTAAAACAATAATTTGTTCGAATACGAAGAATAAATCACCGAGCAAAGACAATTGTTTCACATGGGCAACAGCTTTGCAATCAACGCACAGTATAATTAATCATAGCATACTAAAATTCTATTTATTTGAATCCAATCATCGCCGATTGATTTAAAGATGAGTATTTGAGATACGCAAAGATGTATTGCTTCAGTAATATCTGATAAAATAAACTGAATTGAAAATAAACAGGTGACATGATCAACATCGAATAGAAGATTTTACTTAACGAAATCTTCATTTCATAAGCATTATAAATCATACAATGATCGGTCTTTTACCATTATATTCTATTCTTTTATCACTCATATACATTTTTTCTTCGAATTGTCTCTTTTCGGATTCTTTACGAACATTCACATTAATTCCTTTCAAACCAATCATTCTTGTTCGACTTAGTTTTGGTAACATGCATAACCATCCATCACGTTTAGCTGTTCGACTTACTATACTATCCCAACTATTGTATTTTGTCCATTGAGTTTTTAGCCAAAGCCATCTTGTTCTTGCTGTTGACCAACCCCAAGAATCGAATCCTCGCGAAAATAATGTATATGGATCGGATGAATTAGTTGAATGGATATTGAACGAATGAACAGAAAGAATTTTCGAGTTATTAACAGCTAATAGATTTTGATACGTCCATTGATGATAACGATAGAAATCGACAGATGGTATGAGATCTGATTCAAGAACAATTGCTCCATCAGCCAGCATATATTCAAATGCGAATTCTAGTAAAAATTTAACATTAGCAGATGTAGCATATTCATTATTATCAACGTAGCGTGGTAGAGAAAAATATGGAGGTGTATGTGGAAGGATGAGCATGCGAATATGTGGCGACATAGATAATAATACAGATGTTACCGATGATTGTGCACCATCTTGAGAAACGATAACCACCGTCTAAATGTATAATTAAATAAATCCATGTAGAAAACGAAAAAAATTCAAGTACGGTTATCAGTCTTCGATGAATGTAAAAAAACATCATTCATCACGCTTACCTCGTTTATTCCATCAACTTTAGTTAAACCGTCTAAAACTCTTTGCAAATAATTTGGTCGATCATAAACTGGCATTAATATGGGCATAAATTGATCTCGTACACCACGTCTTGTATTCCATAAATGATGTCTATTTGCTTCAGTCAAGCCTTGCTGAAACCGATTCGTACAGAAGAATGAATAATAATGAATAGATGAGAAGTACAGCAATAGCAAACAGAATATGCATAATATTAAGAAACGGATTAATAAAAAACAGAAATGCCGACAGAAAATTACAGTCGATTTTAATTTATTAAATAATTTTGTGAAGATAGTAATACCGTATCGCATTCTATAGTACTGGAGAAAAAAAACAGCTAGAAACTCATGGCCTCATTTATTATTTTTCTTCCCTAAGTATAAAAAACAGTCACATTCGATCAAAGACAAAAATGTGAGGAAAGAAAAAAGACAAAATAAAATCGTCAGTTTGCATCTTTTCTTTGCAACAGCAGTCGACAACGTGCACATGTAGTGGATAAGAACGCTGAATTATTACATACATTATCATCGAGAGAGAAAAAAAAGAAAATGACTAGACACAAACAGTATGGTTAATGTAGATTTAATGGATTGCTGCAAAAATTATAATGTGCGGTTAAATGGAAGTTATACGAATGGATTTATATTGACTCCTATAATATGAACCATGAGGCAAATCGTTGAATGTATACAGAGTATGACCAAAGTGGAGTTCTTGTTTAAGAGAATACTGAACTTTAGAATCAGTCGATATGTCGTATTTAGCAGTACGCAATACGTTTTTAATGTTGAACACTGTGTGAGGACGAACTTATTGAAAGTCTAGCTTTGCAATTACAAGAAAAAATTGTTGCAAGGAAATTATTGTTTTTTAATCAAAATCATGAGATTTATCTACATCGTGTCAAGAAAAAATGTGTTTCATTCAAATTCAAAGGCGAATGCATGCTCCCTGAGATAAAATGTTTTTAGTTTCTTGTCCGAAACCAATGTTTCTGCATCGTTTGAATTGGTAACAATTTAGTGAAAATGTATATATCACGATTTTTACGTAGCTACCTGAGATACTAGGAGAAAATGATTGACCGACCTTATGTTGCATGGCAGGAAGTCACATCACCATGCTTTTTAAGCTATGGTAGGTTCTTGTAAAACGATCACCTAATGACTAATACATGATATCGGTGATTTCAGTCTGTAATCATTTAGAAACTCAGCGCTAGCGACTTGACTACATGGAATTCGTTGACGGTAGTCTTATTTTGGACCAACACCGGTGCATTTGTATATCTATTTACATGATGTAACTAAATTGCAGAGGAAAATTGTTGTTATCGAAGATTTGGGAAGTAGTACAAACGATGATGGTATTTAGTAAGAGTGTTTAACTGTCGAATATGATTAGAAACTATGTCTCGGGCGATTCCAATAGAGTTTTCTTGCTTTCAGCAATTAATACAGGTGCTGAGAAACAATTTCTTTAAAGTCCATCATACACATAGAGTAAAGATATTTGAAAATTCTCAATGGTTCAAATTACATATGATAATTTTAAATAAGAACTTCTACCAACACATCGTTGAATAGATAATGGTTGGCATGGGAACATTGATCAATTGATCTAACTGAAAGAAATCTCAGTCTTCTTGTATCGTTAAATCAACAGACATTATAAACTGTTTGAACCGCGAGCTTAGACGTATACTTGGAAAATACTTTAAGCTTTCTTACCATGCTTAATAACGTTGACCATAAATCAGTCAAATTACATTGATCTATTCCCTCTACTGAAAGGAGGGTATTACGAAAAACGAGTTAAATGCGTTTGTTCGTTCGTTCGCTCGTCCAATAGGAAAGCAGATGCATAAACTTAACTAAGCTCAAACAATATCCTGCAGGGATAGGTTTGACCGAAGGTAACTGGGGTCGGGGAATATGATGGCGTTGTTGGTTTTTTGAAATTTTGTATTTTTGCTTTTTTTTAGGATAGAGAAAGACTTTTTTAGGAAAATATTAGTTTTTTATAAGGATTGACCGAAGGTAATCGGGGTTGGGGAACTGTAATTTGCCGTGAGATTTTCAGAGTTTGTGATCCTCAATTTTTTAGTTGAAAAAATATTTTTTCAAGAAAATAGTTCTCCTTGTAAAGTTTGATCAGATGCTGTCGGACTCGAGGGAGTCGAATTGGAGATCAGATTTTTGAAATTTCGCTTTCTACCTTTTTTAGGGAGAGAAAGAGAGTTTTTTAGGAAAAAAGTTACTTTGTTTAAAGTTTGACCGAAACTTTTTGACGCGGAGTCATTTGATTTTAAGTTTAGTTTTTCAAAAACATTTTGCCATCGTTTTGATAAACAAAAAGGGTTGCACAGAGGTCTATTGTACAGAATGAACATGTGAGCTTTTTGAAAAATTAAAACTAAGTGACCAGCAACTGACGAGTGACTGATATTTCGAGAGCGTTTAGAAGTACCACAACGACGTTATTAGTGATTATGATCCTAAACAAATAAATAAAGTTGATTTAAATAAGGTAGCGGCTGTCGCTGGATCGAATATTAAATGCTTAATAATCTTTTCTAGTTCAAGCTAGTTTATAATGCATTAGGAGCTGTTTAGATCATCGTATTTTCGTGATAGGAATTCTTTGTCGGCAAACTTTTTTAAGGGTACCATTCAATTATTTTGATAGTGGTATATATATTTATCGTATGCTTATATTGGATTTTATTACGCATCGGCTATAGGCATCTTGCGGTGAAGTTGATTATTAATTTGGCAATGGCTATTCGAGATTGGCATCCCAGAGGGTCGCCGACGAGCGACTAGCTGCTCACCCGGGTATGTTCTTGTTTCATTGCGTACAAAAATTTTATTATTTAAACAAACATGGTTTTGGAGAATGTTGCACTAAGGTCCTTTTCAACAAACAGTTGAACATAACTACATGTCTGTATTTTGTGTATAAACACTAAATCGTTGAAGGCGTTTTTCGAAGTCTTCAGTTTATACTTGATATGTCAACTTTTATTGTAGCACGAAGAATTTATTCAAACTTAACACGTAGAATTCTAGATTAGCGCATCTACGAACGGATTCGAACTGGATAAGTACTCGGGAATCTTGTCTCATTCTTCTCTAAATGGTGAGGAATTTATCGCATATGTAGATGAAACTGGATTAAATTAATCACACAACTGTTGTTTTCGGGTTTTTTGAAAGTTCTCTTCGTTTTTATCTAATAATTATAGAATGAGACGAAGCTTTCAATCAATCATGCCGTGTTTAAAAGGATCACGTTCACCGCATATGAGACAAAACTAGTGGGACGACTAGCCGCACAGTTGAAAATCTGTTTTGATTATAAGACTACCGGCCTTGGAGACTTATAGAGTAGTTACACGTTGTCTCGATCAGAAAAGTTGAAACAATTTTCGAAAATGGTAAATATCTTCAAGTTCTTCCGAAGAAAGGTCATGAAATAATTGCTCAACTCGTGTGAACTATTTGAAATTTATATTTGTCGTAATTATCTGAATAAATTTAGTGTTTCCTGATTTCGAGTGGATTTGATTCAAAAACTGTAAATGCTAGATTTATCTATCTGTGAATGTGCATCCCGGAATGGATATATGCATTCTAGGCGTAAAACGCGCCGAAGCAAAATGAACCCAGATGGATTTGAGCAAAAATGAGAATAAAGCTAACCGAAATCGAGTTAGAAAAAGTCAGTTTGATTTGATCTATGATTTACTCGTGCAGATTCATGTTAAATATTTAGTTCATAGACTAATTTGAGTTGTAAATTTAGTCAAATGGAGTAGTTTGATCACAGCTCTCCTGAATGGGTCTTTTTCTTCACTCCGTTATCAAGCTGATCGAAAGTTTTTGGGGCATATCTTGAGCTGTAGCAGCAGATTGGATGCACTTAACTTTACTATCGCTATATAGTATTAGTAAGTAGTAATTAAATCTTGAGGGTATGGGTGATGGATACTATGAAGGAGTGCTCAAATGTGGGTGCGAGTGAAGGGTATATGTATTAATATGTCGCATATACCGAAAAGTTAAACTAAAACTAAATTTATTCCTAGATTTAGTTTAAGTTTAAGTTTTTCTTTTCTCCATTTATATTCGAACTCGAATTAGACAGCTACTCCCTCAAATGGGAGGTAATGAATTAAAAAGACTTTCAAGGGCCTTTCTCCGTTGATTTCGAGGAAGAAGTCTTCGAAATACCTGAATTTTATAGTAGTCAGGTGGGGATCTGTTTGCGTTT